GATTCCTCGCTCGTTTTCCGTCAACATCTTCATGTAAAGAATCCTCATCGCCTAAATACATTCACAGTGCCTGTTTAATGACTTCCATGTTTTAAGATGGTAATTTTTATCCCAGGGTCAAAGTCACCTTGCTTATGTGGTCGACACTATCTTTACATGGAGAGTATTAAATTGAATATGAGGGTATACAGAGCAGATATGGTCCTCCATGAGAACCTCAACTTCAAGTTTTTTAATTACAATTTAGGATTGAGAGAAGCTAGTTCTTTTTTAACTCGAGGTTGAAGATATGCCTTCGTGGGTGCACCAGCATGGGTCATTTCCCGCCATCGCACAGTGGATCGAATCAATGCGTGAGGTCGGACATAAAATTTTTGACAAAAACTGCAAATTTTAATGTTTATCTCGTCACATTTTAAATTTTAAGGGGTGGTTTTAGAAGAAAATTTCACGAGGAAATCAATGGAGCCACTTTTAGAACGTCAAAGTTTTGTATAAACGGAGTTATAAGCTTTCAAAGTTTCCAAATTTTGTCCGACCTCTCCTATCGACTCGATCCACCGTGCATCGGGCAGATATGCGTGCAATCGTGAAGTGCTGCAAGGGAGCCGAGCTCTCCTAATCCGAACATCTTGGGGTACCGATGTAACGACAAAAAGTTCTGTCTGTCGGGAACTTTAGAACGTGCTGTATGGCGAAGACGGCGGCGGCGCACGCCCGTGTCAAGGGAAAGAGAAAGCGCTCCTGTGAATGACCACATGCAAAGAAACCATACTTAAAAGAGAAAAGAAAAACATTCACAAATGAAAGGAAAAGGGTCAGATTTCTTAATTGATTTAGCAAGCCCGCCGAGCTAATAAGATTCTAAACCTCTTGCCATCTTCACTCGCGCTGTCTCCCTCTCGCACCCAAGGTATTTTTAGTCCGACTCAACCTTAATTTTCGCGTGAGAAAGTTATTTCCATCTCTCATTTTAGAGGTCAGCCTACTCAAACAACCGGCGAGGTGGCAAAAAAACATGTCAAACTTCTTTTCTTTTTCCTTTTACTCCCATTCCACGACGCCATATCGCAGCCAGGAGCTTTTCCTCAGAAATCACTTAGCATGCAATGGTGCTGCTTGACCATGCCTCTTTCGCCTAGACCCAGTGATTGATTAGGTCGTAATAATAGGATCGCGTCTTCGTGGCTATAACTTACTTATTGATTTGCAAATTTTAATGTAATTTCTCCTTCCAGCGGGCCGATTATTGAAATTGATAGACAAAGCTATAGACAAAGAAGACAAAAGGGATATGGAGGGATTCTATTGGTGGAAGCGAATGGTTGCAATAGACAAAGGACGTAGGGGATAGACTAACTAACGGCAACCCACTAGAGGCCCGACAGTTAGTCCATCATTTTCTCCTTAGTCTACAGGAACCACACATTTTAACCAATAGGTTGGCTCCATACTCCCTATGTCCTTTTTGTCTATAGCTGAGTTTATAAATTTCAATAATCAGCCCACTGGAGAGGTATCAATAGCGCCATTTTTACCGAGATCGAGCTTTTGATGGTTTTGGACTCCTCAGATACTTTTTTAAAAAAAAGTGAAAGGTGGTCTTTTGTTAAAGTAAAATCTTCAAATGTCTTAGAAATGCTATTCAAGTCTAGAAAAGTGCGTTATAACACAAACTCCATGTCTGGGGAAAGGTACGGCAAATTCACAATGGGTGAGAGATGGCTATGGATGGCCCATTTTGATTTATGAACCCCCCCCCCCTTGCCGCCCTCCTGTAACTAAAAAGGTCCAGTTACACGATCAAATTGAGCCATCAAATTGGGTCTCTCATTGGTCGCATCCTCACCTCAGGTCTTTTTCCACCAATCAAAGCTTCAGTTTGATGGCTCAATTTGATCGTGTGACTGAACCTTTAAATTAAGGCCCCTTAACTTGAAGTATTGAAGAGCAAACACAAATATGGTCCACAAGCGCCGAAAAACATGCACAAAATATAATTGTCCGACGGTCTATATTGGTGGATCTGTTACAATAATTTTTGTGAGAATCGCATCAACTCAGTCAATTTCTTCAATGGTGTGTCTTTCGGCCGAGTCACCCTGAATCAGTCTGACTCAGGGTACTTTATGAAACATATTTTAACATCAGGCTGACTCACTTTTACTAGGGTTCGAATTTGGGATCAAGCGCATTTACCGTTTACCATTTAACTGTCACTACTGAAAGTGCTACCCTTACACTGTTTTCTACTATTTTTTCTTCTTTTTTTTAGGATTAAAAGTATGTCGCTGCATGTGACCTGGCTTCTTTCTGCTTAACGCGGTCCACATAGCATAAAGTAATCTGCTGAATTTTTCCAAGATATTTCATAAAATATATGGTTTAAGTTCGCAACCACGTATCTCGGTTTGTGACGTCGCAGACTTCCTGTCATACTTTATCTTTTAAACGACAAACTGCTCAACGGCAGGCTCGGACTGGCCATGAGGCCAATCTGCCATTGGCAGATACGCCCCCTTGGCGCACAAAAAACGCGCCCCTCTGACAGATAGCAAAATAAGAAGAGAAAAAAAATTACGACAGAGAATATATACGGAAAATTTCCTAAATGAACGGAAGAAGAGAGAGTTAGGAGTGAAGAGAGGTGCTTTTACGCATTGTGATGAACAGAGGTCCAAGAACTACTTTCTAAGGCTTAAACACTTTTCTGTGAAATTGTCACCTTTTTGTTGACATACAGGCGCTTTATCATCCCCCTCCTTCATCCTCTATGTGTAACTCCCGTAGAAGCGATAGGTAGTCGGTTCGATTTTTAGACATACGCACACTTTATAGACCTCTTGACAGGGCCGGATTTACACATTTAGCGCCCTAGGCTAAACTTAGGGTGGCGCACCTAAAAGTAGGCGCTCTCGTGGAGAGGGGGGGGAGTGCCTTTGTGCGGCTCTTGAGAGACCTTTAAACATATTTCTTCCTTTTCAAAATGACTATTGATTTGGACATATCATAACATACCTCGGGCAAACTTAACCTTAATTTATTTCGAAATTCAAAAGTAAGAGGCATCTACAGTGTAAACGCGATAAAACTATTCTCGCAAGATGGATGTCCACATTGCATATGAAAAATGTAAGACGCGATGGCGTGAGTCGTGAACTCGCAATGCTCTGCTCTAGTTTGAAGCAACATTACAAATAAGACAAACGGAAACAAACACAACATGGAAATAGAGGGAGGGAAAGGATGCGCGTCAACGACGGCGCAGAGATACAACTATTCGTACTTGATGGACGTCCGTGCTGCATCTGAGAAATTGAAGGCGCGATGACGCGAAGCGTGAGTTCTCAATGCTCTGCTATTTGCTGCCAATGAGGTGTCGCTCGGATTCGGGAGAAAAGTTAAAAAAGAGGCCCGAACACATCTCTCCTACCTTCGGCTGTGTTATTCACGCAGTGCTTGAAGCACCATTACGAATAAGACAAACACAAAAAAACACAATATGGAAATAAAGCTAGGGAAAGGATGCGCGTCAACGACGGCGCAGAGATACAACTATTCGTACTTGATGGACGTCCGTGCTGCATCTGAGAAATTGAAGGCGCGATGACGCGAAGCGTGAGTTCTCAATGCTCTGCTATTTGCTGCCAATGAGGTGTCGCTCGGATTCGGGAGAAAAGTTAAAAAAGAGGCCCGAACACATCTCTCCTACCTTCGGCTGTGTTATTCACGCAGTGCTTGAAGCACCGTTACGAATAAGACAAACGCAAAAAAACACAATATGGAAATAAAGCTAGGGAAAGGATGCGCGTCAACGACGGCGCAGAGATACAACTATTCGTACTTGATGGACGTCCGTGCTGCATCTGAAAAATTGAAGGCGCGATGACGCGAAGGTTCAGTTCTCTATGCCCTGCTATATGCTGCCTCTGAGGTGTCGCTCAGATTCGGGAGAAAAGTTAAAAAAGAGGCCCGAATACGTCTTTCTTGTCGTCGGCTGTGTTGATACTCGTTCTTTCTTCTTTTATCAGGTTCTTGCCTGATTTTTTTTTAGGATGGATTTTTAGACCCACATCTTAAGCTCGTGTAAACCGCAGCACTGACACGGTTCTTATGGAAATAATGGTGCTTGAATGCGTCTAGTGGCTTTAATTTTTTTGGCTTTCTTTAATTCCAGAAGTCCGTCGGTCACTTCAATACGTTCAATTTTACAATTTTCACTCTGTACGATTAATAAACTTTGAACCTGAAAATAGCGTAAACTTCTGCTGCTTTGCCAAAATTTTCTGAACCCCTCTCCACGAAGGGGATGTCTCATCAGGAAATATCACATTACGCCCCTTTAACCAACCAGGGGTCTACGCCCTCAGATGCGAGCCAGTCCGACCCTGCTCAACGGCAATTCCTTAAAACTGCCGTGATCTATCTTCTCTGTACGAAGAAAATTTTGCAAAAACTTCAAGGAATGTTGTCAATTTGTTCTTCTTTAACAAAAAATGATATAGAGGCGGACATTTTCATACACCGCAAACGAGATACGTGGTTGCGGACTTACGGCCCGCCGCGCCGCCGATATAGTTTATCGTTAATTTTCGTAATTGGACAGGAAATGACATTCCTAATAGCTTATTAATTAAACATCGGTTGACGATTAGTTCCAGCGTACTCTAGTTCTGGCTCAAAAATTTAGCGTGTATGCGATGGGCTTCTCATTCATGCGTTTCAATCTCACTCCGATAAAACCACGTTCACGGACCGCACATCTAGAGACTTTCCGTCATTTTAATTTTCGCGCTTCGCATTAGCTTCCCACATCTCACTGCGATTGGTCCATTTTGGCGCACTTTTGCAGTTCTTCTTCACTCTCACTATGATTTTGGCGCATTTTTACAGTGACTGTGATTGGTAGATCAAGATCAACATGCAAACTTTGGCGGAGCGGAGGGGGAGAAAGAAATGACAACAAAATATTAACCTCAAAATTCCCACAATTTATCAATAATTCATCTGATTAAGTACTGACTGAGTTGCCTTTTTTATCACTGATTGCTGCATAATGATCTTCAATTTTAAAGAAGAGAATATTCAATTCTTATTCGTCCTGTCAGCTCCAGGTAAAACCAGTTTTTCTATACCCTCATTATTTTAGCTTTGTGGTGTTGAGTTCTTTGGGTATTCATTTTTCCTTGATCTAGAACAACATTCAAAGACAACTAAAAAATAAAAAAAACTGATCAAAACCTAACAGTGAGAATTTAAAACGTATTTTCCATTTAGAGAATGAATTGCTGGAGAAGTATCCCATTACAATTTTACTAACCAAATTTCTAAGCGGTGATAAGAGAGAAAGTGAATCGTTTATTATGCTCAGCGCAGAGTCAAGTGTTTATCCGAGTGGATTATGTATTCATACTTACAAGGGGAACTTCCCAAGCTGCCGCCTCCGATCGGGCTGAAAAAATTCATACGAACTCTTTGGATGAATTTATTTGACCCGTATTTTTTTGTTTTTTCCAACGCCCCCTAGAAACCCCCCAAAAAAATTCCGGAAAGTCTTGCTTTGAGCGCTCGAGTGTATATACGTTGTATGGCAATCATATCTTATCAGTCGGCGGTGGCTCTACGGTAGCGCGCTTGGCCGGTGTTTCAGCGGTCCCGGGTTCGAATCCCGGGCGCCGCGCCTATTTTTACGACCGAATTTTATATTCTCACACATTTTCACATCGAATCCCATTTAATACAGTGGAACTTAAAACATCAATTAATTTACAACCATCATCAAACACAAATTGATCTACGATCAATAACTTCTTCAATTTGAAGAATAGATTTTTTTTGGGGAGGGGGGGGGGGGTCACGCGCGCGATATTCTCGCCAGTCACTGTACTTTCACATTAGCAGACGACCCGCTCCGCCCCCTCACATCAACATATTTCTCCCGATCACCCGTATGCGTCATGATTTTTCCCGTCATTATCCACAAAAAAAATCTATACTTCAAATTGAAGAAGTTATTGATCGTAGATCAATTTGTGTTTGATGATGGTTGTAAATTAATTGATGTTTTAAGTTCCACTGTATTAAATGGGATTCGATGTGAAAATGTGTGAGAATATAAAATTCGGTCGTAAAAAATAGGCGCGGCGCCCGGGATTCGAACCCAGGACCGCTGAAATGCCGGTCCAGCGCCCTACCGTAGTGCCACCGCCGACTAACAAGAAATGGTTGCCATACTACGTATATAGACTCGAGCGCTCAAAGCAAGACTTTCCGGAATTTTTTTGGGGGGTTTCTAGGGAGCGTTGGAAAAAACAAAAAAATACGGGTCAAATTAATTCATCCAAAGAGTTCGTATGAATTTTTTCAGCCCGATCGGAGGCGGCAGCTTGGGAAGTTCCCCTTGTTAGTCGGCCCCTGATGTATAGGACTGATGAGTGAGGTCTCTAAAGTTTTCATAGCTAAGCTCTGTCAAATCTACAATGTTGCTTTTGAACTGACCATGAAGAATGTAAGTGCCCATAGCTCGTAGGAGAAAAAGCCCATGAAAATCCGACAAATCAAAGGTCAACAGTTGAGTTGACGTAGCAAAGTGATGCCTAAAGATGAGTTCGGCCAATCAGCAAACGCCGCTTCCCCTGCCTGCATTTTTTAGAATTTCTGCAGTTTCTTTATAGGTATGTTCATTAATACAGCCCCGATTGATATTTTCTTCATCTTTTTCAGCTACTGAAGACTTCAGTAAACTCATAGTAAACCACTTATCCAGAGGAGGAAATCAAAAATTGATCACCACCGCAGCGCGTAAGTGAATCACTATCAATCAAAATTATTCATGCTCTCTAAGTCTCATTTTCCTGTCAATGAGAGTAACCCAGAATCAAAGTTGGTGCTCAAATGCCTGTCTTCTACCATTAAAAATGATTTATTGATCAGAAAATGGACTGTGGTCTTGAGAAAGCACGTCAACCTGTGTAGGTCAGAAGGTAGGGGGATTGTTCATATCGCAAAGCATCTTTCAAAGGTAAATTTCTCAAGAACCTGCAAGTACTTGTATCCACCTGAATACTTGTTGATTCCCAAAACTAACCAAACCAATTTATTCTTGAAAAGCAAGTTAAAATTTACATAAATTTGAGCCGAAAACCGTGGCCCCGCCTGTCGGAATAGACGTAATTTTAGATGATTCAAGACAAGCCATTATCTCTTGTTGGCCTTGTGAGTACCATTTATTGTGATAGTTTACACCTGACTCCTGAGCAGTAATCACGGTATAGCTAGGCAGAGATGTAGGAAATTCGATAACAGAGAAATTTTCATTAAGGTTCATCTCATTTTTTATAAAAACAATGAAGAACATGATTGAAAACTTCGTCCATTGTAATTTTTAAGAATTTCTCTCATTTTTAAAAAAAAATTCGACAAAGTGCTCTTTTCATTCTTATATGTTCACTATGGAAAAAGGCATTTTTTCTGAAATCTAATCATTGTCTGTCGTTTCTAAGTTGTGGAAATTTGAAAGATTCAGGATGATTAGTTTGAAAGGAATGATCTGTCTATGCCCCTGTCACCATAACATTCAGTTTTGCCCCTAAGACTCTGCTCATTGTATACTTTGCCGTAATTAAACATGACAAAAGGACAGAGGCTTTGATTCCTTCTGTGTCTCCCCTGTGTGCTAGCAATGCAGTGCTAATTCAGGTAATCGATAACTCTCTTACCAAATGAATTACTCAAGTTGAGGTATTTATTATGCATCCAAACACCAGCTTTTCATTTTTTCAAAGTGGTCTCTCTCTTTCAGTTTTTTGGCTGAACACTCTCCAGTGATTGTCAAACTTTCAATATCCCCTGAAATTTGTTTTTTTGTTTTTTCCAGAAAAATTAGGTATCAGTAAAGAAACAATTCAAGCTGGTATTGAAGAAGTAATTTACTTATACGTGGAAAGCTGCAAGAGGAAGGTACACTGCACTCTTTTCTTGTTTTTCTTCTTGCTTCAAAATTATAAGAATATCGGCGGAGTAAGTCAGCAATCACATAACTCGGTTTACGACCTTGCAGACTTCCTGTCATACTTTATTTTTTAAACAGATAACAACTCAACGGCAATTCTTTAAAACTGCCGTGATTTTTCTTCTTTGTGCGAAAAAAATTCTGCGCTAACGTCAAGAAATGATGTCAATTTGTTCTCCTTTAAAAAAATGACATAGAGAGGCTTAGCTTTTCAAACACCCCAAACTAGATATGTAATTGCCTGCTTACATAGTCGATATGCAGTACTTTAATTGTAAAAAGAAGGGTGAATTTTTAAAAAGGGTCAATTGTAGCTTCAATCAAATAGATCTCCTTCCACCTAATTCTGAAAAGTCCCAAGAAAGTGTCGACTCGCAAAACATTAATTTAGTAGCCATTTTCTTACTTAAAATGGTGTCTAATGCCAATTGTTCATGAGGCTTGAACATGAAAGTTCTGAATTTTCACCAAGAATATCCATGATGAGGGGAAAATTGTCCATCCCAGCTTTGTTATACCCTCATCTGCAGATTCTTTTTTCTTTCTTTTTCTCTTTCATGCAGAGCTTAATATTTGAGTTCACTTAAAGTTGGAAAAATGTGATTTTTAATTATGAAAAGCTCATCATAGTAACTTTTCCCTCTGGAAATTGTATTCTTCATGTATTCTTTCACTAAATAATAATTCAATGCTTCTTCTTTTTTCAGTTAAGTTGGACAGATTTTAAAGACTTTTTAGTGAGAACAGGTTTCAATCAGGAACAAGCAGAAATACTAAGCAGAGTTTATGAAGGACAAAAATGTTTCATATCTGAAACTCTACAAGAACAGCAGAAATCTCAGTTTCCTCACTTCTCTAATCTAGAATGGAGGCTGGAAAGTCAGGTATGCATCAAGTAACATCATTTTTGTCCCTCATTTTTAGTAATTTTAAAATTATAAATTGCACAGTGAGGCTATTTGATTCAGTCATGAAACCTCGTTGGAAAGAAAAAAATGTATCCAGCAATATCCAGAAAGATTGGAACGTAATTCCTTAATGGACTGGTTTAAAAATCCTAAAAGCTATGCTGGCAATAAATCAAGGATAAGGTCATGAAAAGCAACTTTCATTAATAAAAGCTGGTGACTAGGATCCATCGGATAGAAGAATTTAGCAATGATATTTTCATCAGAAGTTTTTGAAAAAAAGTTTGCCGCAAGGAACGTGTATGAATTTTTCAAAAACTTAATACAACTTAATAGTATTAGGCATTGAAAAATCACATTTTCTAAAAATCGACTCGTTTAATTTTTGAATCAGAACAAATGGACGTATTTCTGCCAAACGGAACTATCTGCATTATGACGTGAGCCCTGTCATGCATATATTCTTATGGATCTCAGGGCTCTTGTCTTAATGCACATAGTTCTGTTTGGCAGAAATACATCCAAATGTAGAAACCCCATAAGGAAATAAGTCTCTGCTGTAGACACAATGAAAGTATGGTCTAAAACTTGACTAAAATCGGATGACTTAAGATTATTTTTCAGAAACGTTGATTTTTGCTTTGAATGGACCAGGAGTTGCCCAGACTATTCCACTGATAATTAATGAATGCCCTGAAATGGTCAAGTGAAATCGTTATTCCGAATTTCTATTTTATGTAAGAGATCATAATTAATGCCGGACTGTTTCTTCACAGGTTGCATCACGCTCCTTGCTACACCAAAATGACCCTACACTATTATTAGAGTTAGAAACATCAGAGGGAGGAACACCTCGGAGACATTTCCTGCAGATGGAGCCTTCAGTTTTGCAAAGCATAACTAGCAAGTTAAATGATGCTCTCAAAGAAGCAAACAGTGTTCTAGCAAAACGTGTCTTAAAAAAATTTTCATGATAAAGGTAGTAAGACTGAAGAAATGTTCATGATGGACTGAACTCATTGTAAGTGCCAAGAAAAATGCATTCCTTATCCAGCTGAAATTGGTGCAATTTTTGGTGAATGTCAATGCCAGGCTAAACTCAACAGTCTTGGGAAGCCGTTCATGCCTTGAAAGAATGTTTACACCCAGTCTGTTCCTTGGTGAGCCTTGTAGGGCTTCCCCAGTTCATTTGAATCTCTTGGCCTTGAAACTTCTTACATTTCAAATAAGTGCATTAAAACAACGTGTATGAAATGTTCTTGTCGAGATTGAATTCATAGATGATCTCAGATGTATTCCCCCCCCCCTCCCCTAACTTGTTAGTTTTAAATCCGGAATGTCCATCCTCCTTTTTGTCTCCTTTTTCAATAGGCATTGAAAATATTTGCATGAGATGCACCATGACCAGAAATTACAGGACCAGAAAAATTGGAATTTTAGGGAAAATAATTTTCTGTATGGAAATCATTGATCTCCTCAATGATCAAACTTTATGACTGCTCTAGGATCCTTGTCATTTCCAGAATTGTGTCATTGGCTTCATTATTTATTACTCACGCTGTCCATGGGGTTAGACATTAGTTATTTTAATTCTTCCTCATGTATATTATTATTAAAAATCTCATGAACCTTTAAAGTTGTTTATATAATGCAATCTAAATTTTTCAGTTTTGAGACTTTCATCCGCAATTTGCAACCCCTAATATAATCGAGTATTTTGTTAATCTGTATTTTTTACATGTATGTCAGTATATATACTTTTAATAAATGTTTTTCAAAAATTTTTAAGGTAAAGATTTATTTTTTGGTACACTTTCTTGATACTTGGATCCTCTGATGAATAATGGAGGAAGAATTTTTTTGATAAATGGAAACGTTGGTGATTTTGATTGTAATATGTTTCTACAATTTTTGAAAATTCCCCAAAAAATAAACTTGATCTCTAGCTCTGTGACATCAGCTTAAACATTTTCTACTTTAATGCTTTTAATGTAATTTTTACACTTCCAACTTTTGTTTCTCAAAATCGAAAAATGTATGTTCCTCTTTTATTCACCAAAAGACCATTCATACAGAGGATCATTTTATTTAGTTGCTGTTTCCGTGTCTTTTACTTGAACTATTTCAGGAGAAAAGGTGAATATTCTACATTGATCAGTGAAAATGACTAATGTGAAATTTTTCAAGTAACAGACCTTCAAAGGGTTACTCATGCTTCATATTCTGTATGATGTGGCAGAGGGATGACAAACGTCCTTCTATCGCTGATTTTCTCATTTTTCCATCAGAAAGCTGCAACACTGATTTTCCTCATAATGTTCAGAGAACTTTTAGCACTTATCTCCATTGACAGAAAATTCACAGGAATAATGCAACTTAAATAATACACCCATCAATTAGGTAGATTCATCTAGAGGCAGCCTAAAGCTATTAAACGATACCCAACTTACTTCTTTTTTTTCTAATGGAGATCGAAGCCACATTTTGACTCAAAATTATGTGAGAGAGTATTTACTCTTGGTTAATTACTTATCCCCATGAATATTTCCAAAAAGTTTCAAGGTGTTCAGATATTTTGTACTTCGATAAAAAATGAAATAGTGAAAATGCAGTTATAAAAACTGATCCTGGTTTAATTAACTATTGAATCAACTGCGATTTGAGTTAGGCCAAATGCACCAGAAAATGAATGAAACTTTCAACTTTAGAGGCTAGGTCATTCAGAAGTTTCATAGTTTACAATAAATTTTCTCCAAGAAGTACATAAGAGATTTAAGTAGATTGAAAAATAGTTGATAAAGACATCATTCTCTTTAATACTTGGTGAACCATCTCCGCTTTTTAGCCCGCCAGAGCACTGATGCACTGATCAGCCAAGGGAGAGGCAGAAGTGGATATCTACAATGTTGTCAAACGTAATAGAAAAAATATATTTACTTCTTTATTTTCGTATGAAAATGTAAATAAATGTTTAACTTGACAGCGTCTGGAAGCAACTCAAAGTAAACATAACCTAAAAACAATTGCATGCCTGCACATGCACCATCGTTTAAAATCGTTATAAATTACGCTCATTATATTTAATATTAGCTTATTTTGACTTGTATCACTCATCCTGCTCAGTGCTCTTTTCCTTTCATTTCTGTGACTTTAGATAAGATTCCAGAAATGTCTGCCAAACACTTAAAACGAAAGAAACTCTCCAAACACATCCTAGAAATGAAGGTAAGCTTTCCATAAGTAATAAAGTAAACACCTTTTCATCTTTTCATTCGAGGGCTTTTTTAAATTCTCAGAGAAGTCTTCCTTTTTCGGACACTGTGGAGTACAAGTAGCTTTCAGGTAGAGGTAGATCAAAGGCCCTTTGTCGAAGGAAACTTGTCCGATTCCGCTTTGGTTTTTTTATTTATGAACACAACCCAACAGAGTTCATTGAGCGTTTGGTCAAAACGTTAGACTTTCATACACACATAAAACACACATGCCATCGGGTAATCCTAACTAAGCCCAAGAATGTTGACCGTCTGGAATCAGGTAAATCTATTACCAAACGGCCGAAAATAGTTTACTTCGACAACGCAGCTAAATTCTTAATTTGCAAGGTAAAACATGTGCACAGGTGTACATTCTACACACATGAACAGTGCAAATTTGCTGAGGTACAAAAAATTAAAAAAAAAAAATTCTCTAAAGCCATAATTAGTCGTAGTCTCTGCTGAAAAATGTCTTCGTTCTGCATTAAAGTCCAAAATACACCTTGTGTTAAAAAATTTCAAAAATCAGCACTCTTTTTTCATCTTTTTTTTGTTGTTTTCCTAACTTTTACCCCATTACAAAAATGAATAGCTTTAATCGAAAAATTTCCTCATGAGCTTTTGAATTCCTTCAGTTAACTACAACCTCTTGGGCATTTGAACCATTTCTGCCCCCTGGGTTTGCAAATTCAAAAAACATCAACCAGTGTGAGTCAGTCTCTTCCTATTGGAAGTATTGCTGAGGTGGACCCAAAATTTTTAGAACAACCCTACCTCAGATTTCTGTAAGAATATAAATTATTGATTTTGCGAGGGAAGTGCTTGAAAATTTGGCTTGGTAAAAAAAGAGAGAAGATTTTCTTCCGTTTCTACTAATTGATGTACTGATCTCATAGTTATACCGTCCCTCTACTTCTTATTTGTGTTTTTGTGTGGAGAAGTGAGATTTTCCCTTCTTCAGGTCTTGTTTTGAAAAATCATTTTTTAGAACCTAGTAGTGATTTTTATTCTAAAAATTATGGATTTGCTAAAACAGTTGTGAAACATGTTGTAATGCATTTTATCCTTTGTAGTTCATGCAGCGCACTAAAGAAAAAGTACGATTGTTGGATGAAGAGGAAGAAGGGCGAGCAACGTTTTCAAGTGAATTAACAGAACAAATGGCGGACCAAAAGTGAGTAAACGCAAAATGGTGTATCAAAAATTAAATTGCCCAGGTAGCAAGGTCTGCTATAAAATAATTTTTATTATATCTTCGAAATAACAGTTTTATTGCTATTAAATGAGAGTTTTAATTCCTATTAATATATTATAAAAAAACAATTTATATCGGTTGAAAAGATCGATTAAAGTACTCCCCAGTTACAACAGTTTCAGGCGCTATATTCCTATTTTATGAAGTTAAAAATAACAGTTTAAAATAATTTAATGACATAAATCAACAATGATTAAAGTAGTGAAAAACAAATTTCATTTGGAAAATTTACTGGTGTAAAGCGACACTTGTCTTAAAATAAAAATAAAAAATTTAAATGTTGAATACGAGTTTTGAATTATTCTTGTAAAGTATTAAAAAAAACTTAAAATATCCATAGAAAAACTAATTTCTAATAATAGAACGACTCGTAAAATTGTAGTTTTATTGAAAATTAACAGTGTCAATATATGAAATTTTATTCGTTTTTAATATTTTGTTAAACTGTTATTTTTTGGTTTTAAAAGATCAATTATAGAACTCCCCAGTTTCAGGCCTCATATTTCTATTTTGATCACCGATGACGGTGAGCACCGATACTTCCTCTAAGGAGGAGCAACAAAGACTATGCAGCAGGGATGTGACTACACTCGACACACCACACTACAATCAACGCTATAGATAGGCCCATGCCCTGTCTAGGCACAGTTAACCACAGGGGGGTCATCAAAAATGTGAGAAGAAAATCCACTCATATGCACCGAACAAAGCAAACATAGAAGCCGTCGATAAAAAAACGTATGTCGTAGAATATAAATAATATATTTTATGTTTTCACTACACACAAAGGTTAGACAGGCACCATAAACGACCCATCCAAAAACAAAATAAATCGGAGCTCTCTATCGGAAATAAAAGGAAACACCCCGATTACAATAAAACAATCGGAAATTAAAATCGGTATTTAAAAAAATAATGTAATACTAATTTATATTTCACAACTGTTTAAAATAAAATGTTTTGCAGAAAAACTGCAATAAATCAGATATTTAAACTGTCATTTTATCACTATCACTTGTATCTTTTTATCGATTTAAATTATATTTTCCTTGTTAGTGATAAATAGTTATCAAAGTTTTTTATAAGGATTCTTTTTCGACAAAAATTAAAGCTACACCGGTTTTCAGGAAACAATGATTTAAAAATAGTTTCTCACCAATATTGTTTAATAAATAATGTAATAATAATTAATATTTCATGGTTATTTATAAGAATGTGTTTTGCAAAAATATGGCAACAAATGAGATATTTAAATTTGTTTTTTATTGTCTTTTTTTTATCTTTTTATTGATTTAGATTAAATTTTTCTCATTAGTACAGTATAATACTTTATGTTTTGTAAAATAGCTTTTTTAAAACAAAATGGTCTACTTCTGTGTTTTATGAAATCAACTTTAAAAAAAAATAAATTAGAATAATTTTTTTAACTTTTTTTAGTTATTAAAATGTTAATCTACTTTCCTTTCTTTAAAAAAGTTTTGTTAAGTAAGTGATTTTGATTGAGAATTTTAAACCGTCGTTTTATTTCAAATCTAAGTATGTTTTTATTGCAATAATAGTTTCATTTTCGATCGGTGTATAACACTAGTTAAATTTGTGTTATATTTTCAGAAAACATGACTAAATTATAAATTTTCCACTGGTATTTTTTAAGTATGTAAGAAAAATTTTTCAGTGATTATAGTCGCAAAGGACTTCTCTTTTCCGTTGGTTTTTCAACTGTTGTACTAGAGCAAACTTTTCGATGAAAAAGTGCACAAAAGTAACAGTGTAAAAACTGTTGTGAAATTGCAATTTTGAACTGTTACTATTGCTACCTGGGTGCAAAAAAGGTATCTCCCAATCTTGCCGTATTTCTAAATTCCTCGTCCTTCTTGGTTATTCAAATAGTACATTTTTAGGTATTTTTGAACAAGTTTGAAGGACTTTTTTTTCAAAAATGTAACGAAAAATGAAACTAAATTTTTTGTCAAAATAATGATCGGTAAGTCATCTACCAAAAATTAGAATGTGGCAGAAAAGATGCATTTTCGCGAAGAGAGATCTGTAATTTTGTAATTTATCTGTTGATGTAGTTTGTGTTGTAATTTCTTTGCAATATTTTAAAGTTACCATTCCGACATGACAACTTAATTATGGACGCCGGATGGTAGAATGAAATAACGATTGATCTTGATCTGTGATTATTGGCTCTCAGCCGCGTATTAGTTCATTAATGTCTTGCAACAAACATCCTAGCCTCAAGTTTTTCATTAGCTTAGTAATTAATCGTAGAAAAATCCAAAAGCACTATTGTTTTGCCCGTAAAATTTGGCTCTGGACTGGATTCACTTTATTGTACATCCTGGCTTTCACAGGAACATCATTTAATACTTCTCTTTTTCCGTCCTGTTTCAGGAGCAACTACTTTATTCAGCCTAGCTTTGCTGTTTGTGATGGCCTAATGCCAAGTCGTCTGTCTTTCCTGGGAATGAATCCACTCATAGAAAAATTCATGAAAGGCGAGGCAGGTTCAGATGTCCAGACTAAAGAGGAAGCAGACGTGAGTTTAGAAGAAATGGCTGAAACGTATGCCAGCAACAGCACATTAGTCGAAACAATGGCCAACAAATTTCATAAGAAGAAGAGAGATAAATCTAATGACAAAGAGCCGGACAGGAAAAAAATGAGGCTTAGTGATACATAATTTGCATTTCTCTCCTAATGTGGTGCGTACTTTAGTATTAATTGTTCAAATAATGAAGCTCAAAATATTATTGTCTGTATGACTTGGGACATATAAAAAGACTGTTTCTTATAAGTCTACCCTTCTCTAATGCCTTCATGGATAACAATATTCACTCAAGCAAAAGATAAAGGTAAACTTATGTGCAGCCTGATCGTTGAAATGTTGTGTTTGTCGGGTAGACATAGATGACATAGGTTAAAAGGCGGAGCGTGATTGGTCTGCTATGTCTCATTGCTGCTTTGTTGTGCCTTTGTCAGGTGGAATGGAGGACATACTGTCGGAAACTTAAGAGGTGCCTTTAGCTTGTCGTGAGTTCCACCTGACGTAGGTACAACAAAGCATCGATAAGACATAGCCGACCAATCACACTCCGCCTTTTAACTTGTGTCATCCATGTCTACCCGGAAAACACAAAATTTCAATCATCAGGCTGCTGGAAGGTGGTCTAGCTGGTTCAAAATGTTTCGAGGGTTTGTAATGACCAAAGTTTTGGAAAGAAATTCAATTTTGCCTCAAACTGCATAATCTTCAGTTTTGACTGAGCTAAAATTTGTTGGCAACTTGAAAATTAACTATACTTAGTCTAGCTAGACTGCACTTAAAAAGTTCATAGAAATATCAATTGTGAGGAGGAGATCTGCAATTTATAACGGGTACATATTTCATTTAAAGGAGAAATATTTCTCAGAAACGAAGAGAACTTGACTGCTTGCCTTTATGAATGTACTTACAATTGAATGCAAATAATTATTTCTTAATATAGAATAAAGCAGTCTTTATCAATAAATCAAGCAATATTGTTAATATTTTCACTGTGAAATATTGGGCCTTTCTCCAATTTATTTTGCTTGAAGCTCTTGGAAGGATCACCCTTCACTTACAATAGAAAAAAAATTCTCTTCATTCCCTCATGGGATATCTTGTGGCAACTTAGGAAAAAATACATTCTGTACTTAGCTTTTCAAAGTTTATTTAAGGAAAAACATTTTTAATACTGTAACAATGAATAAGACGTTTCCTTCCACAATCTCTCTAGATTCTCTGTATGACTGTGGTCCACAATCTGCACAAATGTATACGTAACTTTGCCATACACTGCAAGGATACAATTCATCCAAATTTTCCATCCCCATTTTTATTGTCTGTCTTAGTCCTCTCTAACTAGAAAGTTAGGGAGCCCTTTTTTTTCTCTTTTTCAAAACCAATGTATTGCATATTCGTGAAAATAAATTGGAAATGTGAATATGAAATTGAGTTTTTTTTTCTGGACAGATCATGAATGTAGACATGGGCTACATGGCCTGCAGCCCATGGTCATGGAAAGGGAGCAGATTTCAAAAAAAATAATTATTTTCCTGCTTTCAATCTTCCTAGGCCGCTAGGGGCGTCCTATTATTAGCTTCCAGTTAGGTTCATCACTTTTGACATTTAATAGCAGCCCTTGGATGGCAAATAGAGATATTTGTCTTTGAATAGGAAAGAAAAAGGTTGAAATGGAGGAAGAAGTTTTAGTGTGCCCTCACCTCGTATGCAAATGGGAGAGAAACCACCAAAAGCACAGAGTTTCATTTTAGATTTGCTGTTCAGCTAAAAAACTGGCTTCTCTTAACTTTTGCGCCTCATCCGGACCCAGTAATTAAAACAAAATTAAAAGGCCCATGTAAAGTTAAATTCATTTACTGAAGAAAAAAATGAGTCCTAGTAAGTGTTGCGGGTAAGTGATCGCTAATGTGTGTGACTGACACAGCTCATTAAGTAGATTTTGGATATTATGAGAAAGTATATTTTGGAAATTTTTGAACTTTCCGTAGTATTTTGAGACCCTATTTAAGATTAACTTCTGAATACAGAAGCACTAATTCAAAGTAATGATAATACTCAAATGCAATGATTATTTGTCTTGCAAGACAAAGAGAAGTTTGAACTGTAGCAGATGATTTAAAGCAAATATCCTTCATCCCTTTTTCATTTTAGCTAAACACTTAGGTATTTGAAAATAAATTAGAGCAAAAGTCCGCAATGAGCACCCTGTAGATATTTATGAATTTCTATTCTTCTCTGAAATGTTGAAACATTTCACTGAAATCCTTATATTTAGAAGTGTTTTGAAAAGATATTGACCCTACCAAAATTCCTCAATTTGCCATTCATCTTTGAAACCATGAAAAGTAAAAATTCTTGAAAATTGGCACTGCGGTGGCAAGTTTGAGTTTAGGATCTTCTTCATGGCACAAATATACACAATCTACAGCAAAAGTAAATGGCTTTGTGGGCAGGGGTTTCAAAATCAGTGGGCCAATACAACAAACATGTCATTAATCAAGACTACATTAACTCCGATAAAACACCTGGGCATATTTTACTTAAGGGCTTAAGCATCAAAATCCAAGTTTCAAGAAAGACAGAAAAAACTGTGTCATTGGTGTGCATTTAATCTTATGAGTCCAATTATAAGTAGCAGGTATTTTTCAGACAAAAACGTTTCTTCGGCTCAAAAGGTTGAGCGCAAGCCAAATAGCACAATTTTTCTCATTTTCCTTGGAACTTGAAAATTTTGGCAGTTGAGCCCTTGAGAGAAATATTATTTCAACTGGTCTTGGCGTAATGGTATGGAAATACTATCCGTCTATCAAATTACTGACATTTTTCTCAGTGCAAATTTTCACACTTAATTTTTATGGTTTCACTTTAATTTCAAAGTTCAAAATTATTGATCATCAGACCAAAATACAAAAAGATTTCTCTGCCCTCATAATTCATCTCATAATTTCATTCATAATTTTTCTCTGTCCTCATAATTTCATTTTTAGATGTGCCAACGTGACTTCAATCCCCTTACAACAGCAACATTCATAGCTCATTAAAAATACATGTGGATTCATCAAAACCGTATTCAATCAATTAAACTCATTTTGTTATGGCACATTATGAAACAAGATAAAGTGTATTGTGTACTCTCGGAGGCTTGTTAGGGCTAACAGACAGGGCAGCTACTAGTCGCATCGACTATCTCACAGTCAAAAGTACATGTAAACTGTATCTTACAGAGAATGAAATACCTAGCGGATATCTTTAGGAAAAACTAAGTTTTCTTCCAAGAATAATACATTTCAAGAGGCTTATTAACTTTCCAAAATTTATCATTGACTTGCCTTAAGGTTTGATTACCACTAAGAATAATAAAGTTATTTGGCGTAGGAGAAATATAAATACAAAAGTTAAGAGTCCGGTCAGGTAACTCTGCACCAAGGTCTAATGTTAAACGCATAGCCAGATATTTGCTCAAATGATCCACTGAAACACAAAAAGTATTAAGGACATCAAAATTAATCTCTGCTTGCAAAAGTCTTGGATATGGCTGTAATGATTTGGTCAAGATTTAAACCATGTTTCTCTACCTTTCCTTGTCTTGTAAATATTTGATACAGTTATGACAGCTCCCTGACAGATGTTCATCTTTTGTAGAAAAGAAAGCTGCAAGTTTCTTACAAATTCAAGCAAATTTGGAGTGATTAAACTTGATTCTTACTTTAAAGTCTACTCAATAATTTGGGCAGATTTTTTTTTCCTTTCTGCAGTTTATATACATAAATCTAGACTAACTCCACCATTGGCTGGATCTCACTACTTCCTGTGTAAGTGCCGGAGTGAGCTTCCCACAGGTTTAGCTTAAGAGTTGGACGTATTTATGCGAAAAGGCGCTAAACGCCATTTCCAAACTTCTCAGTAAAGCAAGTTTGACTAAAACAATTGGCGTTTCCGTACTAATGGACCGATTTTGGTTTACTTTAGCTTGTTTGAAAGCTGAAAAGTTCCTCTAATTAAGTACGTTGCCAAAATTAGGAAAAAATGCATATTAAGCGAGATATAGGGGATTTTTGCACGTAGGTCCATTTGATTTAATGCGCTAACCCGGATTCCGAATTAAATCAAAAGGCGCTATCTCCACTTGAATCACTTGATTGACGCGCGCGCGGCGAAGCTTGGTGGCAACTTGGTGAAATTTAGTACCGGGGGGTATTTTTGGACGGGAAATTCGAATTTCGGGTCGAATTTTGAAAATTCAGAAATCCAAGATGGCGGACATGGCCTAAAATGCTATCTCGGCCCCTGTCCAGCCGATCTTGGTGAAACTTGGTATCAGGGGGTATTTTCGGACGGGAAACTCGAATTTCGGGTCGAATTTTGAAAATTCAGAAATCCAAGATGGCGGACATGGCCTAAAATGCTATCTCGGCCCCTGTCCAGCCGATCTTGGTGAAACTTGGTATCAGGGGGTATTNGATTTTTCAGGGGCTGATTCCAGGGGATGAAATTAGTATTTTGGGGGCATATTTACGTGTGAGAGCAGCCTATTACACGGAGAATCCAGATCCGTTAAAAACTGAAATTTGGAAATTTGGCGCTTAGTTCCCTTTCGTATAAATACGTCCAGTTGGCTAGTATCTTCGATAAAAATTCCTCATTCACGATAGAATCTAAAAACACACATCTCAATTTCTGACATTGCAAATTTTACATTTCTATTAAGAACCTGATTAACTTCATTCCTTGAGATTTTGACTGATTCCTTACTCAAACTATGCAGCACGTTCTTTGAAAAGTTTGAACTATGAGGTTTATTCCTCTTTTCCAATGATAAAACAATAACAAAGATTTTTCACATCGAAATCGAGATCTGTATTTTTTACCTTAATTCATACTGCTGTGTGAAGAAAAGGTACTTTGAACTTGTTTAAAATTAGTTAGCAGTTTGTTCACTTCTGACAGTCATGTGCAATAGACAGATTTAGGCCTTGTCCACTTAAATGTAGTTCGAGGAACTGTTGGTGAACTTGTTCCGAGAACTTGTCATAAATTACCACTTACTCTTTCCTAGAACCCCCTGTTTGTGGAACTCGTTTGTCCAAACTTCGCTTGCGTGAACAAGACCTTGTGTATCTGCGCATGACGGCAACTTCACCCATGGTCAATGATGCTATTGGCAGTGAATGTCACTAAAGCATAATGGGAATGCAGTTGCTGGCAAACAGCAAGTTGACAACTGCCTAATTACCTGCTGCAAGTCATATCTTCAATGAGGAAGATGGTATGATAAATAAGTAAGTACCTGTAGCATTTGCTGTGGTTTTTATGTAGCGTATTGAGTTCCCTCTGAGAGCTTTGATGAGGACGTCATCCTCTACCATTTCCAGTGGATGCGGTTTGAAAACTAGCTCAATCTCATTGACGATTGCAACTTCGGTAGATGTCTCACCTTCCATCATAGAGTCATTGCCTCCAAAAGTGTCCATACTAGATTCTGTTGAGTCGATTTCAGAATTTGTCATGGATTTAGAGTTTCTCAGGAATTTGGAGTTGAAAGCACTCACATTATCTTTCGACAATTGCGAGGAGCACGAGGACTGAGAGTTCTCATTGACGACTGAGAAAGAGGAGGATAGACGCTCTCCTGCTGATTCGCTCTGTAGACTCGGAGGAACTTGTGGTTCATTTTGTGTGGTGTCCGGATCATTGGCATTCTTTTTCAATCTTTGTAGCCTATTCTGTGTTTGAAGTTTGATTCCCTCGGTTATTGAGTTCACAAGCGCAGCTTGGCTGTGGCTTTTGTTCAATTTCTCCAGAACTCGGACCTGATGTGCTTCATATTCATCTCGACTCGGGTAGATTTTAGAGATTAACAGGTCAAAATTGGGATCAGGCCTTAAAGACCGTTTTGAAACGAGTTTTTTACGACAAGTAGGGCACTCTTTGTTGCCTGATCTTAGAGCTGTGATGATGCAGTCGGAACAAAATCTATGTAAACATTCCTTTGTTGTCATTGTTTTCTTCAACATGTCTAGACAAATTGGACACATGAGTTCACTGTGTAAACTGCGGGGTGACACTGCGATTTCGGTGTTATCAGTTATTGCCTCTTGTGGCGTACGATGTAGCTCGTACATCGAAAGTTCCCAGGACTTGCTAAGTCCGACTGGCTCAGTTGAAGCCATTATGAGACGTCGCGATTTATAAGCACGTCAGAAACTTTGAGTCACTGTAGTCATGCAATATTTAAGATACCGACTTACTAAGTTCTTCATTGAATTCGTTCAACTTTGGAGAAAGTGACTGTTATCAGTCAAAACTACATGTTTTTGCACCACCACGAAACTTTGCTTACTTTTTACTCATGTGTTTACATTTTGTAAAAGCAGAGGGCGCTAAGATCGATAGATTTCAAAGTTTGTCAACTTTCAAAACTGAGAAAGCTCCAAAAGAGTTACATTGAGGGGAAAATGTTGTTCGATCAATTGCCAGTAACTGTTACTAGCAAAACAAATTCAATTTAGGATGTTGAATATATACTAAATAGTTGCTGTCGCACTGAATATTGACAAAATGTGCATTTTTGATGCAGTAGAAGCATGTCTTAAAGTCTGCCTGTAGTCAGTGTAATGATAGCATGATTTTGGAAAGTTGGTAACTGTCCTGTTGAGTACGTTGAATGATGTTTGGCAACGTTGCCACTACCACCACATGGAGCGTGGCGGTGGTGCTGTGTGTTTACATTTTTGTGATACCGTGCTTATCGGATGGTAATATTTTTCAGTTTTTTAATTTGATAACAATTCCTATTCTCCACTTATTTCTCTTTCAAACTCTCTCAATGATGTGGGGTTCTACTCGTGGCTCTACTTTGCCTCACTTCCTCCTATGCTTTCCTCTATTTTCGCTCCAACTTTCTTTTGCAATGATGTTCGGAGCAAGCCACTTGCCTATCTTCAAGTCCTTAAAACATTGAATTCATAGGTTTCTGTGAGTGTTTTTCTTCATATTTATCTTTTCTTTCTTCATCTCTTTCTTTTTGCTTATAGCTGTGCTTTAGTTTGCTTTATTATTCTTGGAACAAAAATGTTGTTTGACGGAGCGGAGTGCCTCATGAACTCATGAAGTCTGCAACTCACACGGTTTGAGTAATTATGAGAGTAATATCAAAGGAATGGGACTTCTATTATCTAAAGCCTTGTCAGAATACTGAATGCCACAATGTCATTACTGTGCACACAGCTATAATGACAACTATTTCACTGTTTCTAAAGCTCAGCCACCTGGATCTACTGCCACATGTCCATTTACAATCCTAACAACATAGGTACAAACTATGTATGTAATACTATCAATGACCTTTTGAATTTATTGCACTTCTAGCGTGCATACCTCATTTTGAAAATTACAAATTTCTGCACAGATTCAAGTGAGTCCCTCTTGAATTTTTTACAACACTGTTTTTTGACTCACCATCCCTTCAATTTTTTTTATCCTCATAAACTAAAAAACTGCCCATGAGAAGTCACTCTTTACTATACACAAATTTAACGTAGCTCTTTTGTATCGAGCAAATTTTCTCCTCTCTGTACCTTCATAAATCCTGGAGTGGGAAATTGATTCAAAATTTTTTCCCTCTAGATATTGGACTTACATTGTTCCGTTAGTTATCATCATGGATGCAGGACTCAACATTAGGAAAAACCTCGGGACATTATTTTCAAGTGCTGTGAAGGATGCCTTTCCAAGTATCAAAGACCCACTTATTGTCATAGCTCCTTCGTCAGGGAAATTCCCATCTGATTACCAGTGCAACTCAGCTCTATCAATCAACGCTCAATTGAAAACTGAAGGTTTGTATGTAATAAGTAACAAGTTGTAATAAGTAAATTCAAATGAAAAATAGATAAGATGGTCTAGCAGCTCAATTCAAAGTCCTTTCTTGATATACTTCAGCAAGAGAAATGATTGCACACGGAATACCAAGAAATTTGGCATTGGCTAAAGTTTTTCGTTACCAGACAAGTATGATGTTCCTTTCAACATTCAGAGCACGATGATATTTTGAAATAAAACTTTTTACGTGCCAGTGTTCTGAAAAGTGACTTTTTCAGTGACATTTATACCCATGTTTTCTCTTGGAGATGTGTGTGGAACTGCGAGTATGTGTGAACTGTTATCATTCAGAGGATTTGTCCATCCTTTATTCCTGGTCGGTGACGATCAGTCGAGATATTAATGTGATGTTACAATATTTCTGCCAGCTAATGAGTGTTTAAATGCTACTGTTTAATGTTACTTTCCATCATTTATTTACCTTTAGTGTCTTTGATCTCCACATTTCAAAGCCAATGAATAATTCAAAATTTTCTGATCACATTTTTATGTTTATCCTGATCCAGTACTGCAGCAAAAAAAGTAATTTTTATAAGCTACAAATTGTATTTAACATACACACTCCGATTAAATTTCCGGTATCTTCTTTTCAGGCATTAAAACGAATCCCAGAGATGTTGCCCTAAAAATCATCGAAAAAATAGCTAACAACAATATCATCAAGAAAACAGAAGTTGCAGGCCCAGGTTTTATCAACATTTGGCTCAGTGAAACATGGGTGGCCAGTTCTGTGAAGGAGCTCCTTATTAAGGATGTCGAACCTCCAAAAAATGAGGCCAAGCAAAAGATCATCGTCGATTTCTCTGCTCCAAATATTGCGAAAGAGATGCATGTTGGTCATCTTCGGTGAGTATTTCGACTCCGTTCCAAATATCATTCCCATCTTTATTTGAATTCCTAAATGGTCTTAATTTTGCCTATTTCCAATTGACCAATGGGAGCTCCCTGTGGAAGCAAGGAGAGGGAGGAGGGGTCAATAACCATTCCAACCACACTATACAATTAGGAACTATTACTTCTGGCTCAGTTTAGAAACATCGTATGTACTAATAGTTTCCCTACGTGTATTAGTGTTTTTACGGATGATCCAGGTATTGTAGTCTCTAATTGCAAAATGTAGTCCTACAATTTGCAATTAGGAACTACAATTCCAGGCTCATTTTTAAAACAAGTACCTATGTGCCGTTAGTTTCTCGATAGAGATAGGTGCTTTTAAGCATGAGCCAAAAATTTTAGTTCCTTATTGCAAAATTTAGTCCATTTGCTGTGTGCTTCATTCGTTATCAACAAATGTGAGACTGAGTTCCAGTGTGTCTCCTCACCTTTCCAAGAATAAAAAGCTTTTTCTGTTGGAAACGTTAGGTGCCAGTTGCATTGTGGGATGTGGAATTATTTGTTTCTCCTCTTCTCTTTATTGTCAGTATAGGGGCACCATTTCAGATTATTGCAGGATCAGGCATAAAAAAGACAAGGTTTTTTTTGGCTCAACTTCTCACTTTGGAAAAAGCAGGCGAGCGGTTTTCCCGAGTCAGACTTAGAAGCCCAAGGCTGGGCCGCGCAAATACCCGGCCTGTGCCCCCTCAAATGGCGTCCCTGTGTCATTAACACTGAAAACTACTGTGTCACTAAAAACTACTTTTATCCTCCTCTTATATTACTTGTAATGTTTCCCTGTTTCTAGTTCAACTATCATTGGAGAAAGTATAGCCCGTCTCTTCGAATATTTAGGCCATGATGTTCTGAGGATAAATCATATTGGTGATTGGGGCACACAATTTGGAATGCTAATTGCACATCTTCAAGATCGTTTTCCTGACTACGTTACAGTGTCTCCACCCATTGCCGATCTCCAGGCATTTTATAAAGAATCCAAGCAGCGGTTTGATGAGGATCCTGAGTTCAAGAAACGAGCCTATAGCTGCGTAGTGAAGCTTCAAAGTTTCGAGCCTGAATCTACCAAGGCTTGGCAACTAATCTGTGATGTCTCTAGAAAAGGTTAGAGGAAGATTTCTCACGGTGTAACTCTCTTTAGTTCAGTATGTTCAAAAAAAAGATTTGTGATAAATTAAAATGATAGTATCTCTGGAGAGAGAGGTTTCAAATAGAACAATAAAAGATGTCAATGAGAAATAGTGCATCATGCCTATTTTTTAACACGGAGAATGATGAAGTCAATGGAAAATGCATTCTATGACCTGAGGGAGACAGTCAAAGTTATCACAAAGAAAGCTACTAATATTTATGCAGAAGTAATCTTAATTATACAAGAAAATGGGACGCAAGACACTTATTTCATGACTCCTTTTGACAAAAATATATGAACCCTAGGAGAAACTAGATAAAATATTTCAAAAGGAGGCACAAGCGGTCAGGAAATGTGAATACCAGTAAAACCCCAATATCTCTGAAAAACATACATCAATGTATAATTACAATGTATCAAAAAATTATTGAATTCTGGTCTGGTGCTTGTATCTGGGTGCTAAATCATCAAATAGATCAAAACTGTCTAAATAAATTGATGAAAACCAATATATTTGAACTAGTGAAAATGTTTTTTACTGTGTACAAGTTCAAAAAATCAGAAATTTTAGTTGATGTGACATGGAATCGCTCCCATAACATATTTCACTTGTACTCTCGATCTACGTTCTTTAAGTATCTCCTATTTGTTTGTAAACCAGCAAAACTCATAGTTTTTTCCATTTTCAGAATTTCAAAAAATTTACGACAGGCTAGACATAAAGCTAATCGAACGCGGTGAATCTTTCTACCAGACTCGCATGGAAAAGTTGGCCAAACAATTAAAAGATAATGGTAATTACTCTCCGTTCACATAATCCTTCTTCAGCTTGACTGCACATCAGCTTCTCCTATTTTCTAGGCGTCTGGACTTTGTTGGATTTAGAAAAAGGGAAGAAACCTTTTTTCAAAGTGTCCATCCCAGTGCTAACCTTACTTTAATTTCTCTCTTCGTCTTCCTGTCCTTTAGGAATCCTTGCCCCTCCAAAAAAAAAATCCATTACTTGAAACGAAGGAATAATTTCTTTTGGTCGCCTGCTTTTCAGTAACTGACTTTTACATTTACAATACTAGTTGATTTTGTTTTAATTTTGAATTAAGTTTTCCTTTATTTTACCTGTGAATTAACCATTAAGGGGCTCCACCAGACTTAATGAAAGTTTGAAAATCTAGAAAAAATACTACTTGAGAGAGATTTGGAAGTATTCAAAATGCACGGAAGTAACAACACCGAAGATACAAGATTATTGCAACATTTTGTTTGAAAGGAATCCATTGCAAACCACAAGAAGAAGATTATTCAAAATTGTTTATTTGTTCTAAAGAGCAAAAATGCGCTCAGTGTTTGCTTTTTGTTGAAGTTCTCTAAAATTAATTTATTTTTACAGAAAGATTGATACTCCGCTAGAATGATTCTCATGCAGAACGATTCGCCGTATCTTTTAATCTGATGTTTACTTTGTTTTTCTTCCTATGAATACTATACAGGGATCTTGGAAGAAGATGACGGCAGGTATGTGCTGTGGGGTCTAAACAAATCAATAACAATACCAATGATAGTGATCAAATCTGACGGAGGATTCACATATGACACATCAGATCTAGCAGCTCTAAAACAAAGAATAGAGGAGGAAAAGGCTGAGCGGATCATTTATGTAACCGATCAAGGCCAGGTAAGTTTACTTGTTGCATTTTTAAGCCTCCATTGCTATTCACAAGAATGCTTTCTCTCAATTTTTTGTAACCTTCATCAATTATTTTGTTTATCAGCCCTTGATCAGGGTTTCTACTACCGGGAAAACAGGAAAAACCAGGGATTTAATGTTAACCCTGAAATTTACGCTTTTTCAAACTCTGCAGGTTTGGTCCATTTGTGTTGTGTGTAACCACTCCAATGTAGAATGGTAACAAGAGGCAGTGAAGTTGGCAAAGATTTTTACTAGCTGAATGTAACCTTTGAAGTCACCAGTGACCAGAGTCTTGGTAGAGTGGTTAAGTTATAGTGCATAAGCGGTGGATGCATTTTAGTAGAGAGTCATTTTCTGCGAACACCGCAGGGAAAATACAAGGAAAACCAAGAGAATTTGAAAATTGGAGAAAAAGAAATTCTAGATGATAAATCCGTGGTCTCTTTTGGCCTTTCATGGAAAAGAGAAATCCGCAGGATGGATTTTGTTCAACATTTGTCCTCTTTAGCATTTCCGTTTTGGCAGCGGTATGTACCTAGTGAGAGGAAAGCGGTGCGTAAATATGTCTACTTCTATGTAAGAGGTTGAGCTGATTCAGAAAAAATAAAATCTGTGTTTGTTATTAACTTCTCCAAATTAATCTGGACTTGACATCTTTAATACCAAGTGAAAGAAAGCTGTACAAAATTTGGGTGCATTTTGAAGGTTCAAAAGCCAGATGGCACCAAAGCCTTTTAATTGTTTGAGGAATTCTTTGAAATGGGAATTTGCTCCATATTATCATCTCTTTATGTAGCAACTGCACAATCCACGTACTCAGTTTTCGATCTATTTTGGACATCTTCATGTCATGAAATATCAAGCTGAAATCAATAATTTAAGAAACTATACCTGAAAGTCTTTGCTATTTCAATTTTTTAGGAAACTCATTTCATGCTACTGAAAAGCTGTGCAGAAAAAATAGGCTATTATGATCCATCCAAAGTACGATTCGATCATGTTGGTTTCGGGGCAGTCCTAGGAGAAGATAAGAAGAAATTTAAAACCCGGTCTGGAGAATCAGTTCGTCTCATAGATCTTCTAGATGAAGGTAGAGTATTTTCTTTGATTCTTCCCGTTTTTATCAACTAATCGCCTAGAACGGGGGATGCCCTACCTAAATTTGTGGGTACATTTTACTCTTACATGTACCCACTTGTAGTCTGAGCAAACAGATTAGACTGAGTAAAAAAAATTTGGGCATTTTGGGGCGAACAAAGAATTGAGACCTATGATCCTGGTATGGAGCATCTGGATCCGCACGGAGCTCACCGAGGTATTACTCCCATTGTGTCCAGATCGTGTATTCCTCCAACATGATTTGTGATACAATAACTTACCATTATACTTATCTTCAATTATATATATTTTTTATCAGTATTGCAAGCTGAATCTGAATCCGGTGAAATGAAGGGAAAATTCACAAACAATTAAAAAAAAAAATGGTCGGCAATTTTTGTCTACCAGTAGACCACGATGACAAAGGTTGGACCTCCACATAAAGGCTCTGTCTGGACATGATGGAAACAAAATCTCGATAAGCTTGGCGTAGACCCAGCGGGTCTGCGCCAGGATCCGAGGTTGTAATTCTCAGTTCGCCAGAAAATCCCCAAATTTTTACTCGGTCCAATCTGTTTGCCTAGACTACAGTTCTGGGTTCACTCAGCTGGGCTCATGTTTTATTTGTAGGGATGAGATAAAGGTAGAATAACTGCAAAATATTTGGAGTTATGCCCCTGTCCCAACTTCAATCTTGCTTTTGTTTTGTGTAGTTTCACTGAGATTGGCACTATAACCTGCTTACCCTGACATTTTAAAAAAGAGCTCACTGAGTAAAAGGAGCTGGTTGGCACAAGCAGGGTAGTTAGTGAATCTATTTCTGTCCTTTGTATCAGTAGAAATTTCCATCCACAGAATGGAGCTCTTGCATATGTCAGGAATTTGCATTCTGAATACTGCTTTCTATGTAAAATTTTGCAAGAAACGCAATATTGTCCCTGGTTTTCTCTGAAATAAACTCCAAAGCTCAGAAAAAGCTCTCTAAATTGAGGCTATAATGGAGGGGATATCCCATGCTACCTACTTTGAGAGTTCACCTCTATTAGAGAGCAAATATATTATTAGGGTTGCCACTTTGTTTGAGGACTCCAAAACTGAAATCACAGCAACCATGCTATTGTATTTACTCCCTATCTTTGCATAAAGGGTTTGTCTTGACATAGAGGTGGACTCTTTGGGTAGCAAGGGATATCCTCTCCACTACTGTCTCAACTTTGAAAGCTTTTTTTGAGCTTTGAAACTGATGCCAGAGGAAACCAGTGGCATTATAGTGTTTCTCACGAAATTAAAGAAGTACTTAAATCTCAAATTTTTCACGTATGTGAGAGCTTCATTGAGGTGACGGTACATCTTATGTGCAAGAAATCTGAAAACGTAATGGAGAAATTGCATTTTTATTTTGATGAGAAAGAATCTTGGACTGCATCTTACCCTTTTTAGTGCTAAAAAAAAAAAAAAACAACTTGCCCGCGGAATGACGAAAGTTTTTTTTTTCTTTTTTCAAAATTACTCCAATTTTGTATTCCATAGCAAATGCATCTTACCTTCCGGTTCGAAAATCATATGACCTTATAGTCTTTTGATTGGTCGAAAAGTTACAAGCTTTAGAACCAGTCAGAAGCCAGAATTGTTTCAAGTGACAAATATTTATTGGATTATAATTTATGTGTACAGGAATCAAGCGTGCCGAAGCCAAATTAGAAGAGAAGGGAAGGCGAGAGGACATGACCCCAGAAGAATTTGACATAGCCAAAACTGCAGTAGCTTATGGATGCATCAAATATGCAGATCTATCACATAACCGAGTTCATGAATATGTGTTCTCCTTTGATAAGGTATTATTTCTGATCCTCCTATTCCCTAACCCAAGGTTCAAACAATTTTTGCTGCAGTAAAATTGAAGGGGGATGAAAGTCATGCATTTAAGCTAACGTTAAAATTTTAAATGTGTTTTGAAGGGTCATCCTTTGAGGTCTAAAATGATTCAATGGGTATGTGGCAAACTTCAGCTAAAGCAAGAAGAAAAGTGGCTCAAAAATCATGACGAGCTCATTGAGAAAGTAAAAGATTTATACTTAATCTACAATTTGTGTTAGAAATTTGCGCATTTTTGAGCGTATATTTTGGGAAACTTGTCAAATCGAGTTTCTCAAACTGCGATGACAGCTTGTCGGCTGTCCTGTTAGGCCAATAAGATGGCCCAATTCGATTGATGTCAAATTTTTTTGTTCTTTTATGCTAAACTTGATCCACTAGATCATGGAAGACCCTGTGCCAAATTTTAGCCAAATTGAACAATAATCTGTGTCTGAAGGTAATTGTTGTCAATATGAATTTTTAGTTTGAAAAATATGGTTTTTTTTTTCAAAGAAAAATGTCTATATTTACGAATATTATACAATAAAAGTAGTATTGCTTTATGTCCACAAAGTTGCAAGTTCCTTAAGTTGAAGTTGCTTGATGAAAATTACATCTAAGAAATAGGAAGTATATGAATGTTAAAATAACAGGTAAGAGCCCAGTTCGCATAGACTGACACTTAGTCGAAGAGTGCTGATTCTTAATCGTTATTTTGCCAAAAAAATTCTGCTTGAAACTTTAAAATGACCTGTTATCAAACAAAAAATGGGAAATATAGAATATAAGAAAGGAAGAAGAAAAAAAACAATCGGAAGACTAAGTAAACTTTTGTTCACAAATTGAAAGTCATAGAGAAAGCAAGTTAAGAAATATGTATAAATTTCTGGATTCATAGGGAGAGGAGAGGAGTGAAATAGATACTATGAATCAAAATTTGGCGCAGCAAAATAGGATTTATAGATCAGGCTGGTTGGATCCCAAAATGATGAGGTTTCCTTTCCATGAGTGTCTCGCTCAACTTAAAAGTATAATAATAAAATTTTGTAAAGTTATTCCTCAGAATTCAAGGAATTGGAAAAGTTGTTTACTGCCATAATGGCATCATTGAATTTAACCCTTCAATTCCTGCTGGGCCTGGGAATGTGACTTTGAGGCGTATCTTGTTCTTTTTTGCCACTCTACAATCTGTAACCATCGAAACCTGATATTGTGACTTACACAAGATGTGTTGTGACTTACACCATTGTTTTCTTTTCTGCTTCTTCTCCAGATGTTGGATGACAAAGGTAACACTGCTGTCTATCTCTTGTACGCTTACACCAGGATTCGTTCAATAGCCCGTAATGCCAAAATGACCCCAGAACAGTTGAAGTCAGCCATTGAAACTACAGCAGTTGCTGTCGAACATGAGAAAGAGTGGAAATTAGCGAAGGTACCTATTTTTAGCATTCCTTAGTTCGGTCTTGGCTTCCATAATTCTCATGGCCAAGCCTTGCAAGTAGTAAATATCTAGACATTTCAAAACTATGACCTGTACATTTGTGAGTTGGGTAAATTTAATGTGTAGTCTTCAGCGTGATTCAGCACACCAGTCGCAACAACTTTGAAGTTGATTAGCCCAACTTATTGTCAACTGTTTTTTTCTGTTTGTAGCATTTTCTTGTTGGCACCAGCCCCTAAATAAATTTACTATCTGTTCTAAGAAGAGCAGGAGCCTTGGTATTTATTGCCAATAACGATTATAGATCAAGCAGTATCTCGTCACCTTCCAGGCAAAGTATCACAAGCGCCATGCGACGTTTAAAAATTTCCGCCGCCATTTTATTTCTTTACTGAGAAATTGTTGGTTGAATCTGTTTGGAAATTTCACTAAATTTTATTGGCAGCACAAAGAAAATTCAGTGAAATTTTCGGACAGCTTCGTTGAACAATTTCTCTGTAAAAAAATAAATTGGCGGCAGAAATTTTTAAACGTCGCATGGCGCTTGTGATACTTTGCCTGGAAGGTGACGATCTGTTTTTCCTATTTGAGGGGAAGGGGGAGGGTCTTATGACTTTAAAACTCACTATCAAAAAAATAACTTTTCTCTTTAATGCAAACTTTTCTCTTTGTTGCGGGCTAAATTTTCTCATGACTTTATATGGTGTTCCTTAGAACTCTTGACCACTTTGAGCTTTTAAAATCAAATTTTTTTCCGAGAAGAAGTTTAAAAAAAAAACCAAAAGTATTATCAAGGTAAATCTACAGCCTTGCCAGGACCTGTTCAATTTTTTTTTTTGACCAATGTTTAATTTTTGTTTATTGCAGATTTTACTGAAGTTCTATGAGGTCATAGATACTATTAATGATGACCTTTGCCCTCACCATCTCTGTGAATATTTATACGATGTTGCCTGTTGTTTTACTGAGTTCTATGACAAATGTTATTGCATCGAAAAGGATTCTACCGGTAATCATGGTTATCTTTCTTCCCAATCTTTTTAAATTTTTTTTTACCCTTTTTGCAGTACACTAACAGCTATGCAAAAAAAAAGCTTAACTCAAGCAATACTGTTGAATACCCGGTAGCTTTTGTAGACTTTATATGCTTCCAGTCCAGATAAAAGAGAAGATGTATACTGAGCCATGAAAATTCATTTTCTGATTTTATTTTATCTTGAAATTAAAAAGTTTGTGGTTTCTTAGACTGTACGATACAAATAATTTTCCATCTAACAATTTTTATGATTATCAGGAACTTGTGTAAAATCGAGGCTACCTAATCACATCTATCTTTACTGGGCTAGTTACTTTCGATCAGTTTGTTCAGAACTTTGTTTGTCAAACTGCCTTAACTTTTAGGACCTTGAACTAGTTTGTCGTTCACCTGTGTAGACAAAACCTTGTAGTCTTAAAAAAATTAAAACTTTCAATTTATTTTTCTTTGACATAAAGCATTCTTTAACTTTATTATTTAATTTTGATAACTGCTAGAAAAAGGGTCCCGCTTAGACAACAAATTCATAGATGGACACAAGTCTATCTTGCATCGCTAGGATTGTGCAACTTGATAATTGTTCAATTTTTTTGAATAGTTTTCTGAAATTTTTTTCTAATCCTAATTTTTTAAAAATGTCAAGGGAAATAAAGATTAACTGTTTTTAATTATTATGCACAGATGTAGAGCATTAATGACTTTTAAAATATTTGAGCTATTTTTCAAATTGACCATAAATATCCAAAACCATAACCAACAAAAAAGGTACTCAATGTTTTGTATGGAGGGAATATGATGGATAGATGCAGTCTTTGTATTTTTACCATTTTTGCCAAACTGAATTTATTGTTATCTTGCTTGTTTCAGGTGAAATTAAAGTTGTACATACCAATCGTATCCTTCTGTGTGAGGCGACAGCTCAAGTCATGTCTAAATGTTTCCATCTCTTAGGTTTAAAAACCGTCTCCAAGATGTGAAATGAAGATTTACCTTCAATGAATTATTGAGCAGCTAGTTTCACCTCTTCTTCATCAAGCCTCTTCTCAAACATCTCCTTATTTATTTAGACCAAAAATAAATTGAATTCAGTTTTGGACTCGATTCATTTGTATTGTTTCTTTCGAGTCTTAGATCGTCCTCAGGCTAGATACGCACAGGAGAAGTTCTGATGCACAAGCAGCTGCACATGAGTTGTTTCCAAGCAATGTACAGCCAATATTTGCTGCTTATGCACGCCAGATATAGTTACTTTATCAAGTCAGACGAACGTCTAATGCTCACTGCTTATGGCTCTCTTTCTTTCCCTCAATTTATTGGTGGACTTGGGATTAAATTTTGTTCGATATAATGACACAAAGACTTGAGAGGCATTAGTGTAGAAAGAAACATTTTAAATGAGAGGTATTTTATTTTTTAACAAAAGGAATACCATTAGCTGAAGTAAAAAATGCACTTCTCAGGTTGCGACAGTGTGAGTTTCCACTCATTTATTTATTTCTGGAAAGGAAAACTGACCAAAGTTTCTGTTAAAATTTTTTTGCAAAGTTTCTTCACAGGATCCGAAACCCAAAATTGCAAGAAAACATGTCAAGTGTTTTCTTAAAATGAACATGATTGGAGATTTTCAAAAATTACAACTGAGGGGCTTGGAGGACAAGGCGCATAAGTGCAGTGTTTTTGCTATTTCAAGAAATGCGTATGAAGTCTCAAAATTATATGGATCCTTATGGCAGAAAGAAAATTCAGACTGACTTTTTGATGCTTAGAAATTAGACTTTATGAGTGATATTTCATAGAATATGCAGTAAGACTAGTTTTACTTGAAATCGTCAATATCTCAATTTTTTCAAAAACTGCACCCATGTGCCTTGTCCTCCAAGCTTTCCCTTTGCATTTTTTGCACTTAGCTATCTGTGTGATTCCATTTGATGAATGACTCATTTGAAGAAAAAAAGAAGGGAGTGCATAATTTTCCAAAATTACAAGAACTTAAAAAAGGTACCTATTCTTGGTATGAAAAATTCCCAATAGCATTTTTTGCTATTCTAGTCCAAAACTAATCCAATCGTAGTTTCTCACCCTGAAATTACTCAGAATATTAGTCCTAATTTTCATCTCAGGGAACTGCTCTTTCAGATTTCATTGGAGTGTTTTGTTCCACTTGATGTATCATCATGCGGTAGACCTGGCTACTCTTAGAAGAAGGATTCCATTAATTCCTACTCTAGAATCCAATGTCCTTTATTATGCACGGAAAAATTGGATTGCTGATTTAGGTAACAATTTAATTGTTTAAAAACGTGTCCGACATGTTTCGAACGTACATTTTATATTAGTGGAAAGCTAATTCCAGCAGGTGGGTAGTTTAATCAGCTTTTTTAAATGTAAAATCTACATTGAAACGCGTCGGGCATTTTTTAAATACAAAATTATTAAATCAGTAACATCATTTTCCTCCGTGTGAATTTTTAAATTCATTAGGCGCCTTTTACATGATGAATACTGATCAGTAACTGATTGAACTTTGAAACTAGATGAGAAATGGAAATGAAAAAAAAAGAGGAAAATATTTAAAAATTAGAATTAGTGAGGATAGAACCTAATCTGTTCTTGTTATGTAGGTATCCTCAGTTCATAAATTTATTTCTTTGAGTACATACTCATTTACACGAAAATCTCAATTTTTTTCCAATTATCGAAGGAACGCAACGAATCCGTAAGAACGCAGGGAATCCGTAGAGTGTTACGGAGGTACATTTTTATTCTTAAAAAAAAAAAAAAGCTATTAAACAAATTGGGCAAAGCGGCAACGTCGGTCGTACTATCCGTAGTAAATTCTCTGACGTCAGCAGCGCATTGATACCATTCAAAGGACTACTTCGATTTTCGTATTCGGGTATTTTATGAACATTGGCGGTTGAAGCCATTTTTTCCTAAGTTTAGTGGTTTGATTAGTGAAGTGAGTGCGGAATTAAATTATCAGACATGTCGGAACGAGAGGATAACGTCTACAAAGCCAAACTAGCTGAACAAGCCGAAAGATACGATGGTGAGTCCCCGAATCCAGAATAAATTCCAAGATGCGCCACTCGTCTCGCCGACTGCGCTACGACACCTTCACATTTTTTAAAGAGCTAATTCACCTATCATCGCTTTGATCATTCTACCTCTACTCCCCATCATCTTTTCCCTCGAAATGCCATCTTTTCGCACTCGCATCCACTCATCCTTTTGAATTGTATTGCATTTTACTCGAGTTTACCGCACGCCGTATTAGCCTAAATAGTTGACCACCAAATACCAATCAATGCGTCATCCTCGCTATGCCGTAATCTAACTTGCATTTACATGATGTCCGGAATGGCCTTATCGCCGCGAACATTATCTGCCGCAACGCATTGTGCCATTTGCTAGCTCGCCTCCGAATTCTCTTTCGTTTCCAAGTTCACATCGGCCGACTAATGGCTGCCCACAATCATCTATGGTTTCATCCCCCTGGTAGACCCCTTGCCAGGAGCTGCAATGTATGCCCTATGCAATGCACCCACCTACTTGCTCACCTGTGAACTTTCTTCAACTGTTAACTGATAATGCAATCTGAATGTCTTAGTTTTCATCAGCCTTGGGTTCATGAAAAGAATGCCCAATCATTAAATTCATTCCAGGAGGCTTTAGTTTGCACTTTTACTGATACCATCATGATTTTCCTGAGGGGTTCCGAAGCCACTTGCCTGTCATAGTTCCCCGGACCCCTCTACTGTTAACGATCAGCCCCAGACATACACTGATGCCGGGCCTGTTGTTTGTTTATTCAGAATTCCCTCTTACTGTATCGCATTTGAAAGTTCATTTACCAGATTTTCAATTTCCTGATAATCTCGTTGCTATATCACTCAAGTTTTCATCGTCTAACAGACCCTAGAATAAGCTTTGGGCTTTCCTTGTATCAACCAGCGATCTGTCTCTATCGTCCTCGACATGTGAGCTATTTTACTTTGTTTCGTAACTGCAAAGTTCTCTTTAATCATTATTTCAAATAACTGTTCTCTGTATAGTAAGAAAATTCGTATACCTCAAGTTTTATTAAATTTTTAGGGGTGATATTGCTTTTCTGATTCCTTCCTGTCTTTTTTTTCAAGCTTCCTAAAAATTTTATCTTGTCTCATAGTGGTAAGTCTGCGCAGAAGATCAAGTGGAATCTTTGAGTTGCATAATGAGATGCTGAACATTCCTGTTCATCCGTTTTATCTTTCCATTTTTGGCGCTAATCTCAATCGCAGGATCCTTGCCCAGTTTCAAATACAAGTTTCAAAATGCTGACCGTTTCCTACAATCCGATGTTTTTTCCTCATTGCCATACTTCCAATTTTGCCTCACGGTTAAATGTCTGATTTTATGGCTCAATACCTGATTTTACCGTAAAATGCAATGTGCCCCCTTCCTTATAATATTCAGCAAATAATGGAAAAAGGAGAGAATAATTAAGTAAATTTAGAAGCCATAATTTTTTAAACACTGAACTTTTTCTGCTAACCTAGGATCGCAGGAGCGGACATTTTTTGCACCCGAAGATTATTGTTGTCTCAATTCACTTATTTAAACTCAACGAGAGTGTCCTTCTGTGTTTCTACTTTCAAGTATATAACTCTTTTATTTTTTATTTTACAGAAATGGTAGAAGCTATGAAAAAAGTCGCATCTTTGGATGTCGAACTTACTGTAGAAGAAAGGAATTTGTTGTCCGTGGCATACAAGAATGTGATCGGAGCGAGGAGAGCCAGCTGGCGCATAATATCCTCTATTGAACAAAAAGAAGAAAACAAAGGTGCCGAAGAGAAACTGGAAATGATCAGGCAGTATAGAGCTCAGGTAAGAAAGAAAACCCTCCTCAAGATGACGCTTTTTTAATGAAAAATCCTAATTTGAACTGAGACAATGAAAACCACTGAATTAAGACTGCAGGCTACGTCCTATACACCAGAGTCAATGTAGATTTAGAATCATCATAAATCAATGTGTCAAATCTCAGTGATGAAAAACGAAACCATTAAGTTAGCCTGCCTTGAAACAATGGTGATGGAAGGTTGGATAGGATGAAAGTGAAAGGTGTTAGCAGCCCTTGCAAGAGTCTTACAATTTATTTGTATCAACTTTAACAAAGATTTTGATTTCTAATTGAAGAAATAAGTGCTTTTAAGTTCAGTGTGGGCGGCTCCCTCTAAATCATATTTCTTTACATGAATGTGCTGAGGTCTCTTTGAAAATCATGGAGCCCTAGGAATTATTGCATGTGTAATTTATCAATTAATAACTTATTCTATTTTCTGCAGGTTGAAAAAGAACTAAGGGACATCTGTTCAGACATATTAGGAGTATTAGATAAGCATCTTATTCCATGCGCCTCCTCCGGTGAATCTAAGGTTTTTTATTATAAAATGTAAGTCCTAACATTTTTCCTTTCTATCTTGTTATGCATTTGTTAAGTTGTTCACATCACCTAAATTTGTGAGGAAGACCAAATGATTGTTATGGTTTTTCAATTGTCAAGAAACCTGAAACACAAGTTACTTCTGTTTTTCCTCAACTACTGATGAAGGCGTTCAATCGGCTAGTGTAATTTATGTGATATACTTTATCACTTTTACTTGTTCCATATCAAAACATTGTGTGCCCAGAAAAAATTACTGCTTACACATCATACCAAGTGCTTACTTAAATGCAATGTCAAATCATTTAAATTGCAGGAAAGGTGCAGAATCTTTTGAAAGGAACAAATCTGCAGGAATCCACCTCAAAAGTTTCCATGATTTTTAATAAATTTCTATGATCTGCCCAAAACAATAACATAAAATTAATTTTGCCAACTTCTTTTATTGAATGCTACTCACCCTGAAATTCAACAAAGTTTGCCCACCAAAAATTAAGGAAAGGTAAAAGGGGTAAAAATTTTAGAGAGGGTTGAAATACCGATTTCTGTATGCATGTATACCTATTTTTAGAAATTTTTTCAAAAATCTATTAGATAACAGCATGTTTCTGAATCATTTTGCCCATTGAAAGTTTGATTAATTGTATCTAATAATTTTAATTTCCCAGGAAAGGAGACTACCACCGGTATTTGGCAGAGTTTGCCACAGGTAATGATAGGAAAGAAGCTGCTGAAAATTCCTTAGTCGCTTACAAAGCTGCCAGTGACATTGCAATGGTAGAGTTACCTCCAACACATCCTATCAGGTATATTTTCTCATTCTTTTTACAACTCGGTCCTCCCCCCCCCCTCCACATATTCAGCTTAGAAAAGTTTTTGAAAGCCCCTGATTTTTTTTTTCCAATCATAAAATTCTGAGAAACACCCAATCCACAAGAAAGGTTGTGCAAGTATTTGAGTGTCCTCAAATTTCAGAATTTTGGATCAAAGCAAAGAGAATTGCAATCCGTCAGTTATAATTGTATTTATGAAATCGTTCATGAGTACCACCATTTTTAATATGCCAGAATTTGTCTTGATTCTGACCGCTGTAAAGTTTTCTGTTGTTAATATGTACAAATTTTTATAATTCATTGTTTACCAGTGCTATACATCAGTGTTACGCTCTGATCATGGCCAACAGTCGTAAAGCTTCAGCTTTGTGAACAAAATTTTTTAACTAAAATGAAAGGGAACATAACACCTTGGCTCCTTCCTCAAACTGGCATATTAGTTATAATTGAATTGCGCACAGCACTTATCATCATCATGTTGCCATTTAGAAAACTTTACAAATAAAGACTTTCTTGTGTTGTGTGGCTTTCTTATGTAATCTTTTAGAGTTTAGTAATCTGCCACTCATTGGCTCACCTGAAAAAATGGGTTAACTTGTTGTGTTGTGAGTGAACTTGTCATGTGCTTTCTCAGAAGCAGAAACTTATTGTGGCAAAAGCCCTTCTTAGTTCTTGAAAAACTTTTTAATTAGCCCTGTCATATCTTCAGTTGGTGGCTGTCCGTAAACGATGTCAGGTACATCTTCTGATTTTTCGGCACCTCCTGTCTTCATCAGGCACCCATAAATACCTCCCTCCTCCTAAAATGGCTTTAGATTGAGTTTCCCTCCCCCTCCCCCAAGTCTGGACAAAAATGGAAGACCTTTTTTTAGAAGAGGACAGTCCAGGACTTGATCGTTGAAAAAAGACCTCTTTCTCAGAAGTGAAGTTTTACCTTATTGAATGAACAAGAAATCGTGAATGTTCACTCTTTTTCTCTCCTCAACTTCTTGAAGTTTCAAACTTATCTGACTTGAGCAGCCCTGATTGCTACCAGAAGGTTTTACCTGACCTGCCCATCTCCCCTTTAATCCCCTCTCCCTTAAGACTCAGACATCTTTTACGGCTGGTCCCTTGGGGGTCCACAGTAAACTCCTTGAAAGTTCTAAAGAAATACTTGCATTCTGTCCAGTTTATTCCATACTTCCTCAACCTAAGAACCGCACAATCAAGCATTTCCTGCTTCCTTGAAAATCTCTATATAATCTTTATTCAAAATTCCCTTCTTTTCCTCAGTTAAGTTTTTATTTTATCCTATTTCTCAAATCGTGTTAGAATTTTTCCTAGAAGATGTTATAATGTCTTCCTTGTTTTTGCAGGCTTGGATTGGCACTAAATTTCTCAGTTTTCTACTATGAAATTCTGAATTCACCTGACCGAGCGTGCAGGTTAGCGAAGGCTGCGTTTGATGACGCCATTGCAGAACTAGACACGTTAGCAGAAGATAGTTACAAAGACTCAACTCTTATCATGCAACTACTCCGCGACAACCTAACGCTGTGGACATCGGACATGCAAGGCGATGGTACGTCGCCCTCACCTCAACCTCCAACAGCTTCTGTGACCAATGATCCTATCCCTGCCGAATAACCTACCCGCCGTAACCATCCTCTCTCTCCTTCCCTCTCTGCTTTCTCCCACCTCTTCCTTCACTCTGAATTTTTTCTTTTTGTGGCAAAATGTATGGGTCTTTTTTCATCTATTTACCTCATAATTCAAGATGCTAACATTGTCCTCTGACAGTGTACTATCTCAACTTTTCCAAAATAGTGATTTTATGCACTCGATCAGTCTTAAAAATTGGAACTCTTTGCAGTACTGATTCTTCCTATTCTAGTGTATTTGAAACAGAAATGAACAAATTTAGCCTAAATACTGGTTTTCATTTTCAGTAAGAAACCAAACCGTCATATGCATCAAGAAACTCAATTCAGCCGTCTCTTAAAATTCCCCTGATACAAACCCTCAAAGAAACTGAAAGTGATGAAAGACGAAGGTTTTTCGTTTGATTAGATGAACGAAATGTAATATATTGTATTTGAATACTCCCGACATTAATTTAAGGTTTTTTTCAAACATTGACTTTTTAGGAATAGACAGTTGAAATGTGTTTTCAGTGTAGAGGGTTTTGTTTTTTGCTAAATCATATATAGCCAACCATTGTCTCAGCTAAATTTGTCAGAATTTCAATATTTGTTACTTCCAGATTAGACTTTTCTTCAAATTTTGCAACTTGCACTCAGAAGAACTACGTAGGTTTTGATTAAAAATATTTCCATCATTCTCTCCATAAATACTTTATTTTTTTTATGGCTGTGCACATGGATTTACTCTGTTCAAAGGGCCCAAACCAATCAAATCAGCCTCTTCTGTAAGAGTATTAGTCTGTTCTAAGTCACCCGCAATGTTCCTTCACATTTTACTCCTCTAAATTTCAGTGAATTTTTTTTCACACAAGTTGTTGAAAGCCAAGAACTTTTCAGACGTGTTTTTGGTGCGTAGTTGTAGGGAAACAAATGAATTGTTAGAAATGATTTGGAAATATAGGGATGAAACTGCACAATACTGCAAAAAGTTTGAGTGTGTAATGAAGCTGACATTTACAATGTTGATTAAATTATGCAGACTCAATACTTTAACCTGTTTTCACGAAAAGAGCAAAACATGTCATTTCGGCCAAATTTGCCCAAAACACCGTAAATCAGTTTGACCTCGAAGAGAAATTTTTTGTGGCTAAAATTAGCAGGCTCCTCGTCTATTATCAGTCACAAGATCCAACAGCACTGTGTCTAGAATTTTTAACAAAGCAGAAAATGATCACTTTATCCATCTCGGTATTTTAACAGAAAGCAGCTTGGGGTAGTTAATTTTGTTCTGCTTTTGTATTCCAACCAATACACTCCGGTTTTTGTGTTGAAGATTAGTTTTCAAGCTCTAATGTTCGTTTGCATTTTCATAAAGTTTTTATTTGAATTTATCCTATTTGTCTAGAATTTTAAAATTCCCTGAAGGTTCTTGATGAAATTTGACCTTGGGAGATGAAAGATTTGAAAATGATGATGCAAGCCTTCTTTTTGTCCTCCATCTTTTTCTATCTTTTGAACCTCTTGACGTTACTTTTCGTCATTCCTAGGCAGATTCTTTGTTACAGTATAAGAAGGAAGGTTTGCAACTCCAAATCCGAAATGACACATCAATGATTTACTCGTGATTCTCAGTTAGCATTTTTATTATTGTCATGGAAAATAGAGAGATTTGATGGACTGAGCAAAGTAACCATACGCAAAAAGACCCATACAGCAAAGTCTCCTTTTGAATCCTGTTCCTGAAGCTTTTTTTTTTTCCTTTCGTTTTTTGTTCTTTTGATTCTCGTTTGTATCACCATCACCCTCTCTTTTTTTTTTCAAATTAACACTTTTCAAAATCTCTTAATTTTCTCACTTAGTCACCTTAGTGTTCTTTCTTCTTTTAATACTTGTTCTTCTGTATGTTTTGTCTGTTCCTTCTTTTCTGTTTTTGTTTGCATGGTTTTGTTCTTTTATCTTTAATTTTTTTTACACAAATAAAAACAGTGCCTATTTTTTACTTCATGTTTGATTTGTTTTGAAACTTTTTCTCTGTGGTTTGCTTCGTTAAAGAGTTTGGTACATAGCATATTAATGATGAAAGTTGAAATATGCATATTTCGGATTGCAAAGTTGTAAGTCTCCGTATTTTTTTTTCTTCCTCTTCATCTTCTTTAACTGTCTAATAGATTTAATTGAAATTTTCTTAACCTTTTGTTAAAAAAAAAAAAAAAATAACAAAAAACCGCAGAGAGACATTTTGATTGGTGTTTCTTGAAAGAAATATAATGCAGTTGGAGATTTTCAAATGCTGCAATGGAGATGCGCATTTTTCACGGTTAACCATGAATCTAATATCCTTTGCATTTTGACGCACTGAGTTTTTATCAAAATGGTGGAGACTCTCAAGCAGTAAATCTTAAAATATAGAAAGCAACCTCTTAATTAACAAGTCTCTTAGTTGTAAGTCTTATGAAAGGTGTAGATGAAGAGACTGAGCTTTCGGTAACCTTAATGTTCTATTTTCTCCAAGTTAAAATGTTAACTCTTGTTGAAGTTTTTAATATTATAAAATATGCAATAGTTATGAATCAAAAGTAACCATAAAAGTCTTTTGAGTTGTGCACTAATTCCATAGCTGTAAATTCAGTGATTTTGGATATCCAATCACCCCCTGTAGTCCTTTAGGTACCAACGTTTGTAGCGTAATGGGGTAGTTAGGAATTAAAATTGAAGAAGTAAGGTTAGGTTGTTAAAATCAAGAAGTAAATACTGTAAGAGCTCTTTTTTGGATATAATTATCAATTTTTCATGGATGTGAAAGAGAGAATCCTTTTAATGACGTCCTGTCAAATTATAATGTTTTAACCTCATGTTGGTAAACTCATGAGTTTACCAACATGAGTTTACTCATGAGTCTTGTAACACATGTGTTACAAGACTGAATTCATGCTACATTTTAAGGGAGAAAAAGTTTTTTCAAAATATAGGTGAAGTGAGAAACTGTAGGAGGCAAATTTTTGCCCAATTCTTTTTCAGTGGATTGAATGGAGTCTTAATTTGTAGACTCATTGTCATACTGTCAATGCTTAAAGGCGATTTTTTCTTTTTCCTTTTTTTTTTTGTCAGAAAAATCTGGGAATTTTGATGTTTTGCATTCCACCGCCCTCAAGGTTTGCAGCATCTTGCAAATCCTTGAATGTGCTTCTAATTTTTTTCTAATTTTCTAGTTCTTGAATGCCTATGAAAATTGCAGCTACTACCATTTTGTTTATTACTCTCGAAAGATGGTCTTTTTTTTCATTTGCCACCGAGTCTTTCAAAATTCAGTTAACAGTATTGTTCCTTAACCGATGCTTCTGCCTAGTTTTGTGTAAATAGCGGAGAATGAAAGTATATGAGGAGGCAACTACCATTTTTAGGCATTCCTCGATGCCTCTAAAAAAATATTATCTTCTAAAGTCCTACGATGTTTGACGTGTTGACGTTTTTTTCAAAAGTACTTGGAAGACTTCGATTTTTCCCAATTGTGATTCCTTGAAAATTCCTTGCAAGAGATGCTCAGCTTTATCAAGGTCAGGTGGCATTCGGAGTAAAATTAGAAGATGTGATTTGCCAGACAACCTCTGGATAGGTAGGTAGGATTGGCAGTAAGGTATTGCAGAGCACTCAGGTGCTCTATCAAAGCAACTTACAGAAGCATAAAGTTTACGCACTTTTAAACTGCAACAGAAGATCCGCCATCTTGATTCTTGCATTTACTTTCAATGCTAACCTGACGTCACATGATCTTCTGTCGCAGTCTAAAAGTGCAAACTTACTTGGCATGGACTTTAACTTCTTGAAAAGTCTCTGATTTTGGTGTTCAAAAGCTGTCATGACCTGTCCATTCTAACACTCATTGAACGCTCTCCTTGTCAGGAAGACTTGAAGGTAGCTTAAAAAGTAACTTCTCGTTTTAACTTAAAATTAATGCTTTCATTTGATGGTGGTGCTTACTTTTGACCCCCTTTAAATGATCTGATCTCCACTTGTTCTCTGTCAAGGCCCCAAACCTACACAAGTGTGTTGAAATTTTATCAGCATTGAGTGTTCTTCTATTCACACTGGTAGCTTTCAGACAAGCTTTAAAATTTTTGTTATTAAGCTTCTGGCTGAGCAAAATCTGGCAAATTCATTTCCTCTGGACCCGTCCTCAATCTAAATGGGCCGGAAAATGTCACTGAGCAAACTCTTGGGAAATTAGTTAGAGTGAGTGGATTTTAAGAAAAAGGCATTTTAAAGGCGTCCAGTCTATTAAGCAGTGTAAAATTTTGGACCTGTTCCAGGCATAGGTATTTTGGTGTCGTTCCCTGCGTAATGGGAAAATCTGCAGCTTGCTAAAAAGTTTCTGAGATTCACCGAATGCTTACTATCAATTTTATTTTTACACAGTAGCTTTAGAGCTTGAGCCAAAAAATACTTGTAGATGCAAAGGCAAGCATGTGACCCAGAGTGAGACGGAGCAAATCTATCTCTTTACCGAAGTTTTTACATGAAAAGGGCATTGTTTTTTACCATTAAAAGTAAATAAGAACCGAACATTTCATCTTCAATTTCATAATAAATTCACAACATTTGACCTTGTGAACCATGAAATGTTGACTTTTTATGTGCAAGCGTAGACTTCCTGCAAGAGGGGCTTGCTTAAACTGAAATGACCTTGCTTCATCAAGCAGCTATAAGAGCAGAAAAGGGACAGCCCCACAGTTTCTGATATGAAACAAGGGGAGGTTAAGTGCCCATATTTGTTTTTGAAACATATCTTTCAAAGCTCTTATTCTCATTAGACCTATGTTTGCTGACTGACGTTGAAATATGTTTCACTACTAGTATTTTCACCTTGGGTATTTTCTTCTTGGATTCATAAGTACGCATTTTTAAGTTTCCAAAGAAAACTGATAGTTGAGCAAATCAATAAAAACTAATCAGCGAATTTTCTAACGTGTTTTTTGCCATGACCTCCATTCTCCTTATTATTTGCATGCTTTGTATGATAACCCCAAACGCCAAGAAAAGCAGTAATAGCTCGAATGACACCAACAGTCTTGGCAAGGAAGTCAATCCTTTGCATGTTGATGAAAGAAAAATTAGGGGTATGCGTAATAAACCTGGTTTTTCTGTTCCCATAGAACTGTGATGACCCTCATTTGCTTATGGCTCTGATACAACTATGTCTCTTAAACTTGTTTGGTTTGCTTTTACAGGTGAAACAGAGCAAAAGGAACAGGTGCAAGACGTGGAAGATCTTGATGCCTCATAACTCATGACTCAACTGTACTTCTGTAAATGTGCCCGTACAAATCTTAAGATGGACTTAAATTATTTTGATCTTTCAGTTTTTGAAAATTTGATTTCGTTTCTCCTCTTCTCGCCTTTTCTTTCTAAACTGTCAAAACCAATCAGTTTTGCGCCCTCATTTTTCTCTCTTTCTCAATCAGCAGTATAACTGTACAAGAAAACAGCTAACGTTTCCTCTCAGAAGAGCGAAGTTAATAATGGTACTCTTAATCGAAAATTGCAGCAAGACTGGATTTTTTTATGATTTTTATTTATTCTTTTGTTTATTTTTGTTTTGTGCATGTGCTGAGTATGTTCGTATACCCACCGACGCTGCATGCCTAACGTCATGTAGTGGGTGAACATGAAAGAAAAAGAGTATACGATACATATACACCTGCACCGTCACACAACCGTACCTTTACATGACGTAGCTCCCAGGTTGAAGAAAAACTCTCACATTTCTACGTTCTAGTGTGCAAAACAGAGTTTTCTCTGTTCACTCTGGCAAATCTGGTACGTAATGTTTAATTTATGTGTATGTGTAAATATGTATTCACATCATTATTTATTTTTTACTACTTTCTTTATTTTTTAAGGAAAAAAGATTACAGTTTGTAACATGTGATCGTTTGTTTATTTATCAGTTTTATTTTAAGACATCTACTCTACTTTCCATGCCCCACATCGCTTCTCTGTTCCAATTCGAAGTAAAGTTTTAACTATGATCGAAACATACTTTTTTGTACGTAAAGAAACCAGCAATCATCATTTACCCAGTGCATTTGCATGTTTATATTTAATTTATTCATAATTATTAATTCATGTCTACATTCTAGTATTATGTGTTGTGATTTTTCTCTTTTTTTTTCTTTTTTTCTCAGAGTGATTGTCAATACTGTAATGAGAAAATTTTAATCGCCATAATTTTAAAAGCATTATAAGTAGTTGCTGCAGCGCAATAAGTTTTTACCCTCGCTAATTGGTACTCATCCTCATTAATGCAATATTTATATTCTCATTTGCTCATCGTTCTTGATGTTTAGTTCTACCGCAGCAGAGCACTTAATTATTCTTGATTCTCTCCTATCATTTTATAATTAAAAAGAAAAAGAAATTGCATTTATAACAAAGAATGGTCTTTAATATGTTAACTGTATTCCAAATAATGATTTGAATGCTGATTAAATAACTTATAGTACCTACTAACTGTCTAGTTCATTTTATGCCAATATCCCATTCTCTTGCCCTCCTTTCCTTACTCTCATTTGAGCGTGAGCGGGTTTTGAAGAAAGGTGTTACTGCTAAATTTTCAGAATTGAGGTTCCAATGAAATACTATTCTTTAAGGGGATACTTCTCTCTCTTTGATTGAAATTGCACAGATATTATAAAAATCTGTTCAGTCATCTTTCCTTGCATCAATTTTCATAAACCTGAAAATTAACTCTTTCAATGAAACATTTTTATCATTTCTTTCAAATTCTCATTTTTAATGCTTCAGTCCTAATGTAAATACACGGTTCACTTGCGAAACATGGCCAAAGCTGCTGAGACACTAAAAAAGACTCTACTACTAGTAGCACATAAGTGATAATATGAACAGTTAACATTTGTGAACGAATTGTTGAGAAACCCAATTTTGTTAGATAAATTGTATTTAAAAGAGACGCGGATGTTATTATTAATAAAATACGAAAATTGCTGCCAGCATTTTTACAAGAAGTGGCTTGAAGGATCTTATTGTGTGGTATGCTCTTTGATTTTCATTGGGAAAAAGAAAATATTGTGGAGAGAGAGTGGAAAAAAGTACACATGGAAATAAGAATTAATGATTTATTATAAGTCACTGACAGTTATGAGAAAGCTTAAATACATGCAATCGACACAGAATTTACCATATTAGAAAATCAGATGCATCTGAAAAATGTTAAGATGGGACGAACAAAATGCTTCATAGAAGTAAGGAATGAGTTCATGGCAGAATTTTAATCAATTACGCTAAAATGAACGGAAACATTGGAAATTAAGACTGTGGAGAGTGATGGAGGACTACAAATTTAAATTACAGAAAATGCAGTCCCAATAACAAATAATGCTCTTCAATTACTGAACATTGCTTCTATTTCCGTTAACTATACAATCAATGCCTACAATAAGCCTGGAAAAAGGATATCCTTGATAAAACTGTAAAAACACGTACATAAATTGCAGAGTTACAAAATCTTTACTCTTATTTTATTTTTCCAGAGGAAGCCAAACCAGTGTCATGGTTCGCAATTCTTATAGAATATTCTTCACACAAAAAAAATATCACCGAAATTTTCAAGAATTTGCATTAAAAAGTTTTCTATTTGGGAAATAACATATGATGAGAATTCTGCAACACTGCAAACCAAGATGCGCGTTTCTGCAGTTTCACCGTCAATGTGAACTTCAGCACTGCAATGCTTGTTCCTTTTTTCAGAGCTTTACAGGGAAATGATCCACACAGGAGAAAATCCAGAGAACCCTTTATCAAGATTTAATCTTGAGCACTTACATCGAATACATGAATCACCGTTGTTTACCACATGAAATTTTTGAAAAAAGAAACAAGTATGGTATTGCTTCAGTTCATGCCTCACCTTCTGGCCTATTAAAATTGACTTAGAATACTGTTAATGGTACAAAAAATAATCCTGTCTATGAGAAAAGAGAAGGCTGACAAGAGATTAACAAAATAGCTTCTTATTCGGACAGCAGCTAAGTCAATGACTTTATGAAATGCCACACAACAAAGAGGGAATATAGCTTAGAATTTTAAAATGATGACACATCACACATGGCAATTCTCCTCAGAAAGCATGAGATGAAACCCTGAGGAGGTTCCAGACAAAAGAGTAATGAAAAGTACTGAACTGGGGTATTATTTCCTGAATGCTAATTTTTCTCTAAGGGTACCCAGACTGGTGAAAAATTCTGGGAAAGAACAGACGCCACCTTAAAAGTGGAGATTGATAAAAAGGCTCTTGGCTTATTTGGACTTTAACTTAGCATAAAATTTTTTAATCCTCTGGCTTTAAGCGAGAGAAGGACCTCATGATACTTTCCTCCAACTTGTAAAAAAATATAACAATGCTACATGAAAATGTAAGTGTGTAAAAGTGCTGTCTCCTATGACTTGGAGCTAGTTGGTTATTTTCCAGTTAACGTTAGCGCTACTTTCACAAATAGGAAAAAGTGAATTGTACTGTCTCCTGCAGCACTCTCAACATTAAAAAAAGGTGTAAAAAAGCATGTGATAACTGAAACGGAGGATTGTCGGCAGATAAATAATAGTCTTCCTCTCGCAGTTTTTGCATTTTTATGAAAATGGTTCTTGCGTTGATTGGAATATAACCAGTGATATATAAATACTATTGGCACCACTAGCGACATTTGTAAGCTATACCGTTTTTCTCAGAGGAGCAGTCTCAGTCAGACTCAATCGAAGATTCCAGGATAAATTTTAAGCAAAATTCATCTTGCTACTCATGTACTTCAAGTACATGATAAAAATAAATAAAATGATGACAACCTGAGAGGATGCCCATTCCCCAATTATTCAGCCTGACAGTTGAGTACAAACTGGTAGTGCGATCACATGAAATGATTGTAAGCTAAGATATTTACCAACAGTTCATGAAAAACAATTATGAGTGCTGATAAAGAATGAAAGTGGTACTGACATAAGGTAGGTGTAAGCAATTGCATGATTAAGGAAAATGAAATGAGAGATGATGGACGAAATCTTTATTAATTCTGCATTAACAGTGATCCCACAAGCTAACTGGTAGAAGTCAATTGATTGTTTTTATATACCTTGCAATACTGGTGCTAAAAATGGTACCTATGTTAACTCTCTTGCCTTCATTATTTTTAGAGAATTTTAACAGAACAAATCAGTCCAAAGGAAAAGCAAGGCAAGATTGAAATTTTGAGATAGTTGCGAAAGCATGATTCTTGATTTTCTGCAAGGTTATACAAAGAATAATAGATATATGAGCAATTAAAAGGCTGCACTCTCATTTCAAAAATTTAACCATAAGCTTAAATACTCAAGACTCCTGATTATCCAGAAACTAATTGTTGGTGTCAAGTTTCAATGGAAGACAGTATGATGCATGCACAATCATCTGTTCAGTATTGTTTGTACACCTGTCTGACCAAGATGTTGATTCTAATCAATTATATCTGTATGATTCAGTGTTACTACCTCCGTTGATTATTTTGATTTTCAGTTATCCAGATTCATCTGGTCCTGATCGATCTGGATAATTGGGAGTCCCGTGTCGTAAGAAGTAATATGAACAGAGTAGAATTAAAAATTTTTACATGATAAATATGTCGGACTTGGAAGTCAAAAATCTGACAATAATTTTGTGATACCGGAAAATATTATCAACTCCACAATTGCCTACAATGAAATTAGTAACTTTCAAAATGTGTTGATTGGTTTAACTCTAGGAACGCAAAACGTAATAGGAATCGTAAAGATTTTTTTTTTTCAGATCTGTATAGTATAATTTTGTGTTTGAGTCAAGATTTGCACCTTTAATCAAGAATGAAAATTAGAAAAACTGGCAGAAATCACACTCATGAGTATGCGACATTAGAGACAAGTGAGTTTTATCAAAAGCGTAAGAATGAAAAAAGTGGAGATTCTTGAATGCTGTGAGATGATGAGAAATTACACCAGAATTTGTCGGGTACCCGGAATTATGCGAATTACTAACAAATTTCCTAGAATTTCTCTCTTGAATTTTCATTGTGATTACTGTCTTTAAACAAGAAATATAATAATAACAACAACAACAACAATGACAATAAAAATAATAAAGTGAATAGGACAGAGACAATGATACGAAAACAAAGATGGTGAGAATAAGGATTGAGTTTTTGAGAGAAGTGGATAACTCAATGCAACAGGTTCAGCATTACAATAGAAAAGTTTGCGTTGTCAGATGAACTAAAGTAATTAAGTGAAATTACATTCATTTCTCAAAAGCAGAGTGTCAGCTGATTTGGCAAAGTTGTAAATGAGCACAAAGTAGTATTATACCGAATGCAACTTGCATCCACAGGAAACATCACGGGAGATTTATTGAAATTAGGAAAAGAAAAGGGTCAAGAATACTAAAAAATTACTTGAAGATCAAATTTCACTTGAGAGGGTTAGCATAGACAAATTTAAGATGTAAAATAAAATACTTTTTAACTAAAAAAATAATAAACTTTAAGAGAAAATATTAATAGAAAGAAATAAATAATTCATCCGTTAGATGGAGTCAAGTCTTGGAATTTAGTCCACAATATTCAAGTGGGTTCAGTTAAGTAATATTTTGATTGTATTTAACTAATGACGAAATGGACAGGAAACAAAAATAAACTTTCAGCACGGAACAAGAAAGGAGAGATGTTTCAATTGAAAAGCGGTGATAGGAATTTTTAGCCGCTTTTGAAAAGTAAGATGGCAACTTGGCCCAGATAGAAATAGATAAAATGCCTAGTTTCATGGGTAACATAGCTACCAAAATTTCGTCCAACGATACAGTGCCAAGTGGGATTGTATTTCTTGTCAAACTCCTTCTTGATGAAAGCTGCAATATCCTGTAACAGATAAGTATCATCCAACAATTATCGTAACCGCCAATTCTTTTCCATATTATAGAGACTGTCCAGCAGAGAATGGAGGGTCCTGAGTATCACAAATTTTACTATTGACTTAGTGCTACTTACCACAGCATTGAAGAATGTTATACAAACATTTTGCCAAAAATGTCAAATTGAATAGTTTTGGCTGCTTACAATTTGAAAGAGATAGCTTGAAAAAACTGTTTAAGAATTCATCAGCAAGGTCTGGTGCTAAAAATTGTTTTCACAAAATGTACTACATTTCAACGATGCAGGATTCTCACTTGCAAATGGTATTTTCACTAGGGGACTATTGAGCATATCTAATTAAAACTTTCACTGATTTTTTTTTCTATTACATACAACAATAAGCAGACTTTTGGACAGAAATCGCGACATTATGTTCCTTTTTTTTTTTTTACTACTACTTCAAAGAGCCCGCAAGGCCTAATTCTGCGCTTTAGTCCCGGCCCCCCTCCATCCCTACTGAACAACCAGTCCCAGGCAATCATTGTTTGAGACCATCAAACTCTACGACGCCTGGCTGGGAATCAAACCCCGGGACCTCCCGATTACAGAGCTAGCGCTACAACCTCTACACCATAGAAATCCGACAAAAAAAACCAAAATCCGTACGTTCAAGTAAATTTATTTTAATTTTAAATTAACCTTTTAAACCTCGATTCTAACTTTTAATTAACCATAACAAATAGTTATGGTTGGGATTATTTTGTTCAGACCGTACTCTGTGAGTAATTGTGCCATTCATTGGCCACAGAAAGCGGCAGAGTAGGCTCAGTTCAATTAAAAGTAGGGCTCTTCTATCGGTTGTCGGTAAGCTACCGAAAAAGTTACGATAAGAGCACTCTGACCAATAGCGATCTCAGTTTTCAGAGCTGACGAAAATAAGCTATTGCCATGTATGCATCTATTTCACATTCCGCCGCGTCAGGCAATCTGACAAACCGACACACGGGGCAACAATACACTGAGTGCGAGCTCTCAAAACTCCGATAAGACTGGCTGTTAACGATATCATCGCCACTGTCCGTACTGCCACTAGTTTCAGTAAGATAAAAAACCGATAGCGTTCGGGCAAGAATTTGTTTGAACACCCCTAATTTAAAGTTTTATGAAAGAAATTACCAACTGTCAACTCACTTAAGTACCTCAAGTCCTGCTTTAGAGTTATTGATGAAATGAAATATTCAGATAGTCAAAATTAGAATAATGATGATAAAATTTAGAGAAAATGAGACTAAACTTACCTTTTCAATATTGAATTTATCCAATGCCTGTGTGGCGCAGTCTACTGCATCTTGCTGCATCTCTTCAGACATGTCCGCATTTTTGATAACTGCTTTTCTGTCAGTCATTGTGAAATTGATTGATCACGTGAAAATATGGGAGTCCTGCAACAGATGATTGAAAATTACAATATTGAAGAGAGTTCACAATGATCAGAGAAAAAATTCATCAGGATGATTGAATGGTGCGAAACACTTCAAAATGCCTTCAAAAGAACATGGTTAGGTATCTTTTCGCGAGTTATCAAAATGGTTGATTGTGCCCAAGACACATAAAAGAATGTGTCTGCAGTCGCATTTCACCAGGAATGTGAGGACATACAATAACAAATCACTGATCAAATCGTAAAATTACTGACTTGAAATTATTTCAGTTGTAATGCAGTGGTTTAGCAGAGTGTTCTGTGAGGCCAAGAATTGACCAAGAAAATGTTTTCGAAGATAAACAGTTCTGCGTTTACAGAAGATCTCACTTTACGTCATTAATGGATTGGTTGAGGATGGCTGTCTTCAGAAAGTGATAAGACCTACAATCTGAAGTAAGATGAGTCCTGTCTCAATTCGCAGGTGAGTGCAATAAACCCATCCGAGTAAGGAGTGGTGCTTCGGAGAGAGATGCGAGGGTTTAAATTGAATACCCATGGCGCATATTTTGAGACTAAGAATTGAATCAATGAATTTAGAGACACTGAGCATTCATGTGAACTGACTGCAGCGTTTAAAACAAGAAAATTATACACTTTGAATGACACATGGTTACTAAGAGTCATGGGTGCTGACATATCACCTGAGGTAAGTTGCCACAGAAATGAATGCCAGAAGCTTGTGGGGAGCTGAAGGCAAAGATGAAGATTACAGAAATACACAGCGATGTTGTTGAGTGTAGGGGCAGTCGGTGAGGCGATTAGAGATGCATTAAAAAGGAGCAAAAAAGGGATGAAAATATCCTTAACTGTCAATCAATACATCAACAAATTCGGATGTAGGTGTAATGATAACTGGTTGTGCAGCTACAAATTTCGATATGTGGCTAGGGCAGGCAGATTGATTTGAGCCTACGTCGAGAATAAATAATTAAATTCATTTCTGAGTCCAGTGTTTACCTTGGCGATGATTAAAGGCGAGTTGGATCAAAACTTGAGCGGGATTGTATCACTGTTCACTGTACTTGCACAGCACACTATCGGCACGAAAAAAAGCCGTAGTCTTGACAAGATTTGAACTTTCTCGATAAGCCAAAAAATTTAGATACCGCCGTTTCTCATTGGTCGAAAACCCAGAGTCCTCTTTCAGAGTCTTCTTTCATTACCCAGCATGCAAAGTTTTGTAACGCGCGATTTATTAGGCTCATTCAAATCGACGGGCGGGATATCCTAAGTCATTCGGGACTCGGTAACTATGGAAGAAAAAATTAAATAAAATATTATAAAGAAGGGAGAGAAAACCATCTAAAAATAAGAAATTCAGGGTGAGTCATACTTCCGCACTTACACTAAAAGGCGCAGTGGTCTTGAGGCAAAATAAAACAAAAATAAAAAAAAACGACAAAAATTTAGGTACCTAAAAACAGTTTGCAGGGGGTGTGTCTATGGTATGGTATATGGTCGTGCGGACCTTTGAGGAAAATCAAAATCTTTGCTGTTCATCATTTCGAGATGCCGCAATTTGAAATTTTCCTTGTTAAAGCAAGTTTTCAATTGATTTTGATCCGCTTTTTTGGTTATTTGTCGATTGAATCGGTGTTGATAGGTTTGCGTTTTTATTTTCTGTTTGATTCATGTCGATCAAATACATGCCCTCTCGTTAAATGCAGACTACCTGTCTGTCACACTCTTTTTTTTTAACTGAAAAATTCGCCCGCTGCTGCGTCTGCAGCAATTGTTGTTTCGAATATATTGAGCATGAAGATTTCAGCTCATTACATACTTCATACTTGACACTCTCAAAGCGTTATGTGTGCGAAAGCAATTTGCCTTCAGTTGCGTCTGCAGCAATTGTTGTTACGCATGTGTTGTGCGTGCTGATTTTCGCTCATTACATACTTGACTTTCTGAAGGCGTTTTACGTGCGGAAGTAGCGCAGTCTGTCGGAGAATGAACGAAGTAGGGATTGAGCAATTCATTTAATCGCACTTCTGTGGTTCTCCGACAGGGTGCTCTACTTTCGCACATTAAACGCCTTCAAAGAGTCATGTATGTAATGAACTGGGATCAGCACGCACAACTTATTCGTAGCAACAATTGCCGCGGACGCAGCTGAAGGCGATTTGAAAACAACTGCACAATACAGTTAGACTGCTGGAGAGACATTTTAGCTCTTTAATTAATACTGTTAACAATAGTGATGTATTTGATGGTCATTTCAAGGGGGATTCTTGAAGATCTTTTCAATTTGTCGGCATTGCGTTCTCGGTAAATAGGAATTGTAAAAATTGGAATTACCACCATTATAAATTTTTAAATTTCAAGTCCTCCTTTTCTGCCTCTGTATTTATTATTCTCTCCCTCACATAGAATGAATTCATGGTTTCATTTAAATTACGTGTAAAGCACGGTAGTGAATTCTTAATCCACCCTTTGATCCGTAGATTTAATTTAATTTACACTTTCGAATTGCACGTTTGCATTTGCTTTATGTCACGTGTACTATTATCAGTTTGCGGTTCAGGTGAATGAACAATGACTCTTCAAAGGTTTGCAGTTCGATAATATCTCATGCAGCTTTTTTCGAAACATCGTAGACAGCGGAACGCTTTTTCAAACTAAAAACAGCGCGAAGAACAATATATGGTACAGTAACAATGGGAGAATATAACAAGTTGGGTTCGGACTTGCCATGCAAATATTTCAAATCCGCGTGAAGCCGAGTTGCATACGCTAGATTTTGCAGGCGAAGTCTGAGATCTGCCCACGTCCAGCGCGCATTCGCAGTTTACGGCTCTCGTAATTGAGCACGCACAGGTGCGATTTGTGTTTCACTCGAGCGTGCCTATGCAAAACTCGGCTGCCACAAATAGCATGGGGTTCTATTTTCTGTCTAGCACTAATTTTGGAATTGTCTATTTTCTAGATAGAAAAATACGATAGAAAGAAAATGGAAAGAAAATAGATGTATGCCGAAAATAGAAGTAGGAAAATTATTAAAAAAACTTCTATTTTCTGTCTATGTTCCGGGCACTAAATACAAAGAAAATGGACAATTTTGTTGTCTACATTCAGTGTTTTTCCTAGATGTTTTCTGAATTTTAAAATTCTAAGAAATAGATAAAGAAAATAACCAATTCGTCTCTATTTTCCATCAGGTTTTTGGATCTTTTTTTTAAGGAAAAAGCAGTCAATTTTCTAGACGGAAAATAGCTCCATTTTGTAGACAGGAAATAGGCGTATTTTCTCTGATAAATAGTGAAACTTGCTTTAAATTTTCTGTCTGCTTTCCATAATGCTACTTTTCCTTTATATTCTAAATTTTTTTCATTAATTTTTTTTTCATAAAATATTTTCATTTTGCTACTTGGGACCAAATAGGTACCCCATATGTGTTCTCTGTGGATTTTTATGAAGCAGGAGTGAAGCAAATTCACATACAGAGAAGTAAAAAAAAATTGTTCGTAAATTTTTTAAAAAAGAAATGACAAGAGATGTAACACTGCGATCAGCACAACGCATTTCTTTTTGACCATCAATGTATGTGCTGGAGTCAAAAAACATCATAAAGAATATTCTATGATGTTCGCTTAGTCTCCTCTTAAAAATAAAATTGGAACAGAGAAATTATAACCAGGGTACGCATTTGTTTTACCATTAACACAACTGACATGAAAAATTGAAGTACTTAAATTTGATTCATACAAATGAAAATTCCTTGAATTTACTTACTGAGAGAGCGAGTATAAAGGAGAAAAAAGTGATTCAAAACCAGATTACAAGGTAAGAGACTATATTTTCTCTTGCTTGACATTTGCAAGTATATTAATATGTACAACTCCTATTTATACAAGAAACGGATACAAAGTAGAAAGGAAATCTGATGATATTGGACAAGAACTAAAAGTGAAAACACTATACAAAATTTGCAAATAACTATGGCAGAACTCAAAGCAATATGGAATTTTATGGAATTTGGATGAAAAATCAAAATTAGTTTCTGAGCACCATTTTTTTTTTTTTAGAGGAAAAAAAACTTCTGTCCCTCCAATCAAGTCACTGGCAAAATTAAAAAATACAATCTTTTGACTTGATCAGGACAAAGAAACAATCATTCTAACATGTACCTATTGATAATCTTGAAGACATATGCTGCAAGTTTCTTCTCTCGTTAATTTCATTTGACTATTTCATATCATCACAAATTTATTCTCAACAGCATCAATAAAAGCTAGAGCAGAATAAAAAGCCTGCCCCTAACAGTTTGCAGCTTATCAGATAACTCTTCAATTTTTTTAAAACAGCAAAATAACTATAAAAAAAATTATCTCTTTAATGAGACCTAAACTTTACTACAGGTTACAGAACAGGAAGAAACTTAAAAAATGTAAACCTAAAACTGAAAAATATTGTTTTTTTTCATCCAGAGAAAGTCTTAGAGCACAAATTTTCATTAGATTTTGATATAATAATATTGTCATCATTGTGTGTGTGGGGGGGGGGGGGATGTGTTATAAAAGAAAACAAAGAAAAAATAAAAGTGGCCGATTGCTATAATTTTTTGAAATACAGTAAGAATGAGGCATATGAAATCAGTGTAATTTCCCACGTTTTGCACAGAGGATTGACGGCATGCTTATTTATTGGCACATTTAAGAGGATGCATACACCATCATGTTAGTTTGGTATTTTTTTACTGTGAAACTTGGATTTAAGTGCTGAAACTTCGTGCCTAATTTTATGAAAATAATAACAATGAGGTTGAAAAGAAAGTTTTAAGAAACGAGGAAAAAAAGAGAGAAATACTTAAAATTCTTTGAGAGGTAAGTATGTCTATTCTTTTGACTAAAACAGGAAATATTAACGGATGAAATTGCCAAGTTGCAGCTCTTTCCTTTCTTTTCTTTTATTATACAAAACTAAACAGCGGTTTTTCTTGAAACGTTTTGTGAAATTTTTCCGTTGTTCAAAGTTCACAAAAAATTCAAAGGAAATATTTTAGTTGATTTTCTTAACAAGAAAATAATAATAATAAAAAAACACTATCATATATTCGAAATGCTGCAATGGAAATATGCATTTCTTGACTTGGTCATCAATGTGTTGGGAGAACTTAGAAGTTAATGTTTAATCTTCATTCTTTAGGAAGCACGAAATGAGCATAAAAAGAGAGAGGGAGAGAGAAAACTCAAGATTACTTGAATGGGTACTTTACAGACTACCACCTTGGATATTTGACACTTTAGTGATGGCAAAATAGCGACTGCCATGACTTCAATTATTCATCTTCCGAACGAAGGAACGTAACTTGATTGTGCTGTTTTAGTACGTCTAACTTACAATTTATTTGTTTACAGGAAAATTCGTTACAATAATTTTCCTGAGATTTCAATGATTTTTCTTCACTCTTGTGAGAAGAGACTGTGAAATTTTTAGAAGAAGTTGTAGAATGGTTCTCCACGAAAAAATAAAATGTTCATGGGAATATTGAAATGTTACGGACAAGATACATTTCCCCGTCCAGAAGAAGACAAATTGTGATATCTGTGCAGGAATTTTAAAGAACTGAACAGGTTTCACTACTTGTAGTTTCAGACTTTAAGAGATAATTATTAATCTTATTTTGTTAAACAATATTTTAAAGATGATCTTGATCTTAATTTTATACATTTTGCTGTACAATGCAAGAACGGACTCAGTCTATTACAGAACACACATCAAAGAAATGTTCCAAAGAGAAACGTATGCTTCTTGCACTATAAATCTGCTATTTAACAGCTCACAATTTTGAAACAGTTTCCTGAAAATAATAGGAGCTATATCCTATACTTTTTCAAGTAAAATATCTTCTACAAGAAGAAACTAATATATTTTAATTCAGCTAAAACACCCTTGAGCAGAGTGGCTTTCTCTATTGACAGAAAATACCTGACGATAAGAAAGGTTGTGGTCCTCAATAGGTTTCTGGCGAACTAGACTTATTTCTTTTCAGTCTTTACGAACTTCTGAGTTCCAATCACATTTAAGGTAGAATCATATTTACTGAACATAACAGCTTCAAGATAGATATCTATTTAGTGCACAATGATGATGCATAAAACTCTACCCACAATCAGAAAATTCCTCTACAGCAGCAGTGTAAAATTTAATTACGTTACTTACATGATGCATGAATTTATGTCACTTATGCTTTCAAAATAAATTTATATTTTGGAGGTACAAGGCAATTTTCAGTTTTTCTCTCAATCTTCTTATATTTCTTCCTTTTTAAAATAAACACGTTAGGACAAAATCTAAATGCATGATATAATGCAATATAAATATCATTTTTATTAGGAGCACAATGAGGCTTATCGTTACATTGAATAGCAACTACTTGAGAGAAAAAAAAACCTTTCAAGTGGATTAGTTAACAAAAATTTCCTCACATTTAAAGTCTGTAGGTAATTGTAGAGGATCTAAATTATAATAAAAGAGCTAATAATCGTCAAAATCTTAATAAAGACTCTGTACAATTCCTTTATTACCCTTAGCTACTTGTGTAATTCCTTCATTAAAAAGGATGGTGCTGTTGATGGAATAAAAGCCACATTCCAAGAGCAGTGTGGTAAACTGCTTGCAGGCTCATCAGGGATGTCCATAATTGTTTATGAATGATAAGGGGTGAAAAGTGTGGGAGAGATTAAACATTAAAATAATATATTTTTTTTTTAAATTTAAGAGCTGCTGAATGTTTCTAATTTATTTGAGAGCAAAAAAAAAAATGAGCTGCATGTTCTTATATAGGGGCTGTTGAAATTACCAGAAAGAAATCAATAGATGAAAAACGATCATTATTTTGTCCTTTATGGAAACAGCATCATGCTTTTACTTCTTTTATCAAACATAGCCTGGCTATTTTAAAATGTATGCATACGGAGGTTGGGAAACTATTAGGTATAGATTAATTTAGCAGCATGAGACAGCATTTTACAAACTATAGGTATCATACAAACTGCGGAGGGAGGTTGATATTTGGTAAAAAAAAAATAAAAAAAGGGCCTGATGTATTCTGATCAAAGCTACTGTTTCAAATAACATCAGATGCTAACCCTACTTTTGGTTTAAAAATTTCTGTGGTTGGCTACAATCTTCAGATTATTTAGAATAGCTGAACAGCCGTGCCCTTCTTTCTGAACTCAGCACTAAGCAAAAACAAACTCGAATTAAAAATTAATGAAACTTCAAAATAAGTAAACCATAAAAAAGATACCAGAAACCAGGATTACCAAACAATTTTGAGAATAAAAAACAAACAAATCCATAAAAATATTCTTCAATTCACTCCACTCTCTTTTGATATCGATTTTCAAACCATAATTTCACAAGAGTTCACAAAAAATTATCTTATCATGAGAAGGACCTGACAGATGATGACAATCCATGACAAAGCACTGTGTGAGGTTTTTTTCTTCTTCTTTTTCTATCCAGGAGACTATCTTTACAATTAAAACGAAGAAAAAATAGTATTACGTTCCTTACGGATGAAATATGAAAAGAGTTATCAATGGTGAAATTACTAAACCTCATATCTTGCTTTACAGTAATGCAGTTTTCTGACACATTTTGCTTTCTTCAGAGATGATTGATCACCGAATTTTCTTCAAAGTCCATTTTGCTCCTGTACAAAATATTCTCTGAAAATTTTGAACAAAATATTAAGTAAAATCCTCTCAGAAAAATTAAGTATAAGCAGAGATTTTGAGATGCCACATTTGCAACAGAAGTTTCTGCAGTTTCACCTTTGATATGCATTGTATTAACTATTTAAATAAATCACAAAAAAGACAAGGATGATCGATTGAACACAGCATTAGCTCAGCTGAAGAGTGCCTATGATGCACAGCGTAACTTAAGTATGCAAACTTGCCAAAGGATGATAAAACTGCCATGTGGATGAATAAGCGTACATGGATAACCTTACTTGTTTCTAGCTAAAGGAGGATTGTATGTTTGAAAGGTTCACAGGTTTAGAATTGACTGAAAATGAAACTCACAAGGACTGGGTAGTTAAAATGTACGGGAGCCCAGATTTTCTGTGAGGAAGTTATGAAATTGAAAACTAGGTAATCACATTTCTATCCCATGCACTCTCAAATATGGACAGATTCCCTTCAAATAATGTATTTTCAACTCATGAGGACCTTCGGATGAGGAATACACTATGGGAATGGCTTCTTCAAGTGACTTGAGTCTTGCTAAATCCAGTGCTAATCCTCTTTTAGAGCTATAGTTGGGGCAAGTTTGGCATAAACATGATTCAGGGGCTGTCTCATTCAATTTCTGATGAATGTCCATCAATTTATAGCAATTTTTGAGACCAGCACAACTCAATGGCAGTTGGTATATCAAGTGACATACCTACCGGAATATTTTCATTCAAATTGTGTCTAGAATTTCCATGAATTTTGCCCTGCACAGGAAGAGAAGACAACTTGGCCTAACCTAGCTTTGGCTTCACAGGTCCTCAGGAGCTAAAAAGACTTCGCTATGAAGAAATTTTTTCATATTAAGGAAAAGTGCACAAGTTAAAAATTTACCGAAAACTAACATACAGACTTAGGTCAATATCAGTCAAATAAATTATATCTGATAGACTCAGCACTAAGTTCTATCAGCATGGCTCCTTAAGAAAACCTTGAATATACACAGAAGAAATCGACAGTTGATACCCGACCGTGGAGACCTTTCGCCTCGAGAGGAAACTGAAGCTGGTACTTGACCTCTGTGACCATGAAATGTCAATTACAGCATGCGCATTGGATGATGCTTTAGAAGTACCTCAAAATTCTGATCAGCCGATATAACATTAGACTTCCCTACCATTGTGCTGCAATGGCGCTACGCTTTACACAATTACAGCACTCCATCTTGCCAAAGTAAGCTCATCGAAGATTATTAGCTCATAGATCTGTTACTATCTGAGTAAAACAACTTTTTTTCATGCTAAGATGCAATTTCTTGCTTCAAGATGAAATCCTTACTCTGTCAAATAAACTCATTTGAAAAAGAGTTGACCAAGTTCAAACGCTGTGCTTCCTTTCTGAAGGTAAGTAAATTCTTGTGCCTTATACTCACAGCCAATTTGTAAAAGTTCCGGACACTCTTAGTTTGCCAAGGTGATGATTGCTTTGCCAAAATTATTAAAGTAAAACAAAAATAGTTGAAGAGGTAAGATAAGGTACTTGATGATAGAACTGGGGAAAGAAAAGAATGAATAAACGTCACATCAACCTGAATGCATCATTTTTCAGTTGGCCCATTGATTACCATATAATTTTATAGTGAATGGTGCCATATTCCGATGTGACAATCGTCCATTATTTTCTTTCCTCAGTTCTGACAGAATTGCTTACATAAAAAACAGAAGCCTTCTAGGCTGGAAATTGGATTTAAATTGTACGTCAAAAGAAGTTTACGATTCTATCCAGAAAGGAAAGCTACAAAAACTTAATTAATTACCTTTCATTCAGCAATCACTGGACTCAGTTAAGAAATGATACACTGCGACTTAGTTTGAATATCACCATTGGCCTTATCAATTTCTAATAAGATTGTGTGAAATATATCTGCCACAGCTTCGTTTTGCTTTGCAGAGGCTTCGAGAAACACAGCTTTCCAGGAATCCGCAAGTCTCTTTCCTTCCTCGTAGCTTATCATACGCTCCATGTGTAGATCCTTTTTGTTTCCAACAAGCACCAGCGGAACGTGAATCTTGCCAGTCATATCTAAGAGCTTATCATAGATAACTTGCACCACTTCAAAAGATTTGGGAGATGTTATGGAATATACGAGCACATAGCCATGAATATCCATTGAGTACTGCCCGGGGAAAATTGAGTATTCATCTTGTCCCGCAGTATCCACAAGGTCTAAGTCATATTCTTGATTAGCCACTCGCGTCGTTTTCGCGAAAGTATTTTCGATAGTGGGATCATACGAGTCCACAAACTGACCGTCAACGAATCGAAGACTTAAAGATGATTTACCAACCGATCTGTAGCCCATTATGGCAATTTTTCTTTGCTTCGGAGGCATGATAACAGTTGGAAGCCAAACACATTTGGTGAGAAGTTACACAATTAAAAAAATTACGAACGATCACTGTAAATGAACAAATTACAATTGGTCACTATCCGTGTATTATCATTTCACTTGATTGTAATAAAAATGCATAAAATTGCAAAAAGTAAGTAATTGCGCTGAATTTATTATCAAAACGCACTTCCTGTGTTTGTGTTGGGTTGGAACGTAGAATGTTTTTTACTGAGAGAGTACAACACACCAATGTCACCGATGCCCTTTGTTACTTTTTTTGCTATGATAGTAGTTCAGGTTGAATAAGCGGTCTGCGCTCCTGCGCGTGCGCGAAAGTCCCCTGCGCTACGCTGATTGGTTAATGCACGCTACCACGATTAAATGAGGATACGAATTTTAGCGGGAAAGTTAATTCTGCGCCTCCCCGTCAAGGACCAGTCAGTCGCCTAGCCAACTTAGCGCATGCATTCAGGGCAACCACAAATATAATATTCCTTAAAACCATAAGTGACTCTGAGAGTTCGACGCCAACGCATTTTAACGCGTTCGTTGAATTTTGACCCAAGATTTTTGTACAGCTACACCTAACCTTATTAGGTATCTCGTGGTACCGAAAAAAGAAATATTCAAAGCCGGTAAAGTAACCAGATTTATTGCAATCGTAACATCGATGGTAGGAACTCTTTTTCAAAAGAAATTTCGAGTCATACCTGCACTTATTTTAAATGGTGTATGTTTATTTTTTTTCATTCTTTTTTTTAGAACTGAGGCGTTTAGAACCAAAACCGGCAATCTCCGATGACCTTGATTTCATGAAAAACACCATTTCCTGTCACACAAAACCTTCTTAAGATAAATATATGATTCCTTTTTTAAAAAATCACAAAAAATTATGATAGAGTCTACGGCAAATCACTCGAAGTGATTATTGTATCCTTCATGCACAAAGTTATTTAACATTAATGTTTGAAGATTGCCGGTTTTGAAGCTGAAAATGGAGTTTGCCACCTTTGAAATGACTTTTTTTTAGATTGCCGTATTTGGAAGGGTAACCAAGCAGACTGCTGCTTTTGATGAAGATACTACGGGAGGATAAACTCATAAAAGGTGCAGATCAGGTTAGTTCGTTTATACATACGCAGACACGCCATTGATACAATTGGAGATTGCCGAAAGGAAAAGCGCCGTATGTATTTTCAGGCGTTGCCAATTTCCTTTGATCAAACACGAATTTCCCGGAAAACATAAAATCATTTTCCTCCACATTTTCAGGTAATTTTGGTCGCTATTTTACCTAAAGCTCCTTAAAATTTCAAGGGAAAACGTTCATAACTTTCCTCAAGGGAAATTTGGCACCTCTCGAATGTTCATACGTCGTTTTTCCTTAGCACGGCAGTATATTATTAACTCACAATATGAGCCCATTAGCGAGTTGATGGCGTTTATGGTTTTTCATATTACAAAATTCGTCACTGATAGTACAATCTTATCTGTGGGATCAAAGGACACCTCCCCCGTTGCTTTAACTCTTCCGTCACTTCCTTTTCATTTTTTCTCTTCTCTCTCTTTATTCCTCTCTTTCATTTCTTTGTTTTCTCTTCCTTCCCCTTAAAAATGTGGTCGGCCCCAATGCCTCAAGGGTTGCGGTCCAGCATGAAATTTTCTGGTGCCTCAGAGGATTGATCTATCCCTACCAAGTAATTTGTCACTTTTTCACAAGTCTGCATGGGAAAATCGCGTGCCTCCCGTGGTACTGAGATGACAATCCCGATATTTCTAATGTTTTTACAAACCCCTCGAACAGATTGCGAATTTTTTTTAAGTTCACGGAAATTTTAATGAAAATGTTCAATAAATGAATACAGGTTAAAGCGGACACGATTCGGATTAGGGAATGGGTTTTCGTGTCGCGAAGATACAGAAAAATCTCAGCTTTCTGCCTGTCTAAGTATTATGCGCGTATATAGATTAGATTTTTCTAAAAATTCATATGATTTACTTTGCAGTTTTCGCGAATCGTTGAAAGCATAGGCACGTAAGCATGGGGTTAACCAAGTATGATCTGAAAAAATCAGTTTCGGTTATCTCTGCCATCTTGGCTTTTGAGATGTTTATGGGTAAGAGTCAGATCAAAATTCTGCGTTGCAAAATCCAGTTCACTGACAAAACATATTCTTCATTTGGACAAAGTTCATCTAAAAGGAACCAACCCACATTAAGTTGAAACTGAAAAAATAGGTTTGAAGTTTCATTCCTGCAAGAGGCACAATGCTAAAAATAAACTTAAACCCCTCTCTCCACAAACTAATTTATTTTTTTCGACTTTCAGTTTTCGGCAGGAGAAAATATACGGATAGTGGAACTCAAAAACATTCTGAACTCGATTTTTTCGAAAATGTGGGTTGGTTCCTTTCTAATGAACTCGATTCATTTCAGGGCCAGATTTACCTACTTGCCGCCCATGGGCCGCCTGTATTTTACCGCCCCCTTCTCATTAGTTTTGAAACATCAATAAAAACCATCAAGTGAACTTGCCGGAGGGGGAGGAGTGCATAAGACACGTTTACCCACCCGTGTTGGATACATTTTTTGCGAAAGCCTTGTCAACACTACCAGCAAAATTTCACGGAACTTGACGCGAAAGTTAAGTTCCGTAAACCTTTCTCTGTGTGGACAAGGTCCTCCATTTATAAGAAATGTAACAAAAAATTATGAAAGAGCAAACATAAATATGGTTTAATAATTTTAACTTCCGCCGCTGCGCTGATGCTGATCGCACTGTGTTTAGCGCAATGCGTGGAGTATTCTTGCAGTCGTGTAGGCGCTATGCGTTTCACGCCAACCGCTCCTGAGTCCTGACCGCACTGTGTTGGGCGCAATGGGTGAAGTATTCATGCAGTCTTGTAGGCGCTAATATGTGTTACATGCCGACCGCCGCGCCGCGCCGAGGGCTTGTCCTTTTCATCTCAAGTCCTCGTCATCATTCCTCTCTGCGCTGAGCTCCAAGCCAAATTGCGTGTTTGTTTAGTTCCTCTCTTAACTCGACTAATTAAAGATGCTGTCTCTTGTAATACCGAAAAATGACGAAATTAGAAATTACTATACTCTCAGGAAAGAGAGATTTTGTTCCCTTTTCTCAATGGTAATTTTTTTTTTTCTGAATCCGATTTTTTTTACACCTACATTTAAAAAAAAATTGCAAATGCCGCCATGGGCCGCGGCACATGTGGCCACCCCCTTAATCCGGCCCTGGTCCATTTAAAAGGGTGACAGAGATGAGTAGGTACCATGGGTACCATAGGTACACAGTTTTCCTTCTATTACGACACATACCACACTGCGTACATGTTACTTTTGTTGTATAACGCATGAAATTGAAGGCACACTAGTTATCCAATCACCGTGGCTGTGGGCGCATTGGGCGTGTGTAAAAATGATAATTTATCCAGTCAGCATCTAGACCACCTAGACTGTCCGACTGCTGGTGTGTTTACATTAATGACGATTTGAGATTTAGTTTTGTTGGCGTTGCTCAATGCGTCTGCGTGACCTACAAAATTAGCAATTTTCTTCCAAATTTTTGTCGTGAACAGTTCTTTTCTTAGTGCTTCGATGTTTGAAGTTTTCACCATGACAACGAGGCGCAATTGTGATTGTGTCCGCAGTTCGCGCTAATCGCGGCACGAACCTCGTCCTCGTACTATGAGTCTACTGCCTTGAAGCTCATCGTCGAAAGCTCAACTTAATTCGTCCGTACACGGGGATCTTTCAAGGTTCCAATATTCTTCAAGTTTCGTGGACCAGTGTTTTTGTCCGTTGAGCCAGCGCAACGCATTCTACGTTGCAACACCACCACCTGTTGAATGCAAGTGTTAAGTCTCCCGAGTGTTGCACCACTCTTATCAGATGTAAGTATTGCAATCTCAACTCGTTGCTCGAGATTCCGTACTTTCATAGGGGACTGGTACTTAATTAATTACTCATCAACTTATTTTTAGATTGGTTAGTTATGCTATGATCTCATCTAATGCATGCTGGGCTCCAGGGTCGCTTTTGAAGTATTGAACTTCAGCTAGCACCTGTTAGACGTTATTTAGACCTTGAGCAAAATTTCTGCTTTTGTTGTGTTTTGATAAGAATTGAACTAGCAGAGTTCACTCATAAATTCTCCCAACCTTTAAATTTGATGCTTACGGAAACATTTCAAGTTATCAGAATGTGGTGCCAAGGTGATAAGAGGATTGCCAGTTGAAACGATATCAGATCTTATTTTCTATCTTCATAGACTGACAATTCAGTGATGTAACTAATTCTCCATTTATTTTGAGTCCCAATTGCTGTAATCTTCAAATGCAGAAGCTCACCAACTTGAGAGCTCTCTTGCTTGTCACAGAAATGCTGCTACACTGTCTGATTAGAAGTAGCACGTATGTTCCGCCCAATCTTAGAACATCTCATTTTCTGTGGTGTCTAACCTCTCTCAAAAATGATAAATAGGTGTCTTGCTGTAAGACAGATAGAGTGAAAACCAGCAGAGGTAAAATAGGAACTTTACTCAAGAATGAAAGAATTTGCCAAGCTCTAATTGACACTCTCCCATGAGTTTGTTTACGAGACGCCGTTTGTAAGGAATTTCAACCCTCATCAATTAATCTTGTTTCTGAATATATCAAGAGATTAAATTATAAAAGACAGAAATCCTGAGCTAAAAGTTTCATTGAATACGTGAAGAGGTAATCAATTCAGATATTTAATGCAAAGTTTTCTTAACGTTTAATTTGTTCATATGTTCCATGTGTGGAATCACCAGAAGCATTTGACTTGTTACAAATTCAAGTAAAGCTAAACGCCTCTGGATGATCGCCCAATTTCTATGCAATATTCTCTTATTTCAGGTATGCAGAGCAACCTGGTCTGATCTGAAGCAGGTGTAGTTGATTTTCTGGTCCGAGAAAAAGATGCACTCCTCAATGTGAGGGAAACAAAATTACCCTCAATGTATCTTGAGCAGCTGTTGAATGATCATCTTTATAACCTGGAAAAATGGTATGAAAGATGATCCGTCCAAGATCAAGACTTAACCCAGGTGTGAATGAGGATGAGAGTTTGACAGACGCAGCCTCATACTCGTTTGAAGATCTCAACTGTGGGTGAGTAGTTTCATATAGTTCATTCAAGAAATTGACAACGGACGCAGCGTAAAAAATCCACGAATTCTGCTCCTAAGGTGCCATGCTCCAAAATGTGAGTGTCTACTCGCTCTCGACTCGGTAGCAGCGTTTTCCGCTGGCGTCCAGACGCCCCTAAGGTTTCGTACCTTAAGACACTGAAATGCGATATATTGCGTAGTTAAGATAAGGCTAAGCCTTTTCATGCCAAATCGATATGGTTTCAACCCTTGAACTACAGTTTTCAGTAAGTCAGTACATTGCTCCAGCCCTAAAATTAAGGATGTCATTATTGCCCTAAGGCAACCAAAATCATGCCATCTCTGTGATGGTTGCATAGCAGGAGAAATAATGCCCCTGGAGAGGTCCAGCATTCCGCTGCAAACAATTTCCAATTATGATGATCCTTTTGTGCAAGATCAACCCATTTTTTGTTAAATTCAACTTGCCTAGTTACCACTGAAGTAAAAATAAAATAGTGTATCGGACAAACACTTTTTCTCTATGTCTCTGCAATTTATACTTAAGGGCACTTCCTCAGTTGCGTCCTGGTTGATCCAGGCATGAAGGCTGTATTATTATCTGTATCTTCATGCGACGTAACAGCCTTGTATATCAACTGGAAGTAACATTGATGTCACTGATGTTGCTGAAAATTGAAATTTAGTTCAGCATGCCTTGGCCTCAAGTCTTCCAGATTCTTATCTCAATGTTTGAATTTTGTGACAAAAATGTTCAACATCAGAGGCTGTCTTTTTCAAGCAGAATTTAAAAGGAAAAAGAAATGGCGTTTTGAGTTGGAAGGATTTTATGGTTCATACCTTTTCCTGCCTTGTGCCGCTTAGCTTGGAAGTGTTAGCGGCAACATGATCCTTCTACCCTAATGCCCTGACCCAAAATGCCATTTTTTTGCTTCTAAATCCTCTATAAAATTGAAAGATTCATTTTTTTTAAACTGTATCTTTTTACATTCTTCCAAATCTATGTCAGGAGTGTAATTTTTTAAGTGTAAAAATAAATGTAACTCATTATAAGTTGAGGACTCTCCAAAAAATCACCTAATACTCGGATTTGGCCCTAAAAATTATCGTCAGCTATTAGTTTTCATGACTATCAACTCAAAATTTCCCCAAATTTTGGGATAAATCCTCTACTCTTTCAAACTTTGGGTGCACTAAATCAAATAAATATAAGACAAGGAATGTGCATGTAGTGCATCAAAGAGTGGATTGTAAACATTACTGATATGCCCAATGTTATTTGGTACAATTTCAGCTGGAAAAAGTCTCCTCAGTTGGCTCTATTTTCCGTCTGTGTAGAAGTGTTTTATCATATCATTTTCAGTCTACGGAGGCTTTTACCCTTGCCTATCATGTGAATGAACAAATTAAAGTAAACACATTGTCTTTTTGGCAGGTTCAAATGCTGTGGCCTCTCATTCTGCAGATCATGGAAGAGGTACGCAACTCTAAAGAAATTTGTCATCGTCCTATGTTTACTAGGATTACTTGAAGGTGCTGTCAATGGATACCTCTCGGCTCATCTTCATTCAAACTCGGCCCACTTACCACCCTTAATTATCCGTAAGTTATCCATTAATCATTGACCCAAATTTTATCAACGGATTTTTCTGCATTTTGTCAACCTCATCGCTCACAACAGGTATGAGCTGGAAGAGGTATTTATAAATAAAAAATTATCAAGTAGGTACCTGGTAATGGTTGATTCTCCTGATCTCCTTAGTTCCTTTAACTTACCTCTTTCTGTGCTCTCATCAAGTGGTTGTCATATTGTTTTTGTCAAATTGTGATGGTTATTAATGACATTTATCCTGTATGTATGCTCCTATATGTCACTGCAGAGGACCTACGGGATGTATTATCTTATCTTATTACACTCTTAAAATTATAAATAAAGTAAAGTGGGCAAAGTAATCTTGCACAAGACAGAATTAAAATCAAAACAAGAGAACCTCGGAAAAAGTAAATGAACCAAGATAGTCGAAGAGAGAGGGAGAGAGAAAAGAAAAATGGAACAGTGAATGGGTAAAAAAAGTTTCTTTTCTTCCAGTTTTCTTTTTATCATTCTTAGTAAACAAATTTTCTGAACATAGATTAAACTTAGGTATGAACTTCTGGATTGCATTTTAATCTCCCCTTTTTTTTCTCTTTATTTCGTATGCCTCAGGATGGCTTCAGGTCGGAAGTGGTGTGACGCAGCTGGCCCTCGGTGTTTTCCTAGCCTATTGGGGTGGATCGAGGCATCGACCAGGAAACATTGGGCTGTACACGGCTCTTTTGAGTTTATCGTCCATTATTCTTGCTGTTTTATCTTTGACCAATGAAAGCAAATACTCAACTCTCCTCCAAACTGGTAAATCCTTTACTCCACCATCAAATTATTTATGAGAAGAATCAGTCTGTTGCAGTTTTTTTTTTATTATTTACAACTTAAATTAAATGAACTAAGATGTAGGTGGTGAGAGGAATTAAGCAATTCAGCAGGTTTTCAGCTTTGAAAATCTCAATATACCATATTCAAGTATGACGGTAAAACGCAAACAATTTTGTTGCTCATGGCAAAAAATGTTTATTATCCTTGAGCTGCTTTTGAGATCATTTCATTCCTACCGCCAATTTTTGTATATGTTTAGGTTCACTGTACTTACTATGCTGTACTATGCGGGGGGAATAAAGATGATGTTTCTAATGAATGTGGTTAAATGAATAACCTCACAGATTGTCTTGATTTTTTTTTGACGATCCTAAATTTTCCTACCTTTTTCTTACCTACATCATTATTTGTGAGAAACTTCTCTTTTTAGATGTGCCTGTTTGTGTGCGAGACAATGACCGAGAAGAAACAAGCTTCACTTCGTGGAACTGGAATATTTTCACGATCGGAAGTTTCTTCTTTCTCCAGTTCGCCATTGGGGTGGGCAATATAGCTTTCATGGCTCTCGGAATCACTTATATTGATGACAACTCGGAAACCGAGAAGAGTCCTCAATTTATTGGTTTGTATTAAATTTACCTTAAAATTGTTTTAACGGAGAGAGAGAGAGAGCAAAGACTTCATTTTGAGGGAAATAATGAAGCAAGCCATACTTAGATATTTTGTTAGAGCAGACTTCATTTATCCTCAGTTTTGCTCATGCCAGGTTTAATCCCAATTTTTTCACTGAGATAGAGTTCATGGTCTCATCCTGCACTTACAAAGCAGCACCTGAACAGACCTATTTTTAATTGGATATGATCAGGACCAAAACTTTCTCAGATAGATAGTTGTGACCATCATCATTGCTAAAATAGGCTTGCAAATCCAGCGGAATGATAAACTAAGTAGAAAAGCAAAGGAGACAAAACTTCACAACTGAAAATGGGCCTGTTGCAAACTTTTGGTAGAGCAAAAATGAGAGTTGTTCCTTCAAGATAATGGCTCAAAAATCACGATGAGCGCATCGGCAAACTCTTAAATGCACTCCTAACTTCAGAATCTGGGCAAGACATTTGCATTTTTTTAAGTTTCCCAATTCAAAAAGGATACTAAAGCTCAGGTGAACATTTCGTCAGAGGAATCGTTCCATTCAATCCCTGCTCAACATGGCCAACGCTTCTGCGCGGAAGTTGAGGAAAGCACGAGGTCAATCAAGGCGGATATGTATCAACGCCAGAAAAATATGAATTTAAACACGGCGATTGTTATCAGGTGGTTAGAATCATCGTCCCATCACATGTGTTTTGGCGGATTGGCATTGGCTATGTTGAATATTGCGTGGTATTCTTTTGATCAGAGGTTGGATGGAATGACTTCTCTAACGATATGTTTACCTGTGCTGTCGTATCGTTTTAAAGCGGGGAGCTCGAAAAAACGCAAATTTCTTATGCAAATTGTGAAGTAAGGAGTGCATTTCAGACTTTGCCGATGCGCTCATCATGATTTTTGCGACTTTTTCTATCAGTAACACCCCTTATTTTTGCTCTAGCAAAAGTTTGCAACAGGCCCATTGATAAAATATGAATTGGCTAATGATATCAGCAAGAACAAGGGACTAAGCTGCCAAAAAGACTAAATATTCCCACAGAAAATTTTACTCATCAATTATTATGGACAGTGCAAGAGCAGGAATTATGTACATAATTGATTTTCTAGATAACATATTTTTTCACAAAATTCAAAAAATTTCTCCCTTGGAAAGAAAATTGCTCTTAGCAAATGTTTTCCTTCCAAAGATTTGCTGTTAGCTGCAACACAACTTATGATCAGTTAGGAAAACAACCGCGGAGGCATTTTAAGTCTAGTTGGGCCCATCATAAAATTGCACCAAACAACAAATCTGAGGAGGGGAAATATTTTGCAATTGCAGTGTTCCTTGTAAATGCAAAAACGTTCCGCCTTTTCCAGAAAATGTTTGTACCTCTGGAAAAAAATCAAGTGACCGTTCAGAAGAATTTCAACTGAATACAATTTTAGTATTCGTACAATTTTAGTTAAAACCAAAGCAGAGGTATATTATTGTTATTAATGAAAATGAGTTTTTTTCTAATTAATTAAAATACTAAACTAAAATATAAAATTAAAAACTCTAAATAATGTATATATTATAATAAAATTAGTTAAATCAAGTATAAATAAAAGTTATTTAAAAATTAATGAACCCAGTGTTCAGAAGTTTCTATTGAATAGTTCTTATTCCACCAAGATTTTCTCGGTTAGAATGGCGTCTTGCAAATTCCTCACTTTGAACCACATACATGCTAAACCCTCTGATTTTCTCCTCTTCAAATGTATTTATGCTGTAGTGTTTGAATTATAATTCTTTCATTTTTCAGCCTTGGCTCTTGCAGCTAAGTATTTTGGTCCTCAAGTGGGGTATGCCTTCTCTTACTTGCCTCTCGATAATCTCTCACTCACCGCATCTGTTTGGACAGGTCTGTTGTTTTGGAATGTTTGTGTTTTTTTCAATTTGAAAATAGTTTTCATCTTCATAAGTTAGTAAGCATCCAAAGAAATTCATGCAAGGAGAGTTGCAAAACATTTTTTTTTCTCCATGTAACACTCTTAAACTGTCGAAGCCTTTAGTCAAACTTTACCTTCTATGGGATCAAATTTGTTAATGAAACATAATTTATGTAGGGTTTGAGACCCAATGATTTTAGTCAAGGAGTTTTCCCCCTTTTTTCCTCAGAACTTTTCGTTTCACAGCATTTTGTTTTTTCTTTTCAGCATTAAAAGCATTTTCACTGAAAATGTATCTTTTATACTTGCTTGACTTTCATCAGCTAAAAATAATGTTAATGTCACTCCAAATGAGGCACAGTTTGACATGATAATTGGACTTTCACTTTTGTTTTGTCTCTACAGGATTTGGCATTCTGACTGTCTTGATGATATTGATCATCAGCGCATTTCCTGGGCGCCTTAACCTACAGTTGGTAAAGCCTGACTCCATCAACAGTATTGAGTTTAATCGTGGATTGCGACCATATCGCAGATCCTACTATCCAAGACAAAAAACAGGTATGTCCGGAATACTCGCAAAGTTCACCAATCATGAATCGTTACCTGTTCACGCAGAGCTCAGATGATAGATTAATTGCACCAGTTCTGGAATCAAGTTTTGGCAGTTGAAATTTGGGGTGTAAAATTTGTCTTTAAAGCCAAGCCTCTAAAGTCACTTAATCAATGGAGATATCACTCTTTGTAAAATTCAAAGTGATTGATATAATCTAACAATGTTGTGTAAATCAAGATTTTTGTAGTAATATTCTTCAACTGACTTTTACAAAAACCTACAAACAAAATTTCTTCCAGTAACTTTCTCGGTAATATTTTACTGTTAGTGTAACCTCCGAAGAAAATACACTATTATCATTTAATCAGTATCATTTTCAGAAGTCTACCTTAGAATTAATCATTCAATTAAAATAATTTCTTTCAATTAAAATTGAGAGTACCTTATGCAACTTAGGCTTGAAGGTGATGTATTGAGACAAATCCTGAATTAAATAATTCAATCCCTCTATTAGTGGGGCCGATAAGTGGAAAATATCATAACAATCGTGCACTTCTGGAAGAAAGCATGAAAATTTCAGGGATTCATCTCTACCCTATAGACTTTCGATTCAGACATAGACCCCAAAAATCTGAGCCCCCTGGGGGGGGCAGGGGGGCCCCCAAATTTTGAATTTCGTATAACTACTGAACGGCTAATGTTAGAGTAATTTTTTTACTGCAGGGCGATGGGAAATTTTATTAGGAACAAAAATGGTGCTTATGAATTTTTCTGTGGGATCGATATTTAAGGCGTGAAACGGGAAAAACCATCGGGGGACGGGGAGCCGGCCGTTCTGAGGCAGATCCGCGCGCTGCGCTGCCTGCCCGGGACGCGCGCGGCGGCGGAGTACGGTGTTCCCGACGGAATAGCCGCTTGTCTCGGTTTAATCTCAACGGTGCGCAGTTTTAAAAATAATTATAAATTTACTGTACTGCCTAAATACTTTTCCATTGTGATTTAAGCCCTACTTTTTATTAGTAACACATAAAAAGAAGCAAAAGGCGAAATACTCCAATGCGAAAGCGCCGAGTCAATAAGAAGGGTCGGTCATCGCGCATCACGCGTCTTGTTTTCTCTGAATACAGAGCTTTTCCGATCTCAGTACAGAGTGTATTACCCTTTCCTCACGTGAGTTTTGTAAAGGATTACATTTTTTAAGATATTAGAGCGAAATAACAAGTTTTAATATACGATTTTGACCTACTTTTTAATGACTATTGGAAATGGCGGATCCTCGATAACTTATTTTTTGTTTTTATTTTCCACGTTATTGTCGGCGAATGGGACCATAAGCTGCTTATACATAAGCAAGAATTTTGCAAAACTGATGCTAAGACATTACTTGAGGAGTAAAGAGGGGGGCTTCACATTCCCTTCGCCACCAAGGTTACCAGATCTCCTTCATTTTCCTCCAATATCGTTTTTCGTTCATGTTAATTGGTTCTCGCATTGCACAGGTTACATACGAAACATTCCGACAATGTTCTTTTCTCCTCTTTTTTCCTCCAGCCAGTCAATAGAAGTTTTCATTTTCATGAACTCCCCACTCTTTTAGTTATTCAACAAATATGCATACTTTAAAAAATAGAACAATATATTATAATGAATAATAAAATAGTGTATTCCCTTCGGAAAATACACTAAAAGAAGACATCTGAATCCTATCGCTTCTTTTTATCAAGTCACCCTTGAAGATATAATTGGTACTTTCCACGAGAGATAAAAAATGGAATGAGTAGTAAAAAAATCCATGTATATTATCTTTCATTTTATTCTGCAGAGTTTGGAGTGGAGTTGGTAACATTTGTATTGAAAAAAATATTAATGTAGGAGGAAATTTATTTATCATGCAGGTTCTGATCCTTTAAAGAACTTTGAGAAGGACCAGTACGTCAGGAAGAAATTCATTGTATTTCTTCTTTTTCAACCCACCAAATCTCGTACCGATTTTTGATTTGTAAGTATGTCGGAGAAAATTGTCAAGAAACGGGACTTGCAAAATATGCAGTGCACAAAACGTACACCTTGAACTTTATCGCACAGTATAACACTGATCGAATTAGCTTTAGAGATTATCAAAAGGTTAATTTCTCGTCCAAATATCAACAAATGAGTCAAAATCAGTAATCAGTAATCAGTTGCAAAATTACCGAGATTGCGGGATATCGAATGATGCACGATTTAATTGATGACATAAGAACAGGATAGGTCCCCAGTAGGCGCGACTTCCTATCACTCAAATGGACCGTTTTTGCAGATTAGCGGATACTGGCGGCTATTTATTACTTAATAATATTCTTTGTACTATACAGGAAGCAGTCCAACAAATGTTTTTTGGGGGTCTTTTATCCCTATCAAGCTGTCTCAAGATTCTTTTGGCGTTTTTTCGGAGCAAGTTTTGAAGGTGGTTTTGGTCCTCTTAATAAATGCCTATACGTAGCAATGAAGTACCAATATGTTCCTTAAAGAGAGGAGAATAAGCATGTTTTTATGTATACTCATTTTTTACAAAATTAGTTTCCCTGTCTCATAAGTCTGGCTAGAAGCCGTCTCCAGGGAACTTTAGGGTATGTAAGCATATTTAGATATCATTCTGGTGGCGCAGCACCGAGAAAAAGAGAGAGAGAAAAAAACACTTTAAAATAATTTTTCAGGTCATTGTGGTTAACAACAAAGATTTGTGATTTTTAGTCCCCCCCCCCCCCNTGTCTGATACAGTTATCTCGGATGTTTTAATAAAAATTGACAAACCCGTACAACAAAACATCCCCGAACTCCAGCACTTAGCCCCTTCTCCTTCTCCTTCTTTTGCCGTGCGCTCACTTGTATACATATATTACCTGCAAAAATTAAGCCCTATTTTACGCCTTTATAGGTAGTACGATATATTTATAATATTTTTAAAACTGCGCACCGTTGAGATTAAACCGAGACAAGCGGCTATTCCGTCGGGAACACCGTACTCCGCCGCCGCGCGCGTCCCGGGCAGGCAGCGCAGCGCGCGGATCTGCCTCAGAACGGCCGGCTCCCCGTCCCCCGATGGTTTTTCCCGTTTCACGCCTTAAATATCGATCCCACAGAAAAATTCATAAGCACCATTTTTGTTCCTAATAAAATTTCCCATCGCCCTGCTGTAAAAAAATTACTCTAACATTAGCCGTTCAGTAGTTATACGAAATTCAAAATTTGGGGGCCCCCCTGCCCCCCCAGGGGGCTCAGATTTTTGGGGTCTATGTCTGAATCGAAAGTCTATAGGGTAGAGATGAATCCCTGAAATTTTCATGCTTTCTTCCAGAAGTGCACGATTGTTACTCTTATCGGCCCCACTATATGGTTGTCTTAGTGATCCAAATAAATTTTATTTTGACGCAGTGTCCTTTTTGTTCCAGGATGTTTTGCATCCATCAAGAGGGTGCTGTCAATCAAAATGGTTGTATTCAATACCTTAGCTGTAATATGTGTTCAGACTGTGATTATTAATTTTACGCTCATCAGAGAAACCTACTTAGGCTCCGTTTTCATGATCTCAAAGTACAGTGGCACTGTACAATCCCGTCTCCTCATTGGTGAGTCTGCTTAAAGCTTTTTCAAACCTCTCACCCACTATTGGTAGGCTCAATCCAAAATTCACCTGAATCTCAGATTGTCACCATTGAATCCTCCTGTCCAAATCCACCACTAAGTAATGGTATTAAATAGTGAAAGTTCAATACAAGGAAACAATCGAGAGTCAGTCTGCTATGTTCAGTTATAAATGGTTAACATTTTTAACATATTACATTGCCATTTTGTAAGGAGAAGCTACCTACGTACTTTCTTTATCTTTTCCACGGAAAATTGAAATATTTACAGATACCAAACAACTGTATTATGTCAAAGTAAAATTCTTTATCAGGATTTGGAAAATTCCAAATCCTGAAATCATATTCTGTTTCAATAGAGGAAGGTACAACTGTCTGCTCTGCTCCAAAATCTGCAAGTTATCATACAATTGTACAAGATTCCAGTGATGCAAAAAGCTCCCAGCCTTCCCATTCAAAAATTTTTTAGAGAAATGATTTTTTTTCCCCTCTCAATTTAAGAATTGTTGAGGCTTTGTCAAAAAAAAAAACTCTTGCTTTATACTGTGGTGTTGCCAAAAATAAATAATTTTCACCTTAATTTTGCGGAAAATACTTAATTATCATGCAAATACACACCAGCTATCCTACCGTTTAAACCCATTTTTACATGCAACTAATTGCGATCAGCTGGTTGTATGATCAAAAAGTTTTTGCTCCCCTGTAAAACTCCTCAGAGCCATTTTAAAACCTTTTACTTTATTGCTAAATCAGTCTTTTTAATCTAACTTGAAAAATCTGAAGAATGGATTCTACTTAATTCTAATCCATTATTCAGATGAACTTTCAACTGCATAAAAACAAAGCGTACCATGAATCTTTTTACCACCTATCAATTTGCCAACTGTTCTAATATTTTACAGATATTCTGCAGCCTCCTCTTGTTGCGTTGGCCATTATCCTTTCAGGACTGTTTCTGCGCCATATCAAGCCACGTGCTAGCCGTTTGGCCATTTGGAACATTTTTGTAGTTTGCACGGTCACAGGACTCATGTTCTCAGCTGTCTATCTCAAATGTAATAATTCCTTTCAACATGATCAGTCAGGCAGGCGTTTAAATGCTTATCAAAACTTTGAACTCGATAATCGGCGTTATGTCAGCGGTTACTCCAGTATCTATGGGGGATACTCTAACTTGCCTGGTGTCAATAGGCCATCAGAATATTCCTATCAGCCAGCCAGGTAATCTCAGAATCATTCTTTCAAGCTTTTGTTGTCTTTTTTTTTGCTTATATTTCTTGTCACAAGTAAGATCCTGAAAAATTTGCACTTATTACATGAAAAGTCTTTGATCCTGTGATTTGCAAACGTTGCAGGACTCTTCTGAGTTGTTTTTTCTCAGCTATTTATCTCTAAAAGCTAAGATGCAGAATTTTTCAACCCTTTATCATTTTACACAAGCTTGAGCAAAAACAGCCAGATTTTCATCTTGTAAATATTTTGTAATAATTTCAATCCTGTAAATATTTTGGAAAGCGCTGTCAATTAGTGATTGTTATTGTCAAATGGGAGAAACATCAGACTTTTCAGACTTAATACCAAGGGAGAATTACTTCCCTAGTAAATCAGATGGGACAAAGATTCTAAGAAGGCAATACTCATCAGAAATCGTAGGGAGCATAAAAGACTTCATGGAAACCATCAAAATTTTTTCAATTTTGGAGCTGAATCTAGATTCAATCAAACATACACTAATTTAAGCTTCTATAATGGAACTTATTATCAGATCGATAGTTTTAAAATTTAACTTTAGCAGTGCTATTTTTTTGAAATTTCGAGTAATTTTCTGCCTTTGTAAATAAAGTAATAATGAACGCAATTAAATGCAAATAAATCGAGTAACTTCAATTTGTTGTTCCCAGACTACACTTAAGTATGCTTTGCAAAGATTGCCAGTGCCCGGATGAGCTGAAGTTTAGCCCCGTTTGTTCCTCAGACGGTGCTGTTTACTACTCACCTTGCCATGCTGGCTGTCGCACTTTTGAAAAATCCCGACTGGTATGTAATTTTTGCACTTGATCTTTCCTGAAGAATTTTTACATAGCCTAAAGGCTGTAACTATATGAAAGAATCTCTTATATCAAGGTTTCTTATCAATCCTGTTCTTTCTGTCAACTGCAACTCAGAATCTCATAAAATGGAATAAAATTTACATTGAAACATTTAGAGTGTGCATAGCCAGAAGGTTTGGTCATTATATCATCTCTTTTTGAAAGTTTTCCATCACCAAGATGCAAGTGATTTTTAAATTATTTGCAGCTAGTTTTCTCAGAGCCATAAGTAAATGCATTTCATCAATTGAATTAAAACCAACAGTCTTCATGGCCAATAACTGTGAACTTAAAAGGTCAAAGTTGCCGCTGGTGAGAGTTAAGGAGAAGAAATGCAGGAAGAAGGGAAGGGTGAGAGTAACAAATTGATAGATGATGCAGAGTTGAACTCTCCAATGTGACTTTTGAACTTAAGAACTTGAATTGACTTTTAACGAGCCCTTAATATGATTACACTTCTCTCTAATCATTGGTTTATTGCTTTTACAAATGCCTGGTTTTACCAACATTCTCTTCTAAATTTTGTCCTCCTCTTTTCAGATGTATGGGAATTGCACGTGTATGGTTTCAACAACAATGTCAAACACTGTTTCGAATTCAGACTGCTACAAAGATGGTTGTGGGGAGCGTGCTGTCTTGTATCAGATTCTTAACACTACGGCTATGGCGCTGCTGGCATCAACGTTTGTCATCAATATGTTATTCTGCTTCAGGTAAATAGTTTTTTTGACTTACCGCAGCAATATTACAGAATGTTAGGAGGCATGACCCCCAGTATTCTATACTAGTCCATCTTCAGTTTGTGGCTCAGGTTGTGTGTTGGAATTATTTAGCCAACATGAGTTTAAAATTCAGTATAAAACTGATATCTCAATACAGAGGGAAAAAACTCACACACAAGCACAATTTTCCCTGAAAGAAATGCTGTTTGGTGCAACAATAGTAACGACCATTCAGGAAGTCAACTGTAGACGCATTTCGGCCTTGTTGGGCCAATCCTCAGTGCAGCTTAGCCTCCTGAATTTCTTGCTACCAAGCGTTGCACTGAGAATTGGCCCAACAAGGCCAAAAAGCGTCTGCAGTTGCGTTCCTGAATGGTCGTCACCAGTGTTGCACCAAATAGCGTAACTATTTAAGGAAAAATTGCGCTTGTGTGTGAGCGTTTTCCTTCTGTATTGGAATATCAGCTTCATACTGAATTTTTAACGCACATTGGCTAAAAAATTCCAACATACTGTCTTACGACCCGTGCGTCCACCGCAATCAGTTTGTGTACCTAGTGACTGTAGTGAGAGTCTCTCTGAAATGGAAAGACATGACATCATCTTGGCTGATCTATATGATTATAACCTATGTCTTTGCTTTGCGCTCAATAGAAGGAACACAAACTCTGGAGGCAGAACATTGTGAAATGATGCGCATTATCAGTTGTTTTTTTTAAACAAAATATCCATGGAAGAGTCACAAACCCAGGTTTAGCCCACTAGAGCTGATCTCTCTTGCAGACTCTAATAGCAGGGATGTTGATGTGTTCAACACGAGAATGTTTCCTTTTACATATTTTTATTAGAAGCAGTATTTTCTTTTTGACCCTCTCTCATAGTTACTTTGTTGCAAGCTTTTGTAAGCTACCATTTGTTTTTTGGTTTGTATGTCCGTTTTAAAGAGCATAACTGAATAAGTAAACCTTCCTAATTCTAATTCTAATTTTTTCACAGGTGTGTCCAAGTACGCGATAAACCAACTCTTGTAGGTTTAGAAATGACCCTTGTGGCGATTGTTGCATTTATCCCAGGAAAATTTCTTTATTTGCTGATTGATGGTAAGTTAATTATTATCCTCCTAAAGTAACTTATTAGTTTTTTTATAATTCTACTGCACAAGCATTCATAGTGAAGCGAATCTTCATTCTCACTCTGAGTACTGAGAATAGGAAGATAGACATCATTTGATCACTGAATAATTGATATTTTGCCATTGTGGTTTAGTGTATTTTTTTTTACTATGTCTGCTGATATCTACGGTGGGCTTGTCAGTCATTTTGACCTACAGGATAATCAAGGAAGAAGAATTTCCTCTTTTTAGTCAATCTACAGTAAAACATCTCTAAGCTAGAACCTGCCCAAGCTGAAAATTGTGCTATTTCGTTAAAATTGTACACTATTATCATTTTGCCCATTTATGCAGAGCCATGCTAAGAAAGTAGACATCCCTGGAAATTGATGAATCCAGCAAACCCTTTAAGTTGTAAAATTTTCTTACCCCAAACTGCAAAATTTCTCCTAAAACGTTCCTTTATCTTTTTTATTTGTCCTTGTATTTCCTCACTGGTTTCTTTTGTACATTTGCCTCCTCCATTTGTGTAAATCAGTTCCACTGCCCTTGATTATTTTTGCAACCTGCCGGCTGCTCTGCGCTTTTCGTTGTAGTAATGCCAAATAAACAGGAAGGGTCATGTTCTTCCCTTATTCCATGACAGTATTGTACCCCAAGTTTTTATCTCAAACCTCCGCTTTGAAAGCCATAAATCTTTCATATTCATTTTGTTGGCCTTGATGCATGACAATAATTTTCAAGTAAATAGTTATCATCAAAGAATTGTTGGGACAAGTTGGGAAGGTTCCCAGAGGAGTGTGAAACGAAGTGGATTTATTAATGATCTTCTGGTGACTCGTAGGGGCACACTCCACTGTGCTGGTTTGCTTCATATTTTGAGTGCAAAATTNAACAGGCCCATTGTACCCCAAGTTTTTATCTCAAACCTCTGCTTTGAAAGCCATAAATCTTTCATATTCATTTTGTTGGCCTTGATGCATGACAATAATTTTCAAGTAAATAGTTATCATCAAAGAATTGTTGGGACAAGTTGGGAAGGTTCCCAGAGGAGTGTGAAACGAAGTGGATTTATTAATGATCTTCTGGTGACTCGTAGGGGCACACTCCACTGTGCTGGTTTGCTTCATATTTTGAGTGCAAAATTTGAAATTTTACAACAAAATAATGGCAAGTCTGCTTAACAACTGAGCAACTCTTTTAAGTCGGAATGAACCCTCTGTCCTGATGTGATACGATTTAAAGAGGTTTGACCGTACCATGATCCATAAATCAGTCGTTATCAGAATTCAACTTTTGATAAAAAAGAGACTCTATTTTTTTCAGTTCATTTATATTCTAATATTTTCTATTTTCAGAGTGGACTTGTTTAGTGTGGCATGCAACGGAATGCAAGTTACACGATGCCTTAACCTATGGAACCTACCTTAATCTCCTTAATATTTGTAAGTCTTTATTTCTTTTTTCATGAGTTTTTATCAATTTTTATGACACAGAGTGTCTTTGCACTGCGGTTTAAACCTGGTCAATGGAGCTTTTCTATCATCCTAAAATTTTCTTGATTAATTTCTAGGGCTGTGCAAATATTCGCGCCTTGAATATTTCCTTCGTCTGACTCGCGCACTATTTGCAAATTGCGAATATTTGCCCCGTCACGAATAGTGAATTTTCGAACCAACATTTTCAATAATAACGAATTTCCGAGTGGCAATCATGACCTGTTGCGAGGACCTGCGCGAGGCTTCCATCCAAGACATCTCAAACAGCGGATCTCCTTTGAACTTTACCAACTGTGCCGAGTTTAAGAACAGCACGCGCGATTTGCCCGCGTATTTTGGTTGCTCCAAGAATATCACACGTTGATAGTTACATAACCAAGACAGAAAGAGGGAAAAGTTCATAAACACGTTTTCATTAACACCGAAAAAAATAAAATACTAAAAATGTGTCTGATGATCCTTAGATACCAGCTTGACTGCCTGCGCAGTTATCTTCAAATCCTGGGAATGCATACATAACTGCAGGAACAGTCAAGCCAGCATTCAGGGATCCTCAAACACATTCTTAACAGCCTAGGCTATTATCATAGCATTTCATTGTTTTCTGTGCAGGTGTATGAGCAAATGGAAAATTCGTAAAAGAATTAATCACACTTATTTTTTGACTTCTGTAATATTTTCGAATTTTCGCATTTAAAAAGTCATTTTGTTGCAGATCTGTGACATCATTTGTTCGATTGACACTATACAATGTGTAGAATATAAAAATTTAGATACATAGTACTCCTCTTGCAAAAAATAAAGGACAACAGAATCCAATATTTTTCAGTAGGCTTGTGAAAGTAATTGAAATTTCTAGTTAAGCGGAATAAAACTGTTTCTCAAATCTCAAGAAACCAAATCTGAGTCTGCTACTGTCCATTGCGTCTTGCTCTGAGACATCCTAAGTCAAACATTTTTTAATCAATAAAATGGTTGGGCAGAAAAACCGTTAATTGTAACCAAATCTAGCTGCAACATTTGTTGTGCCAATTTTGTAAGAACATAAAAACTAGCATGCAACTTTCTGCAGGCAGTATTTAAGAAGCCAAGGAGTGTTTCATCATAAATTCTTCAAATTTATTGGAATCGATAAATCTTTTCAGTACAGTGTCATCTTTGAGGTCAATCAAAATCTTCCTACATACTTTCTCTTAACTAATTACTTTTTTTCTTTTTTAGGTTTCCTGATGGGCGCAGCCGGCTTTTATTGCATCGTATACTTTCTTGCCAGGAATTTAAAACTCTATGGAGAGAAACCATCAGATCAGGATGAGCTACAAGCTGTGACAGAGCCCCTTCAATTTACAATCTCAAGTAACCCTTCAGCCGGAAACCGTAAACCAGAATCAGGTTCATTTAATCGCAACTTCCGAAATTCAGGGCGCAATTACCAGAAACCACTGATGATAAATGTCGGTCGCGATCGCATTGTGCGAGACCCTAAAAATGGGACTCAATACCCAGAAATGGAAAGGGAACCTCTCTGCTGGACAGCTCGTTCAACTCCCACTCCTAACAGTGATGACCTCGAGCTTAACTTCAGTCTTGCAACCCCAACTGGGAAAATGTTTCCACTTGTTGAATTCCCGGCTTCAAGTCCTTCATCTGATACAGAACGTCCAAAAACACCGTCTGAGTTTTCTCAGCCGAGGTCTCCGACAGAAATATCTCGACCTAAAACACCAATAGAATTGTTTCGACCTAAAACCCCAATAGAGTTGCCACGGCCTAAAACCCCAGTAGAATTGTCACGCCCTAAAACCCCAATCATGCTCTCCCGGCCAAAAACGCCAACTGAGCTCTCACGTCCCAAAACACCTAATGGTGTGCTCAAATCAAGATCACCCAGTCTGTCCTCCGGGCCAGCCTCTCCGGATTCTTCACGACCTAAAACTCCCTCTGCACTGCCCCTGTCCAACAGTGAAGTCGAGCTAGATTTCAGCCTTCAGACTCCTCCAGGAGCTAGGAGCCCCGGAACAACTTTTAGAACAGATGGTGTTTTAACTACATTACTCTAAGCTTCAGCTTCATTTGCATACAATTTTGATTTATCAGTAGGTTGCCTACCTACCTTTTAAATCTTTCATGATTGAAAATATACAGTGTTCCTAAAGGAAATCTGATTATTTTTGCAAGATAATAAAATCAAGATTTTGCTCGTCCTGACAAGGTCTTCGTGGGTTAAAAAATAGCAATGTATTTCGAAAAATCATCGATGGATGACTATTTTTGACTTGAGAAAAGTAGTTGATCTCGAAAAAATGTATTACAAATTTCACTTTCCTGTGAAGTAAAAGATAACTTCATCTAGCTTACATACCAAGGCTGTAACATTATTTTCAGATTAATCCAAAGAGCTTGTCCATTATTTTCTCATCATATTCTCCATTATTATTTTTTTATTTTTTTTTTATTGATGTTTAATAACATCAATGTTAGCAAGATCTAACTAACTGTACCTACATTCTCAACTACGCTGTAAGTTTTACAACGTTAGATGACTGAAATTCTGAAGGTATGGATGAATCCTCCGAGAGGTCATCCTTTCCTCATTATCAGATTTTGCAAGTAGATTAGATCTGAGTTTGTAAGGTTTTCTCTATGTTGATATGTTCACATTCTGACAGAATGCACTCACCGCACAAACATTTTTCATCTCATTTCCTAGTGCTAGTGCCCACTTCCAGGCAGTTAAATTTTAATCATGTCACTCTTTAATTTTTTGAAGGACAATGTCGGATGAGTTGGGAGTTTCATGACCAAGAAAAATGTTACGTGCACTGTCATTAAAATGAACCGAGATTTGTCTAGTAAGTGTGTGCTTATTAGGAACGGTCGGTCATCAAGTATCCCTCTTTTCTGGGTTTTAGCGGATAGCAACAAACTCTAATAAGTCAGGTTTTAATACCGTAATATTTTGACATGGTATTCAATTTATCATGAAGATGGAAGTGTTCAATCCAATTCTCAAATGTAATATTTTTTTGTTTGTGTGTGGTCATCATAAACAAGATTGCGATCTGTGCTGTAGTATAGCAGCAATCGAAATTTCCACTTTTTGGTCTTCTCTTTCAATTTTTTTATGTACAGTCAACTTCCTTTAAGTCAAACTGCACAGGAACCAGATCGATATTTCACTCAGAGAGAAATTCCAAGTAAAGGGGTTCGTGCTCTTATGAAAAATTCGATAGGACCTCAAAAAAGTTTGACCTAGGGGAAAATTCCACTTAAAGAGCATTTGACTTGAAGGAAATTAACTGCATATTACCTCCAAGGTACATTGATATTATTTTGGTTGCCTAAGAGTAAAAAATGATTGAATCATTCGTTAGAAGAGATGTTCTTACTTGACTTGTTTCATAGAATACTCAGTTTAAAATTACTACATATCAGTATGTACAAACTAAATCTCTAATGAATACTCTGATTTCTCCTGAAAAGCCCTCTTTAATTTGGTATGAAATGATTTTTTCACTAGTCCACCAACAACAATGATCTGTGGGGACTTAAAAAGTTTTCTAAAATTTAATTTCAAAGATCTGCGTACTAGTAAATCCGCTTGTACATGAAAAAGGAAGATTGCTCTATGTCTTAGAGTTGGTTGCTTTGTGCATCTGCTGTTTTCAGTTCTTGTCAAAATTTCTGCTTATGTGTACGTTCATTCTTTAAAAAAGACTCCAGGACGAATGAAACACTTTTCTTTATACATCCAGGTATCCTCTTGTAAGCATGTTGAGAGTACCACCAACTCAATTTTTGCAGAAATGTCAGTTATGACCCTTTTGCTCTCAGCTACTGATATCAGTCCTTGGTGTGCTTTGAATTAAGCATGCTTTTGAAAAGTTCAATCATAACCACCAAAGAATTTGATGTAATCAATCATTTGTTTTTGTATTTTGCAATCGTTTATCCATTATACACCTTTCGCAAGTCATTTTTGTGTGTGTACAAACTAATATTTTAAGAGCTTACAAGGTCTCTTTTCAATTGTAACAGTAGATTTTACCAGTTATAAATGTTTTAGTAGGTTTAACTTGCTTTATATTGGTAAGTCTTGTCTTATCAGAAAACTTTTGCTGATAGTTATTTCTAAGCATGTGTGTCTTAGCCTGCTCCCTCAAGAAGATCTAATCAAACTTTTTACCAAGTATGTTGATATCTACTAAGTTTAAGTGTAAGATTTTGTAATTATTATGTATTTTTCTTTCTGTATAGTAGCTGTATAAATTTAGGAGTCTTCATTATCCTTAATAATGAGTTTCAGATTTCAATCAGTTCACTTTTGTAACCATTGGAAGGGTTTCCTCATAATACTTGGAAGCTCTCCCTCTATGTAAATGGTTTTAATTGTTAATGACTTAATCAAATCCCTTCTCAAGTCAAGTTTTCCTGTTGATTAATCATGCATCCACGATTTGATGCTACGTACCTATTAGCTTTGAGCAATCTTTAACTTCTACATCTTGCATTAGTCACAGCTTTGGTCGAAAACAAATCCAAAAAGGGAAAAACTTATCTACCTACTTATTTTATTCAATCTTAAGTAACCTTGCTCACTTTATCGGTGCAATCACATTAACCAAAGGTGCACATGTGTATTACTTTATGCCAGATCTTTTAAAATCTGTTACAAATAGCATATTTATTTTTTAGAGATTTTTTATTTTATTTTTCGTAACAAAGTTTGTGCAATATTCCAAACGACTATATCTCTGTTAAAAATATGTAGCTGCATTGTCCCGTCTCTGCCATTTAACTCATGCAAGTAAATTTGGACATTTATTTTAGTTAGCTACTTGGTTTTTTTTTTATGTTCACATAGCAGACTTTCTAATGTTTGATTCACTTGTAATTCTGACCTTTGATCATGTATTTTGTAAGGAACATGGCCGAATGGGTTAGGTTTTTTATCAAAAGAATTCGGCATTTTATCATTGTTTCTTTTTTTTAAAATTAAGTTACAAGTGTAAGTTCATCCTAATTTACAAGAAGAGAGTTCCAATTTCATTCAGTTCTTTTTTTGTGTAGGAGAGGGCATAAAATACACCCTAGGCAGTTTTTGTCCCCATCTCCTACATTTTGTGAATGGTGTAAAGCTCATCTTCAAGGGTTTTGTCAAGTCGATAATTTCGAAAAATATGACTCGAATAGACTTTAAAATTATGCAAGAGTACAAAACTATGGTTTTGAATAATGGGCTTAATGTAGCTTCAAAGTTGATTTATCTTTCGTATGGAAAGAATGATACGGACTAAAACCGTAAATAATCCAGAATTATGGGCCATACCGCCATAGTGGTCCTGTGGAGGAGGACAAACCCTGTGTAGAGATTTCCTGTATCCGATATCAACTTTTTTATTGACTTTCAATTTAGAGGGAAGACCTCTAAAGTAGGATTTTTCAAGCATGAAAAAATTTTCTGCAAGAAAGAAAATTTCTAAGAGAATCCAATTCCTTCCAATTTTTCAATAGTTTCTCAACAGTTTGGACAGAAGCTGCAGGATGAATTCATGTTAATGCTCCAGAATACATCACTCCTAATATTGCTAATTTTAAGACATTAATATTTTTACCCAAGTGCTTGATCTTGAAATAGACCGTCCATATTTTCTGTTTCTGTGATAACTGAGTATACTCTCAAAATCAATCCATTCCGTCCTGATTGTAACTCAGACCACCTTTTTTTCCAGTTCCCTAGAATTAGCAAATATCGGTAAGTAAGTTTTTGAGAAATATCTCGCGCAATTTTCTCTAAGCAAGCTTTTGTACCCAATTTTTGTGATTCTCCTTCCAAAGTAGACCATTAGAACTCCACCATTTCTCTCTCAAGATTTTACACTTAAATCTTGAAATGAGCTTGTACATTCCATTTGGGTGCAAAATCTGTATTGTTTTTACTTGAAGTGCAATAGTCTTAAATCAATACATTAAACATCGTCATCATCTTATGTACATTTTTTCATCTGTATTTTTCTCCTCTTTAAACAATCCTGTTGTTTACATTAATTTTGTGTTTTAATAAAAACACACTCTTGCCTCTCCTGGACTCAGGTTTAATTTATCCCTAAAGATTGCTACTGTTCATTTTCTGATAGAGAAGAGGTAAGGTTTAAATACGAATGCCGAACAGTAATTTGGTCTGAGGTTTAACTTTTTTAGCCATCTGTTGGAAACTTACTTAAAAGCAAAAAAATTGTTCCCTTATTGTGATGTTTAAAAACCTCCATATCTTACTCTACTCTTAAAACTGAATCTTATGTTTTTGCACCGTAGAATTTCAGGATATTAAATACTGTCTGAAGTATAATTCTCCAAAAATTTTAGGGGTTTCTATTTATTTTAGAAAAATGGAACGAATATTTGTTCATGATTTAATGTCTTTTAAGTTGCCAGAAAATATAACGCAAAAAGATGGTGCCGCTTGAGGAGTTATTTTTTTACTTACTTAAAATGCATATCGATTCATTTTGCAGTAATTTTGGAAGAACACAAGTATTTTTAAGAATTTACACAGTGCTTTTACTAACATGTTAAAGATGATTTTTCACCCATGTGTATTATGCAAAGTTCACACGCTGAAAATGGGAGGCATCGTTCTTCATGTGATTCCCTGCAAATTGCGAGAGTTTTGTAATTTTCAGCAATTAATTGATGAGAAGTAGGAAGCAAGACTTTGCTGGGCTATTCGAAATGAAATAACCTATTTGGTCAAAATAACTCAGATTTACGAAATTTACCTGTCTTGAGCAATGAGACCTGTGATTCCAAATTTTGGTGTGTGAACTCAGCCTTAGAAATGAATTTTTGCTGATATGTTAAAAATGTTCACTCAGGAACAGACTTTGTTCCACTTATTATTTAAGCATTCATTCCGTCCATTTATGTATTGCTACCTCTACTCATGATTTTTGTTCTTTTGTACATCAAATTAAATGTTTTTAGATTATTAAATGTACCTTAAAATTAAAAAAAAAATTCTTTCCTTGTTTTGTTCAAGATTTTATCCATCACACATTGAAAAGACAATCCAACTTTTTGTTCTTAAAACATTTGATTTATTGTGTATCTTGCTTGTTTCAACATAACTGAGAGATACAAGATATGTAAGGGAAAAAAAATGCACCAGTGTAAATAATAAAACGAGAGAATAAAATTCATTGTCGGTACATCGTTAGATGAAATTAAGTTAGGAAACTGGTGTATGTATGTTAAATTTCCATTGAATGACTTGAGATAGTGACATGCTATTTGCTTCATTTTGGTTGTTATTAGAGCAGTATTTAACGAAAGAGAACCAATTTTCTTTGAAAAGAGAAGGTTTGTAGGTTGAAAGTGATAGGAAGAATTTCTAATTCATTCTTGACAAGGGTGTAACACATGCATGATCTCATGATTGGCAACATTTGTAAGGCAAATCTTGAAACCATTGAATGTAAGGCAAAATCATAGCCTTAAAAATTAGAGGGTTCTAAAGTGTCAAAAGCGAGGCAAATTGCACATTTTGTCAGTTGATCTACCGATGAGTAGACCCTTGTCTTGCAAATCACTTGGTTCCCTTTCCCTATAGAGGAAAGATGGTTTGAATTGCGAGCTTGTCATGGATTGGCATTAATTAATGTTTGCAAGTTAAATCACACATGATATGTCTAAAGTACAGCGATAAATTTTCTTGTTAAGTAGAAGGTTAAAGTGAACCATGAGGAAATTCAAGAGCCAGGCTACATACCTTCTTATAAATACAACTTTCGGTACTGAAGCATTACCACCAATATGCTGTTGTTTCCTAAATATTGAAAAAGCATAAAATGACATTTTCGGTAGCAACTGTAATTTGATACTTCTTTAGGGAGTTTTTTCCACTATACCATTGTTCTAAAAGTTAGAGTCCATGCCAAATAAGTTTACGCACTTGTAGACTGCAACAGAAGATAAGAAAAAATTGACTGCACCTCAATAACTTCTCAAAATGCGTCTGGCACAAAATTGAAGTAATTGATGTACAGTCGAGGTTTTTAATTTATGACCTTTGTCTGTTAAATCTTACCTCAATGTTTATTAGTCTCTGTTTTACGATTTCGGCAAAAGATTGTCTGACGTCACTTTTACATGTACAGTAAATGCTAGAGCAAGATAGCGGATCTTCTGTCGCAGTCTAAAAGTGCGTATATTTATTTGACGTGGGCTCTAATATTGGCGAAACTCTCACAGTCCTTTTGAATAATAAAACTAAGAAAATTATTCTTTTATGGCTTACAAAGCAACAAACCTTCGAACCATTTTGTCATCTCCATCTCCAAGGAACACATCTCCGTTGCGCTGTTCCAGTATTTTTTTATTGAAAATTTATTTTTTTATACAAGAATCATCACATGAATTTGCCTGAAATTTCCAGTAATTTTCCTTCACGCTTGTGAAATAAGACACTAACATTTTCAGACAAGCTCAAGTGATGGTTCTCCCATGAAAAAATAAAATGTTCATAGAAGTACTGAAAAAGCGCATAGAAGATGTTATGTCCTCTTGTGCTGGAGACAACGATCTGACTTTCAAAGATGAGTTTATTCCACCATAGTTCTCAACATCATGTAAACCTCTCGGTTGCGTAAAACTTCAGATATTTTTCTCAGAAATTTCAAGATTTAAAATTAGGTATGTAATTATGTTATTTGTCACGGTCAAAAGACAAATCCAGATTTGATGGAACATTTTGGAACTAATAAACTTAAACCCTAGTGCAAATGTTACAGGGACTCTGAGTTTCTGGAAAAGATTAAATTGTAGTTAAAACCTAGTGAGAGGTTTTAGAACTAGGCCTACACAGTTAGCAGAGATAATACTTACAGTGCCACTCAGAACTTACGAGTATGACAAGTACTTAAAAGAAATCATTAATACATATTATTGAGTATAATTGAGTTACTGTTCCAATCTCGTTAGTGGCTTGGAATTTACTAGCTGCATTTAAGAACAAGAGAGGGACCGCTTGATTTACACACTGGCAGCAGAGTGTTAGTTAAAGCATTTTGTTAGATAAAATTAAACAAAAAATGAATAGATTCACATTCACAGTTTTAAAAAATGTACATACAGAGTATTTACAAGGGTTGGTCCCATGGCAATCTTATTAACTACAAGCCGATTCTGCTAATTCTGAATTTATCATGGATGAAAGCTCAGTGAAATGGTGGTTTCATCTGTTTAATTTTGAGTTTGTAATTAAGAATTAAGTTCAACAGCGCCACACAAACCATCTGAATGATTACAGCATACAAGAAATTGAAAAGGTGGCTTCAAGCCATCAGAAATATTAAGATGTGAAAATCATTTCATACATACAGAAGCAGCATTAGTCTCATGATTTGTCAAACTCGGTTTAGTTTTGTTTTTCAGCTTTGGAGAGGACTTGTGACTTATTTATGGCAAAATTTTGTCCAATTGCTTGGTGCTTTGCCTGCATTCAGTATGACCTGATGTTTTCAGCAAGTTATAGACTACATACATGTAGACTCTGTAGAAATAGAACCACAGAAAGGAAGGGGGGAGGGGTGATATTATTCATGATTTTAAGATTAATTTTGCTCGTACAAAAATAAAATGAATCTTCTTAAAAATGAAAACATATTACACAAGAACAAATCTGGCTTATTTCTAACAATCTTTATTTCATTTCTAACTGAAATGAATCCTAAAATGTAATTTTGCTAAATTAAAGTAAATTAACCATAATTTTTTATGGTTCTAAAAAGTTCATCTGAAAATTGATTGTGTTTCAGATAACATATTTTTTGGACATTTTCACACTCAGGTTTCTTGATTAAAGCAACGGCTGAGAGCTAAGTAGGCTAGGACAAAGAAGGTACCGGGGCTTGTAACAACAAAACACAGTTGAGTCATTTGATAGAAGAGTAGATAAAGTAAAATAATACCAAAAAGGACTAGCACATTTGAAGTTTCCTAAAATCAGGGATGCAAGTATCATAATACAATGAACCAGTAGAGTATGTGATACTCTCTGGAAAATTACTTAATGAGAATAATTTTCAAATGATTCGTTCCTGCACAGATGTTTTGAGTGCTTTCATAACAATTCTACCAGGGAAAATTTTTCCGAATCAACTCCATGCCAAAAAGCTTTCTAATGATTGGTTAATGAGATTGATTCACCCAACTTCAATTGGATTGCATTGTGCAAAAAGGAACCACTAGCATTGCAATGTTGCTAAGATTGTGCAACTTCTTTTGTCTTGGAGGAAAAACCCGATTATCCCTTAGTAGTTTCTATTTTACTCGCGAAAAACTGTAAATTTAAGACGAAAATTACCATCTAAATTTCATAGTTTTTCACAATTTCCGCAATTTTATTGCAAAGGATGAAGTTGCACAATCTTAGCATCATTGCAATGCTAGTGGTTCCTTTTTGCAAAATGCAATCCAATTAACATCACATCTACTGGTTCATTAAGATTGATAATAAGAAAATTGAAAGAGAACTTGAAGTGGTTTTAAAAATAATAATCAGCAGACAAAGAATGAGTTCATTATTGAGTGAATGCTGCATTCCTAGGAGCTTGATAATTAGGGATAAAAATCATGGCCTGTTAAAATTAAGTAGGAGGTACTTAAAAAAAAAAGAGGAACAAATTAAAAACTAGAAATCAAGTTTGATTCTTCTGGAAGTCCCCTGCACCGGCGTATCTAGAAAGCTAATGGCGTAAAGGCAAGTAAATTCCCAGTTGAACGCTGTTTATCAGCTTGAAATTTTTGACTTGATCATAATTTTGCAGGTCATTTGTCCAAAGAATCGCTTGGAGAGTGACAAGTTTTCTTGGTTTTCAAAATTCTAAGACTTTTCAATGTCTCTCTTTGTTTTTAGATTTTTGGATCTCCACCGGTGGGAGACATTCCGAGGCAAAACTCAAGTTTAAAGTAAAATTTTAATACTTAAAGGTAAAATAAGAAATTGATTGACAGTAATATGCCCTTAGGTTATCAAAAACTTCAGTGGACTATGGAGCTAGACTAGCTGAAAATAAATGACAGTCTCAACAACAAATTAAAAAAAGTATGTAGGTTTTCATACTTATTTCAGTAAGTAAAACGTTCTTAAGAAATAAATATTCCTTTCTTAAATTAAGGTTATGGCATTCGATATTAGTCTTCAATATTACAAAAAAATACAGTTCTGAGCAGAGATTTCTTCTTCACCACCTGAAAAAAAGTGCAAGGAAAATAATTATAATAGAACAGCGTATTCTTGCAGAGAAATATGGAAATGAAATAGAAGTTGGCGGAGAGAGAACCATGTTTTGAATGAGAGTTTAATGTAAACTACATGTTTACATTCTTTTAGTACTCTTCCTCCATGCATGAAATCAGGTAATTCCTTTAAAAAACTGAAATTTGCTTTCAAGATTGAGTTTTTTAAGTTTTTGACTTTTTCCATTCATTTTAATGCCGCAATGTTTATTTTTATTCCAATCTTGTTTCTTCAAGACATTTTTTTTTACAAAAACTTGGAACATCAAAACTCTCATTCTGGAGAAAAAATTATTTTTAAATTTAATCGACTTTAACTATTTCCAGTTAAAACGTATTTTTACAAGACAATGGGCAAATTATTAGTCGTTACGTTTTTATTAGTGTACCAATGGCTTAAAGACTTCAGGAGTCTCCCTTGAATTATAAATACCTATAAGAATTTATAATCAAAAAGTAAAAAATGACTGATGATAAGATACTGACCTATTTAAACCACCAGATGTTTTGTTAATACTGGTGATTTGTGATTTTGGATCCACAGCAAAAGTGCTCCAAAGTGTGGCAGAACAAATCTCTTTTGGCTCGCAGTTGCTTACATTTAACAAGTTTACAGAACACGATTTGATCACAGAGTAAAACCTGTCAAAGATGAGAATAGTAAAAAAAACATGAATAGAAATGCATTCGTTACTTGTTTTTTAATTTGTGTAGCGATTCATTTTAGTCTGTTATTTATTTAATGAAAAGAGGTAAATGGCATGAAAAAATGAGTCTTTATCAGGCTTGTATGCCATGGTTATGAATTAGTAGGGTACAGTAGAACAAAGACGTACACAGGCAGCCCAAAACGAAAACAGTAGGATGAAATTAAGGAAAACAGCGGAAACAAGTCTAAAATACATTTATTTTTTAATTTTTGTACTTTACTGTTTTTAGCGGTTGATAATGGTGTCGTGAGACACCGAAAAGTCCCGAATAGTTGTACGTATTTTAGCCTTGTTTCCACTGTTTTCCTTGTTTCCATTCTTTAGTAGGGTAAATTTAAAATTTGTTTCATCAGATCTGAATCTTTTTCAGGAGGGTGTAATTAAAATTACTCAGCATAGCCATGAACATGCTATCTGCAAACCTACACACAGGCAGGGGTGCAGAAACTTTCAAGGCTTCCCTCGAATTAAATTTAGGTTCCCCTATTTTAAGTTTTTGTAGAATGTTGCCCAACACATAAAGTAACGCAGTCAACAGTTGGGTTCCCTCAAAGCAGTGCGGTCAACAGTTTAGTTCCCCCAAAGTAGCGCACTCACAGTCAAGTGCCCCCTAAACCCTAAAAAAAAAAAAAAAACTCCCTAGATTACCCCAATTTTTTTTTCACATGGGTTCCCCCATTTTTCTCATCTTCACATGGGTTCCCCCATTTTACGCAAACGGCCGGTCGCGTAGTTGGGAAGTTTCTGCACCCCTACACACGAGAGTCCCTTCAAAATGTGACCGAATCATTAGCCTACGGAGGTCACAAAATGCTACATGGTTAATTTTTGTATAGTATTGAACAATGGACAGGAGAATAATAAACCACAGTTTAAATATGATTCTTGGGAGTAGATTTGGCCTCTTATACTTGGCAAGTTGAATCACCTTAGAAAACTGGTCCCCCACAAACCCAGACACCTTCACACCCTTGGTTAAAAAAAAAAAAAAACTATAAAAAATGGAGCACATCAATACATACCTAGTAACAAGACTATCAATCCACTGTCGAAGGTCCAGACCAAATCTACGGGAATTTATCACAGCTTTGCGGTCTAGAGTATTGGCAGAATCTGAGTCCTTGTCACCGAGTATATGTTTCCAGTCCTCATGCTTAACTTTGTAACTTTGACTCGGACCATTATGCAAAAAACTGCACAAAAAAATTGAAATTATTAGGGATAGCTCATTTTGATATGAATCTGTGGGGACATCACCACCGGCCAATCAGGATGATGCCCTCTGAGCTGTCCGCGCACCTGCACCTATAAATACGATGCGGTTGCGGGCTCTCAGCATCATTCTTCTACAGGTCTTCATCAGCGCTCCTTCTAGCTCAGTCCTCCTGCTCATCATCTCCGAGCACTTGCTCCTCACATACGAAAACAGCTCTTTTCAGGGCAACCACTTCTCCATGAGCACAGCCCTCAAATCCATAAATTAACCAAGGACTGTGTAAGAGGATTGCTGCCCAGTAGGCCACTATTTGAAGACATGAGCGAAATTTTTTTAACAGACCTGGAGGTTTTATATTGGTCTTGTTTGAAAGTTTCTGATACATGCCTGCAGGCAAAATAATTTTCATTTACATCTTACACCTTAAACCATGAAGTTTTGTTATGAAGTAGCCCTTTCTTCCACAAATGAAAAAATTAGAACAAGGACGTTTTTTGACACATTGTTCATTGAGAACCCTGCACCAATGTTTAAACGTAAAAATTTTGCTTGGATTAATCATGATCTGAGAAAAAAGTAAGGAATTTTAGACTGTTTTGGTGCAATTGTTTTCAAGCCAATAACTAAGATGTTCATGAAATCCATACCTTGTTTGCTGCTGGGAGATGATTTGTCCGCCCACAAATTCCAATGGAGTGACAAAAAATTCAGTTTGAGCGACAATCTGACTATTCAGAACAACTTTCACTTGCCAAACACCAGGCAGCAATGGAGTTTTCAGCACTGGTTTTGTGAAGCTTATCTATAGATGGAAAAATAATTTTTACAGCGTTAATTGATCGTCACAAACAAAAAGGCTGATCTCAATAATCTTAGACAACATTTACATTTCAGCGCAAATAGAATTTTAGTTTCTCTGTTCGTTCTAGTTTTGATCATGCATGTGTGCATTACACGGCAGGGATAAAAAATCAACTATTAAAATATTGTCAGTTACAGTTGTGTCTTTTAGAAGAATAAAGTGAATTCTGAAACATCTACATGTGTTAACGAGTTTGTGGGTACTAAATAAAAGGAAACCTTGTAATCAACTTCTACTTCTATTTAAATTGCAAAGTTGTCCTCCTATATTAGTGAAAATTTCATGACAGCGGTTAGAATTAATGCTCTCACACTGATACACGGAGTGGTTTTTCTCCCTCCTTGTACTTCTACATATCAGTGCTCTATCCATGTCTTTGTCCATCTGCTGCGATTCATGGTCCGTGCAGCTATTATCATTGCACGGCTGTACAGACCATGTATTGCAGCAAAGACCCCTCTTGATCAAGATAGTAGCGGCAGGGGGAAAGATATTCCCAGACCCCTTCTAGGCTTTTTCAGTGATTTCTGTTTAAATGGGAGTTCAAAATACGCAACTTTGAACTTGTTCTTTATGGGGTAATATCATTCCATGAAATGCGAGGAAATTCCTTGGACTAGGTGCAATCTCTACTTTCTGAAAGTGCAAGAATCAAAATTACTGAATGACCTTCAGTTCAGGAATCATCAGTATCTTTGTGGTGCTCCTTCAACATTAGAGGTGAATGATAATGAAATATTAAAACATACCGAAGCCGACTCATCCATGTAGACATAAGAAGCCTCAGCAAGTGTGTTCGTGGGATCTAGCCAAAGAAAAGTCAAGTTGACATGATCTTTACCAGAGATCCACTGGTAGATGGCGTGAGGCTCAGAGAACGGGCCAATCACTTGCATAAAATCACGTGACATCTGCTCCTTCTGGTCATAGTCAGAGCTTATAGACAACACCTGAGAATTGATATTAGGAAACATTAAATGAACAGATGTATATCAATGGGTTTTACATGGAATTTTTCATCTAATTTTGGAGCATTTCCCGAATGCAAATACAATATTGCAATCTATCAAGATGCTAGACCTAAGCCATGGACCTCCTTAAAACTTTATTATGTTTAATGTCCGCCCATGCATGGCTAAATCAAAATCCTATGTTAAAATTCTTTTTTACCCCCATCCAACTATCATAGAATAATGCAAGTTGACTAGTGTTGCCCTTGTTTGTTAAAGGTCACTATTGCATTTACAAACTCATACATACTGAGATAAATTTACATTTGACATTTTCACATTTTAGGAAGGACCTCCTAAAATCTAGGTGAGGTGAGTTTTTACTGATAACACCCAACCTTTGAAATCATCAAATTGAATCCATAAACTAAAGCTGAAAAAGTTATTTCATTTTGTTATTATCTATTGAAAATTGTTGACAAAACCTTACTTTCAGTCTTGAAATTGGTCCACTTGAAGTCAGCTTCTTGAAGAAATTCTTTGGCTTGATCATGGTTTCAAGCTGGGAACTGTTGATTGCGGAACTTTTGTACAACACTTCATACAGGATTAATGATCCCTGAAAATAAAAAATGCAATTTCCTTAGTAATGAATTAGAGTTCTTGCTCCTTAAACAGTGTGCACGAAATTAGGGCATGGAGTTCTGTTTTGAGCATGAAAGGAATAAAAGTAAGACTCCTAAGAGAAAATAAGTACGACCGATTCCCACAAAATTACTTCTGTACATAAGATAGTTACTCACCTCATACTGATCGTTGTGCAAATAAGTATGAATTTGTAGCAGTTTCACAGGTATGGCTGCGCATAAAGGGTTGGATAGTTGTTTACTTGCAATGCGAGCAAGGCTAGTTGCGATGGTGACCAGAGCATCATTTGTCTGTGGACTCAAATCAGCGTAGTGGTAAGTGCTTTGCCAGTAGCTCAACAAATTTGGTATCCCTGAAAAAACAATAATAAGTCCTAGTGAAATGGGTGTAAAGCTACATTTTTGCTTCATCTAAAAAAGTCTTTGTAACATTTCATTGATGAGCCTTGTCTGGTGATCCATTAAAAGGCTAAAATCAAATTATGGTCATAATTTATGGCATTCCTACAATCGTACACCTTTAAAAAACCTGGAAATACAACAGGCTATAAAAACCAACTTTTTTAAACTCATATGCAAGTATTACTTTCTTTAAAATAATTCGATGACAAATAAATCCATTTTGACTGGAAGAAAAGGTTAAATCTTCTCTTCAGACTTTACACTCACAAAAGAAATACATAGAAGGGAAGTTGATTCCCATAAAACTATTGAAATGATAAAAGATAGAATGAAAAAAAAAGAATATTGGCTACCTTGGGGATATGGACCATACAACCACTCTTCAACCTGGCTGATGACAGTTTGGCTGACAATTGGTTCAAATTTCCGAGCGAAAAAAATGTTCTTCTCTTCTGTACCCTGAATGAAATGAAAGAAAAACAACATAAATGTATGATATAAGTATAATGAAAATGATACATTACAATGAAGCATTACAAATAAAGGTGGAGAAATGGTGCTGGGTCCACACCATTTCGCGGGGAAACAAAGCCAAGAAGTACCAAAAATTAAAATTAGAGTCAAAAATAAATTTTTTTAGAACTCTAATGCGCACCAGTATGAAACTGAGGGGGGAGAGTGTTCAGCTCAGGCAGTTTGCAATGGAATATTAAGTTGGAGTCACGCCTAGAGATCTTTACCGGTTTGGGCCTTATTAGACCTCATCAGAAGATCACACTCAGCAGTGAACCCAACTTAACATTTTCTCCACCTTGTTAAATACAGTTTCGGGCCACTTTTTAGTGTTTAATCTTTAAATTTGCACGCACACTTCGGGGTATGTGTTTCTCTCGTTCGAGAGCGGGCGGTTGCGTCTAGATGCGTTCGCATCTCCAACCAGTCCGATAATCATTTTTCTTGGGTTTTCCTTGTTTTGTTATGAGAGTTGTTCAGCAGCGACGGTAGATGGCGCGAGGATCACACTTTTGAGTCATGCCTCGGGTCATATCCATGACGGCGTTTTAATGCCGTCTTGGATTTTGCGGCATGTTAAGTTGGGTTCACTGCTGAGTGTGATCTTCTGATGAGGTCTAATAAGGCCCAAACCGGTAAAGATCTCTCGGCGTGACTCCAACTTAATATTCCATTGCAAACTGCCTGAGCTGAACACTCTCCCCCCTCAGTTTCATACTGGTGCGCATTAGAGTTCTAAAAAAATTTATTTTTGACTCTAATTTTAATTTTTGGTACTTCTTGGCTTTGTTTCCCCGCGAAATGGTGTGGACCCAGCACCATTTCTCCACCTTGTTAAATACAGTTTCGGGCCACTTTTTAGTGTTTAATCTTTAAATTACAAATAAAGTTAAGCCGGTTGGAATTTTCATTTCTAAAATTTGAAATTCCAATCAAAAATGAACTAGAAAAGCAACATGACAAAAAGCTCAGGATGTTGATACAAAGCTGAGAATTTCACAAAATTACTCATCTTTTGGGGGAAAGAATAAAGTATTTATACTGATATTGAAAATAAAATTCTTCCATTTGATAAAATTGTGTTGTTTTTATTTTGGGAAACATTGTTAATAGATGAAAAATAACAGAGAGTGCTGAGTACAAAAAACAGAAAAACCATAATATTGATGGAAATTGTGCACACTATTAGAAGAACTTTTGACTCGCATTTTGGATGTTTTTAAAAATGAGTTAGTAAATAAATGTGTAAGCTAACCTCTTTGGATACTCATGTGGCTAAATACTAAACACAGCCATAAAATATGAGAGCAAGGTAACTTATGACTTATGAAAAAACACAGGGAGATTTTTATGATATCATAATAGTTTTATTTACCTGTATTCTAGACCAATCCTCTGGTCTAAAATTGTTAGGACTACAACCACACCAGTCTACAACATGTTTGTATTGACACTTGCAACCAAGACGCCGCTTCCAGTTGGTTACATGTAAATTGTTATCTACATAGGAGTCACAGAAAATGGAATTCCGCAAGGCAGTGTGGAAAAATGACTGAAAAAAAAAAAAAAAAAAAAAAAAAAAAAAAAAAAAAAAAAAACACAGTTAGAAAAGTCCATAAAATATAGTGCTTCGATAAACACATTATATTGTTTGTGAAACATAGCTGAAAATGTTGGTTGAATTTTATTAGAGTGATAAATCCTATTTTTTCCATCTTTTTTTCTCAAGCAGGAAAAGAAGCGGATAGCATGAAAAAGAAACGATGGTCATGACCAATGCTCTGATATTTCAACATTCTTATTTTAAACACTTTAGTACTCTCAGTGAGCAACCTTTTACATTTCTTCCATTTTTATTGGATTTATTTTATTATTTATTATCATTATTACGATATTTATTATCATTATATTTTAGTTGGGGAAATGATCAACACGAATAACACAATAAAATTGAGCAACTAAGTATGAAAGGGCTGTTGTTGACACCAATAAATTTTAGGGAGAAAAAAATGAACAAATTCACTCCTACAGAACATTAGCATAGACTTCCAATAATTTTAGCACTTCCTCTTTTTAAATGATTTCACATCTTTGAATTTACAAATCGACGGTGTAAGTCTGCAATCACATAGGTATCTCATTTGCGGTGTCTGAAAATTTCCGACTCTATTATATTATTTTAAAGGAGAACAAAGTGACATCACTTTTTGAAGTTTATGCAGAATTTTCTTCACACAGAGAAGAAAAATCACGGCAGTTTTAAAGAATTGCTGTTGAGCAGTTTCCCATCTTGAAAATAGTGTATGAAAGGAAGTCTGCGACGTTGCAAACCGAGTTATGTGATTTCCGACTTACACCGCCGATATCTACTGAGGTGTGCAGAGGAACCGATTTGGATCACAAATGAAGTTCTAAATTATGACATAAGAACACTTCCTCACCTCAGCAGGTAAAAGTGTGTACTTGAATAAGACTATGAGTCCCTTGATGAGTTCATCCTGTTCTGATGCGGCAATGTAGTTTACAAATGACCTTGAGAGGGCAATCCAGTCGCTGCCGCCATCCATGACAATACCTGTTGGCAAGACCCGGTCACCAACTCGCCACATGTGTGCTTCACATTCAACAAATGTCTTATCTAGCCCTTGTTTCTGAATGAATCGCTGCACTTCTCGCCCATGCGACTTGACAAAATTGACATTCCGGTTTGCCGAAAGGAATGAAACCAGCTGAGCATTTGTTCTGAAATTGCATAGTAGACAAGGTATAGGCTTTCCATGATATGCAGAGAAGGCATAGATATGGTAAAACAGATTTATCAAAAAGTTCATGGAAGTTAATTTTCATTTCATTCATTATTTGCCAATTTCATATGATTGATAAATACATCTTTTTCTCTAATCCTCACTTTTATATTCTCGTTGAAAGCTTTTAGTGTTCGTTTTTCCTCCTTCCTGTATTTCTGAGCTTTTGCTATTTATTCATGGTTTTAAAGAATTTCGGCTCCATCTTGCTTTCTGTTTTTTGAGAGCATGAGAGCATACAAGCATGATAATTTAGTACATGATTACTTTCATTGAAAATGCAACATTCGAAATGACAACACTGGTACACTGGAAGTAAAAAATACAGGAAAACAGAACTAAAGATGATAAGAAAAGATGTCAGGGAAACTCACTTGACCGGAAAATCAGATTCACTCAAATTGATGACAAAGTCCCAGTCCCATGCAGAATTGACCAGTTCCGACATGGACTCAAGGAGCATCGTTAACAAGGATGCACCACCCCAAATGGTTGCATGTCGCCGCCTAGAGAGGCGTACATTTGGCAAATGAAGCTCCAAGGCCAAGAGCTCTCGAAATAAATAGTCTTGACGCTGAAAAATACATACAGACATGAATGAAGGAAACTTAAACAATGATAAGGTAGATAGAGAAGCAGTGGATCACTGCACAAGCTTTTTAATTAAACAAGAGGATCTCTCTTCCTCTATTCAGTTACTTCCTTCAATCATTGCCTCATGTTAAATTATGGTTATATTTTCAACAAAACTTTAACCCAAAAGAGTTAATAATTTTTAACAGCTTCTATTTTAATGGTTTGGAGAAATACCAATGATTCAAATTTGGACTTTTACAACAGTAAGATTAATTTTTTTAAAAAAATTCAGTCTATCCATGAGGTTTTTTCTTTGGGAGATTTTTCCGTAGGCTTTCCTTTACATACCTGAACAAATTTTTGCTAAAAAGCATATTATTGTATGTGTAAACACTAAACATCACATGTACAGATATAATTGCGCATGTACAGTATAAATTAAATCAGTTTACTTACAGCATCTACGTGAATGAAAAAGAAATGATTCCTGTGGAACAGGGTTTTTATCAGTCTGTGAACTTGTCGTACTGCTCGACCATTCAAAGTTAGTAAAAATGCTATTCTAAGTGGAGAAGAGTCATGTTCCCTCTCCTCAAATGAGTCCTTTACACTTCTGGCGGAAAACTCTGCAGGAAAACAGATAGAGCCAAATATATTATACAAAACTAATAAAATATTAAATTATATGTATTTGTATTCTTTCATGATTTCTTTATGGGGCTGGATTTACTGTCCTGCCATCTGTGTGCACACTGTTTGCCGTCTTGGTGTCCCCCTGCACCAATACTCTGACTATCCGTCAGTGATGTTGAAAAAAAAAAACAACTTTAGTTTCATGTTTTTAACCACTCATTTGAAGAATCCCAGAGGTTATGTTATGTTAGGCTATGAGGATACATAATCAAATCATTAACAAAAGACAATCAAAGTGAGTGATGTAATGCTGAAGTCTAGTCATTTGCTGCTGTCTGTGCCCACACATGATGCACATGCATAAATCTGGGCCTGAGATGGGTGGACCATCAGAGTTAGGGGCTGCTCATAAAATAAGGAATGTTTCAAAAAGGAAGGGGGTTGAGAAGAGCAGCATGCCATTTTTTTATGTTAGAAAAGGATAGGGACTTCTGTCACAAACATGTTATGAGGAGGGGAGGGGGGTTTCAAAATCTAATATTTAGCTTAATGCATTTTATGAACTGCCCCTTATCAATTCTTCATTGCATAGCAGAAGTGATCAAAGAGGTTTGGAGCTCATAAGCTCGGGTTCAATGCAGAGGAAAAGGTCTTATGTCATTTGAGATATTGATTGTCTAGGAAACTTACTTGCGATACCAGTTTGATAGATGTTAGAGGTGAGATATCCTCCGCACATCTGGTGGGTGTCAGCAGGGCATTTCATGTTGCAAGATGAGTCTGGAAGTTGGAATGAAGACGGTGGTTTTTCATTACCACAGAAACATTCCGTGCTGAAAGAGAAAACAGATTTTGAATGAGTCTGTTGGAAAGTGGAAATATGCTCACTCAAAAAGTATGCCAGTATGCAAACAAATTAAATTATTCAAAATTAAAATGCAGGGGCCTAAAAACACAAACAAAACAGAAACTTACTTAAAAATTTAGGGGAATCATATGATCTATAATATCTGTAACAATACTAGAATTCCAACAGCAGCACATTTACTTGCCTGAATCCATTCAATTACATAGGGTCTTTGCAAGGTGACTTTATTCGACTTCTACTTTTACTGATTAATTTTTTTTTTAAAAATTGTCTTTTTGTAACTTGGAAAAAAAGGAAAAAGAAAATCAAACTTTAATGGGGGTGAGTAAAGAATGTGGAGGTTGGATTTAAATTTACAATATTAATGCCTTCTTATAGAAAAAGAGAAAGTTGCATCGTAAGCAGTATAGTGGTACTTTTCACCTCTAGATCACTTAGATTTACTTTAATAATAAAGTTTCTATCTTAGCCTCTCCCCCCCCACAAGAGCAACATTCACTGAAAAACTTAAGAACTCACCTTAGTTGAACTCCAGCGTATGAGAAGCCGGATTGAAGGCACAAATTGACACAATTGCTAGGTGAGTTGTTGAACTTTAAGCTGACATAGTAACTGGACAGGAGACGCTTGGACTTACCATCTTGAAAACAACCAAGAGACTTCCCAGTTTCTGTGAGAGAAGCAAAAAGAAGGAAAACAAAATTAACTGAGGAGCCAAGAGTCAACAATCAAGCGAGAAAACTTAAAATATAGATTTAATGATAGGGAGTTTTAGATATTTATTCAGAACTATATTAACTTTTTTCTATTTAGAAATATATAGTCAGCGGACTTCTAGGTTCTGAGGTTGATCAAATTTCTTCTTGAAATATTCCCAAACCTTGTCCACATTTAAAGAGACCTGACTCAAACTTTGGCATCAGATTTTGAGCTACAGGCAGAAAATGTGGACGCATCTAGAGTGGCTAGACCTGCATAGTTTCTTTTCAAAGTCAGAATGGGTGATGTAATATTGCATAAGTACATTGGTGAATTTATTCCACCACAAGCACCAACCCTCATTTTCTTATTAGAGTAATGTATTGTTATTCACAGATTTTTTATTCCCAAGCTTGTAACAGAACACAGATATCACAAATAATTAGGTATTATTATAACTTACAAAACTTTCTCAGTATTCTCCAAGGGGATTGTTTTAAATATAATACTAGCAGAATTTTTGGTGCGAAAATCTGAATCCGCAGAGAGCCCTCGATAGGATACTAACCTGAGATGGCGCATAGGTGTGGTAACTTCTTGGGATAAAGCAAACCTTCTGCGATAAGGCACGAGATATTGGATATTTCTTGTTTACAATACTGCGTTTTGGCACGGTGAATGGCAGAGATGGCTTCTTTGCCAGTAATATCACATAGCGGGACAAAGTCTAGTTCTTCCAGCCGCAAATGGGAGACATTTGATAATTTACTAATTTGAGGCACTTTGTTATCAATTCGCCTGTCTTCCAACTTGTCTGGCAGCACCTTGTTCCGGGTGAGTTCGCTAATTATTGAGTTACTATTGGCAGGATTATCTTCATCATCAACTCCCAGGACATTTTCTCTGTCACCACGGAACTCTTTTCTCCGCTTGTCATCAGCAACCTACAAACAATCAAGTAAAATATTCCATTGACATTGATAGATTTATAGTATTTCTTTTTTAACCGTAGTTAAGAACTTACCAAACCCATTGCATCTCCACAGAGCTGGAGAAAATTCCTCTTACTAAGTGTGCTCTTGAATCAGTTGGGGATCTAACAACAGCTTTAAAAGTCAAATATCACTGGTAAACAGGGATACTAACTGTATGGTAAGTAAAGGGACTAACATTTCGACTACTGACCGCCTCGCTGAGGATCCAAAATGATGTGTTTCCATCATTTTCGGAACCCTGTGTAGGAAACTACTTGGGGCAACAGTCAACACATGTTATGCAACGATAGGGCTTGCATAAGAGGAGAAAAGATTTTCTCGCATGAAATTCTTACAGCTGCTCACGACCAGCAGAATGGCGTGGATGCAATGTTGAAAAGCATTTCGTATATATGCCTGAAACAAGCAATTTTTTTCTTTCCTCTTTGAAAATAGCAAAGGAGGACGGGCTAGTGGTATAAAAACCACCATACATACTCCAGGACCCCAGATGGCCGCCTTGCCTTGTGATGATCTTGCTCAGCGCTCCCTACCAAGATGAGAAACTCTACAGTTAGTTAGAGCTCATGATGTCTCGAGCAGTGTCATTACAATGAATAGTGTGTCTTCCAAATCAAAGGTGATGGAAGTATGAGAAAATTAGTGCTTGACAATAATTGAAACTGAGTTTTCTGACAAAATGAACTGTAAAAATGGAGGGGCATACACTAACCTCCAAGTTCCATCTGCCTTTTCCAGACTGGAAATCTCGATCATTTTTCCGACTTTCATCATGACTTGCTAGGAAGAAATACGCTAATAAAATCTGTATACAAAATATAATCACACCAGCAATGTAAAACGCTTTATATCTTCTAATCCACCGAATATCTAATGGTCTGTTAGTTGCCATTTCTTGCGATGATAAGAAGCAAAACAAATCAACATCAACTTCGCAACTGAATAGAGACTTCTAGACTGGGCACTACGCATCATGTATCATGTGGTTTAAGTACAAAGTGCTCCTGGCTATACCGCAACTTAGTATACACGTAAGTAGGACAGTGGCACCCTCTAGGCCTAAGAAGGATACGGCGCGGCGAACTGCCACTCTTCAATTATCTTCTCTCTGTGATCAAATCTCAAATCGTGCGGCGAAAATCGTTTTGTTTTCCTCCTGTCAGCGTGTTTTAATTTAATTTTCTCATCAGTATTTGGCTCTTTTGAATCCTAAACTTTTCTGTAATTCTTTCGGAAATTTCTCTAGTTATCAATATAAATACAAAATGTCAATCGGAGTGCCAATAAAAGTCCTGCACGAAGCAGAAGGCCACATCGTAACCTGCGAGACCATTACCGGCGAGGTTTACCGAGGTAAATCACATTTTTCATCCATACATTCCATGATTTTAATTTCCTTATGATTTTGTACATGTCTCTAATCTTAGAACTCACAGCTGGAACCAATCTTACCATTAAACGACGATTTTTAGCATTTGCATCTGCTGTTTCATCCCCTATGCTGTGAATGCTCAAACGTGTACATTAGGGTGGCCCTTATTTTGGACTTTTTGGAATTTAATGAGCAGCACCCCCTAGATTGGTTCTATTTGATGTAAAAACACTGTAAAAAAAATTTGAGGCCTTTACTTCAAGGGTAAATGGTGCCGAAAACAGGGGAAAGATGCAGCGCGTAAAACTGAAGAAGCGCATTTTCACGCTTTTCGCCGATTTGACTGCCGTTTTTAAGGGAATTGTAGATGCTCAACACCCATTATTGATGGTGTTTCTAACACAACTTTTTGCGTAGATTTAGGATATTTTAACAGATTTGGCCTCAGGTAATTACCTACCCCCCTTACGGTAGGCTAAAGTGGCCCCAAAACGTCATTTAAGCTCCCGAAATCGCTTTTTTCCGAAGTTCGGCGCTTGTTACGGGCAAATGCAAAGGCTTCAAGAACTATAATTTTCTTGTATGTGGTACAACTTATTCCGTAGATTAAGTATATTTTAACATGTTTGACTTCAGGCAAGTACCCCTCCCCCCTCCCCCGCCCTGCGCACAGTAGGTTGAGGGGGCACTGAAACGCGATTCAAGCTCCTGGAATCAGATTATTTCAAAGTTAGGCGCTCGTTACTTGCAATTTAAAAGACTGGAAGAAGCATAATGTTCCTCCACGTATAAAATAACTTTCAAATGCACAAATTTTAAGAAAAATACTGAGGAAGGGTGTAAAAAAAACTTACAATGACTTTGGTTAGTCCGCTCTACAGTTTCTTCCTTAAAGTTGATTTTTTAACATTGGGAAAAGCTTTCCGATAATCGCTAATTTTCTAGCCATGTTGATGGATCTTCTTTAAGAAAGTTTGACGAGAGATGGAATCGCTCAAACAATTTATATGACGAACAAGAAATAAAATTGGAAACATCTTTTCCTGAAATGTCTTCTGCTGATTGTAGTTTTGTTTTCTTCTCTCCATCTTCGAGAGGGTTTTCTTTAGATAAAGCAGTTACCATTTTCCGTTTGCACTCAACAGAAATATCTCTGTCAAAGAAAGAAAACGCTGCTGCTTCAGGGATCAGGTACCACAAATGGCTCATGAGATTTGATACCGTAGCTTTTGTAGCTACATACGGTATCAAAATTCAATCAATTTTAGCAAAATATTTCCTAGGAGAATTTGGCTCCAATCCGGTAATATACGCACCAGGTGCTTTTCACCACGCGCGCTGGATAATGAAAGCGATTTATTCACTCAAAATTTACCTCTTTAGAGGACAATTTGAGCTTAGCGAATCAGAGCTCAAGGGTATATCGGATGTCTGTGTTTTTATTGTGAAAGTTTACATCAAAGCTTGCGGGTTTACCTCAACGCGCTCAGTGAAAGCTCCCCAACATGACATCGAGTTCTTGCAAATTCTATCAAATTATAGAAAAATTGATTCGGTAATCTCTTTAGCTACGGTATCAAATCTCATGAGCCATTTGTGGTATCTGATCCCTGAAGCTGCAGCGTTTTCTTTGTTTGACAGAGATATTTCTGTTGAGTGCAAACGGAAAATGGTAACTGCTTTATCTAAATAAAACCCTCTCGAAGATGGTGAGAAGAAAACAAAACTACAATCAGCAGAAGACATTTCAGGAAAAGATGTTTCCAATTTTATTTCTTGTTCGTCATATAAATTGTTTGAGCGATTCCATCTCTCGTCAAACTTTCTTAAAGAAGATCCATCAACATGGCTAGAAAATCCTCAGTACCTCAAAAATCGCGAAATTGTGAAAAAAATCAAGGTTGTCAACGACACAGCCGAACGCGGCGTTAAATTGTTTGAAGAGTACAGCCAGAAACTCACGAAATCGGACGAAGAGCGGCAACGGATTCTTCAGGTTGTTAGCGATTATCGGAAAGCTTTTCCCAATGTTAAAAAATCAACTTTACGGAAGAAACTATAGAGCGGACTAACCAAAGTCATTGTAAGTTTTTTTTACACCCTTCCTCAGTATTTTTCTTAAAATTTGTGCATTTGAAAGTTATTTTATACGTGGAGGAACATTATGCTTCTTCCAGTCTTTTAAATTGCAAGTAACGAGCGCCTAACTTTGAAATAATCTGATTCCAGGAGCTTGAATCGCGTTTCAGTGCCCCCTCAACCTACTGTGCGCAGGGCGGGGGAGGGGGGAGGGGTACTTGCCTGAAGTCAAACATGTTAAAATATACTTAATCTACGGAATAAGTTGTACCACATACAAGAAAATTATAGTTCTTGAAGCCTTTGCATTTGCCCGTAACAAGCGCCGAACTTCGGAAAAAAGCGATTTCGGAAGCTTAAATGACGTTTAGGGGCCACTTTAGCCTACCGTAAGGGGGGTAGGTAATTACCTGAGGCCAAATCTGTTAAAATATCCTAAATCTACGCAAAAAGTTGTGTTAGAAACACCATCAATAATGGGTGTTGAGCATCTACAATTCCCTTAAAAACGGCAGTCAAATCGGCGAAAAGCGTGAAAATGCGCTTCTTCAGTTTTACGCGCTGCATCTTTCCCCTGTTTTCGGCACCATTTACCCTTGACGTAAAGGCCTCAAATTTTTTTTACAGTGTTTTTACATCAAATAGAACCAATCTAGGGGGTGCTGCTCATTAAATTCCAAAAAGTCCAAAATAAGGGCCACCCTAGTGTACATATCGGTCAATTCATATGAGTAAAGTAGGTATGCCTTTTCCCGATATGGACAGTACTTGAGAAGACCAGATGCAATCTCTGCAATCGCTGGTCCATAGTGTGCATGTTTGTCCGGCCAAAGCATCTTGTAGACGATCCCTCTTGGAACCTAAGCAATCAAAATCAGGCTACCCAGGATCACTGCTTGACCAGTCATTTCACCCCAAGCGTCCTGCTAACGATCAGCACTGATCACCCAACTTTACAAAACACAGACTTTTATTACTATCTAAAGCACGTTCAAGGCATGCCCCTTGGCAGGAGAGGTAAGCCAACTTCGGGGTTGATGAAGTGCAGTGTTCGAAACTCGCAGGCGCCAACGCGCCTGTGACATGTCCCGTAAAAATTCGCTCAAAAAAATCTTAATATTTCTGTCAGGTGATTTTTTGAAATTTCGATGCACGGTATCGGATTCTGACTTTTCACTAAATGCGCCAGAATGTATAGGCAAAAAGTCAATTTGGCCCCTGAAAAATCTTCAATGACTTCGACTAAAAAAAAAATTTAATTGCTTGTGAACAAGGTTTTTTTTGCTAGCAGTAAGTAGTGAATTATCTGTTCCTTCATGTTTCAGGTAAGCTTGTTGAAGCCGAAGACAACATGAATTGCCATATGACTAATATTAATGTCACTTTCCGCGATGGACGCACCGCCCAGTTAGAAAACGTCTATATCCGAGGCTCCAAACTAAAGTTCCTAATTTTGCCAGACATGTTAAAGAATGCTCCTATGTTCAAAAAGCAAGGAACTAAAGGAAACACCGGTGGCGCTGGTCGAGGAAAATCTGCCATTCTCAGAGCACAAGGTAATTATCAACTGTTTTTAACTTTCTCTTTGCCTCGCTGCCCAATATATGGTCCGTATTTTGAATCCTGATTTTTACTTTCTTGCTCCTTTTGCGGGTAGAGGAAGTATTAGCATCGTCCAAGAAAAAAAAAATTGAAATTTCATCATTTCTAGGCGTTCTAAGATGCCTGGAGTCAAGATAACCATACTTGAAGAAATGTGTGTCCGTCCATCAGGCGTTCCCCCGTCAGTATGTATTCAGTATTCGCGTAAGATCCGAAAACACTGTAATGGCTTTTTGAAAATGAGTAAATAAATTAAAATAATATGAATCCCTTCATTTAATTTGACAAGTGAAGCTAACGTTTGTGCAGAGCAGAACTGTTAGCAATACTTGCAAATTATGATATGATCAAAATTATGGTTCCGAGATAAACCAGTAAAAAACTTTCACTGTGAATATTTTTAATAGGTACACAATTTTTCATTGCCATTATAACATTTCAGTTTATAAGAGAAGTGTACCCAAGTACTTTTCAGCAAAATGTATGAGTTGGTTAGCCGCTAGCCCATGAATTGATCTAAAGATATGCCCCTCAGAGGAACTTCGCAATCTGAGAGTGGGGAGAGGTGACTCTGAACTTCAATGAAAGCTAACTAGATCAGGGGATTGTTATTTACTTTTTCTTTTTTTTCCCCCTATTGAAGTGAAATTTTGACAAGGTATAGTGAAATTTCGATTATCTGACACCATATGGTGAGCATCTGGGTGAGATGAAGAAAAATCTGTAAAATGAAAATCTTAAAAATTCCTGCCTCTTTATTTTCTAAGTCAGATTCAAACTGCATTTTCCTTAAAAATTGTATTGATAAAGCTTGCCTGTGCGGCCAACCCACCTTTTACATGTGTTTTTCTGTTCCGTGGATCTTGTAGTAGCGTAGACAAGTTAATCGGTGGAATCACAGTGTTGTGATATAATATTTATGCAAGAAAGTGAGAAAAATTTATACAGGTAATCTGGTGTCTTTATAATGTAAGCTCCACTGTACCTACCCTATCATTTTTCTGCGGAGGAAATTCTAAGGCACATTTTTCTTAGTTACAATTGCTCACTTTTAAGCCATTCGTCTTTCATCATGAGGGTCCAATGTCACTCTAAAATTCAAAGTATCCAATTCTAATTTCAGCCGCACGAGGACGAGCGCAAAGAGGTGCAATGCAGCAAAGAGGCGGGCGACAAGGATGGCAACCTCAACAACGGACAAATACTGGTGGTGGCGGTGGAAGGAACTGAATGCACTCCTGGACGTGTACAATATGTATTTTTTTTAGTTTTAACTTTCATCTATTCTAATCTTTTGTACCTCACTTTTTTTTTACCTTTACTCGTGTTGCACTATCATTGAGCTAAGGGCCAGAGCTGACTAAAGTCAACCAGTGATATTTTCAGCAGCAGATAAAGCAAAAGAAACTAGTGAAAGATCTTTGTTGTTATTTCTAAACACAGTGGATGGGATGCATGAAAAAGACCGGTCATTTGAGACTTTCTCTCATTTTATATAAGAAAACATTATAATGTGCATAACAGAAACTTTTCTGATCGCATTCTTCCTTTGTGCTGGCTGGCTCTTGAAATTTTTGCTGTCTTGAGTGAGAGACTTCAATAAGACTAGGTTGAAATTGAGTTGGGTGGTTGGATCTCATGATGTCCTACATTAATATAGGATAAGATTGGTTATTAGAGGCAGCTGGGAAGAGTTTATTCAAGCATCAAGTAAGGTATTCGTCTGAAATAACCAATCAGTACCTCCCGCCCAATCTCAGCCTTGTCATAACATAATCTGTTGTCATCAATTGACGTTGTCCAGTCCTGAATCCGCAAATCAAATGACCAGCCTGTAGATTTCTTTGGAAAAGTTGGCACATTATCAATTCCACTCCTGAGCAGGATTTATACATTACACATGATTTTCAGTTTTGTAGTGCGTAATTGCAATGAAATAATTGCATCAAGTCGGACAAAATTGAACTTAAAATTGCACTTGATATGAAAATACTACATATAAAAATCAGCTGATGACTCCTCAGAACAGGTGATCCAACTATTTTCATCTGACTTAGAAGTAGACCGATTATACTGTAAGTTGTTTTTTTTCCTCGTTTAATTTTAAGACTTGAGAAATGTTTGGTATGCAGGATATTATTTGGTCAAAAAGATGAGACATGATAAGGCTCTTTTTTTCATAATCAATCGACTCCTTTTCTGCTTGTTTGATCAGTCATGATACTTTTGGTTTTAGATAGAAAAAGGAAAGTTCCAGAATGTTGTTGTGCCTTCTGCAATTAAACCTCCTAGTCTCACTGCAAATTTTTTTTAAAAAATGAATATTTTAAATTCTCTGGGGAAACATTTAAAATTTGATTTGTGTATATGGTATTTCAAACATAAAAGTGGTTCTTCGCCACAGTTTTCTTTTTGGTTTTTTTTTTTATTACGAGCATTAATTTTGTCAATAAGATCAAATCGGTTTGGATTGAGTCCAGGTGAGATATAACCTGTTTAGTGGCTAATTATGAGGCCTGTAACAGATGCATTGCTAAACTCATCAGCAAGCTTGCAGGCATTGTCCAGTGACATCACTCGCTGCGCTGCTCATCAAGTCTCCCATCTCGAGACTGGAGAGCTGGTGAGCAGATAGGTGAGTGATTTCACTGAGCAATGCTGTTGAACTCACTGATGAGTTTGGCAACATATGTAAAATCTGCACACATCTCTAAAATTGAAAATGGCAGGTTTTGAGTATTGTTCCACTAGATATGTATGTTTTATTTATCTGATTTTGGTGAATCTTTTACCAGTTAATTACTTTGATTCCTCAACATGGAACCCAATGAATGGCATCACGGAAATCTAATTACTGTACTACCTTCTTGATGATGAAAGTGGTCGTTTTGTTCATTATTCCATCCTGCTGAAACGTAAGAATAAAAAACTCATCTCACGATCTTTACATTTTTACATTTTTTTCTCACCAAAACTTTTGGTGATTTTAAGTGATAGCAGGACGAGTTTTGCCACTACGTTGTCCTGCTCCATTATCTGTGTCTTTGAGAAGCAATAATTATAGTAATGTACTAGTTAATGCAAGAAAATGATCCGCAACTTGTGGCAACTGAGTACTATGACATCAAATTTGTGAGGATTAATTGAAAATTGAATTTGGAAACCTCCATAACGGACGTTGCTCATTGACTCAGTGTGTAAGAAAGAGATATATTAACGCTATATCTCTCTTACACATGGAGTCAATGGACAAACGACGTCTGTTATGGTAGTTTCAAATATTTCTCAATGAATCTTCACAAATTTGATGTCATACTTCTTCCAATCAGTATTAATGCTGCTACATGTTATAGATCAGAATCTTGCATTAACTTGTACTTTACGATACTTTTTTATTCTCAAAGACGAAGACCATGTAATGGTGCAACATAGTGGCAGATTTTGTCTTTAGATGATTTAGAATCACCTTAAACCTCCGATTTTAGGAGAAAAGCCTCAATACATTTTTTATGGGACTTCCTTCCATCTTTCTTGGGATTTTTAAGTATAATTGGAACAAATTTTAAAGCTAATTTTACTTGTCTAGATAGTCCAAAAATGTTGTGTTATCATTTGCACATGCCTTAAAGTGCTGTTTTGAGTCTCTATGGGCGTACTTAACAATCAATTTTCATCTATAGGAAAATATTCAAAGTTGCAAAGTCAAATGTCCAAAAATTTCTTTATTGCAAGCCAATTAAAGTTAGATAGTAAATATTACCGTGACAACATAAACTGAATGATTATCTAGGTAATCGGCAAGCCAAAAAATAGTTAAGAAAAATTATGGGGAATGAATGAACAACCTTCTTTATCTACATGAATTTGGCTCTTTCAGTACCCAATCAATTATTTTTTTACATTCATAATTCTGAAATTCTTTTGTTAAATTTTGCAATACTGCAAATGTGTGAAGAGAATGATCAAAATTTTCCCTTTAAATAAATCGGTCAATTCAATAAGCTGAGAAGCTTTTACTAGCGCTCCCAGCTAATTCACAATTGCTTAAGAAGCTCTTGAATGTTTCATCAACTTACCATCCCTTTAAAGTTAATGAACTGATAAACTGGTTTTTCATCATTAGGGATTTGAGCGCAGAAATCGCGATATCTAAGCAGAGCTGCTTAGGCCAAAAACGGACTTCACTCATGGATGCGAGTGAGACTGTGCCCTCCCCCCCCCCCCCCCCCCNCTCTCATCAGTGATTCAAGCTGACAGAATGATTATTACAGAGAACAATCTAATCCTTGTGATTGAAGCAAAAGTCTAACATACTTACTGTGGATAGCAATAATAGATGAATTCCTCCGTCGCCATCAAAATGGCATAAGATCAATAACAAACAGTTTTTTTTAAATCGTGAAAAGCTTATTTTTCTCTCACATAAGTATTTTACAACTCTGAGTGAACCAACCCCCCCCCCCCCCCCCC